GTGAACATCTAGCTGATCATGTAGAAGATTTCACCAAGATCAATATGGAACGATTTTGCTAAAATGTTGTGTCATATAACTGATTTATTTTTTAATGTTTGGAACTGAAAACTTACGTTAATATAAATTTTGTCAATTTCACTGGCCAAGCAATTGCAGGAGATAGTAAAAAGAGAAAGAACTGATCAGAATTACGATCAGTATGGACCGCCCTGACCCTAAGACTGTCACAATGTCAATCCAAAAATGTACTTTTAGCCAAGTATGATGAGAGGTTCATGGAAGCACTTTACCCGTTGTATATAGGCAACACATGACAGATCATGGACAACCCTGACCTCAAGACTGTCACAATGTCAATCCAAAATGTACTTTTAGCCAAGTATGATGAGAGGTTCATGGAAGCACTTTACCCATTGTATATTGGCAACACATGACAGATCATCATGGACAATCCTGACCCTTAGACTGTCACAATGTCAATCTGCAATGCACTTTTAGCAAAGTATAATGAGAGGTTCAAGGAAGCACTTTACCCATTGTATATTGGCAACACATGCCAGATCATCATGGACAACCCTGAGCTCTAGACTGTCTGCCCAGGATATCTGGTGAAGTCCTGCAACAATGTGTCTTTAGCAAAAACTGACGTGGAGTTTCAGGAGGCTCTTCACACAATGTTTAGCGTTACGTAGCCAGACGGCAACATTACAAATCGACATGGAAGGTCCTGACCTCAAAGCTGTCTTCCCAGGAATGTGGTGAAATCTTGCAGCAATGTATTCCTAGTCAAGTATGATAAGGTGTTTGTTGAAGCCCTTTTCCCAGGGTTTTGTGTCAGGCGTTCAGATGGCAACACATGACAGAACAGGATGAAAGTTCTGACTTTAGGACTATGAACATGTAGAAGATTTCCAGCAATCACTACAGACTTTTTTTTGCGTACTTATTGTATAATATAACTGATTTATTATTTAATATTCAGAAGACATAATTCTCATGTTAATATTATTCTTGTCATTTTCCAAGCAACTGCAGGAGATAGAAAAAGAGAAAGAACTGATCAGATTAACGATCAGCCTAAAGACTGTCACAATGTCAATCTGCAATGCACTTTTAGCCAAGTATGATGAGAGGTTCAAGGAAGCACTTTACCCTTTGTTTTTAGGCAACACATGACAGATCATCATGAACAGCCCTGACCTCAAGACTGTCACAATGTCAATCCAAAATGTACTTTTAGCCAAGTATAATGAGAGGTTCAAGGAAGCACTTTACCCATTGTATATAGGCAACACATGACAGATCATCATGGACATCCCTGAGCTCAAGACTCTCTGCCCAGGATATCTGGTGAAGTCCTGCAACAATTAATTACTCAGGAATTGGAGTCGAGTTTATAGTGACACACAACATTTGCTTATGACATGTATTAGTACGTACCTTAGGATTGCATGCGTCTTTTATACACTACATCTAGTCTTTATTTATTGTTAAGTATGTTTCTTACAGTTACAGATTCACGTAATTGGACTATGGTAGTTATATTTAGAATGCAAGGGCAGTAACTCGCACCGCACATCTCACCTGCGCATTGCGATGCACATGTTCCTCAGTTGTTTTGTTCACAATCGCCATTGTTCTGTTTACATCGTACACTACGTAAACACAGTCACTACGTCAGTTTTGTTGCTGTTAGTCGGCTGGAACAATATTTTCATGTCATAGAAAGAGACATCGCGGTAGAACTAGTTCATCGTTGCACACGACGGATGACATAGAAATCCAACATGGCGGCCCTGCCTCTTCTGACCACGAGAATCAAGCATCAATCGACAGCGCGCAATCTTTGGACGCAGAGACTTTCCGTGCGAGGTATTGCCATGAAAATACGGGGAACTGGTATGTGTCCCAGCTGAGAGCACGAATTGCCAGGGACATCGGTATACAACATCTTCCCCCGAGTCTCACCAAAGCACAACTTCTGGCGATCTATTTACGCAACCGCCCATCAGAGTCGTCACGTGGACAGTCAGGAGAGCCAGAATTGTCGGATGTCACTGAGGTTCACAGGACACACTTGCCCAGTAGGACTGCCTCCTCCAGTGCCACCATTACCTCAGCTGACCATAATGTGCCCAACTCGCCTGTGTCTGACCTTCAAGGTTTAACCATGACAGTTAATCAAATGGTTGCATCAGTAGCTGCACTAGCAGAGAAGGTTAATTCCACAGCCAATAACAGTGCCAATCACACTGTGTCTTCAGATAACATGGACGGTCAGTTTTCTCTGCAGACTGCCTTACATGACAGAGTTCAACATGGTCAAGGGCCACCAGGCTTCTTCACCACACATTATTTTTGTCACTTACCAAGCAGCCGCAGGAGACATGAAAAAAAGAAAGAACTGATCAGATTAATGATCAGTATGGACAGCCCTGACCTCAAGACTGCCTTCCCAGGAATGTGGCTTTAGCCAAGGGCGATGAGGTGTTCCGTGAAGCACTTTTCCCGATGTTGAGTGTAAGGCGGAAGTTGTAAGTGTATAGAAAGGAAGTACAACATACTAGTCACATGTACAGGAGTTGTTACTGAACTGGAAGATGTGTATGCAGTGGGGCACTCATGACACAATACATACCTCCGGTGCCAGCAGTAAGAGAAGAACTAGCAGACGGATGAAAAAAACGACACAGTATGAAAAGAGTGCAAGCTCAGAACACCCGACATTGAAACAAGGGGATTTTGTGTACACACAGAGGGGGTGATGCATGGAGTGAGTGAGTGAGTGAGTGAGTGAGTGAGTGAGTGAGTGAGTGAGTGAGTGAGTGAGAGTGAGTGAGTGAGTGAGTGAGTGTGGTTTTACGCCGCTTTTAGCAATATTCCAGCAATATCACGGCGGGGGACACCAGAAATGGGCTTCACACATTGTACCCATGTCGGGAATCGAACCCGGGTCTTCGGCGTGACGAGCGAACGCTTTAACCACTAGGCTACCCGACCGCCCCCAGAGTGAGTGAGAAAGTGAATGGGAAATTGCACCCAGGTCATTGGCGTAATGAGAGAACGCTTTAACTATTTATGTGCCCTACCGCCCCCACGAAAGGGTATGGATGTCAACTTCTTTATTATGAGGAACACAACATTGTGTTCCTCATAATAAAGAAGTTGACATCCATACATTTTCTTCCTTATGTGTATCACTTCTAAATGCCTAAGTATGTTGTAGGCAGTAAAATTATCTGAGAGAGGATTTTGATATTTTGGACCCCTCCCTTGTTAAAATGCTGTTTCCGCCGTATGCAGCAGTTAACAGAGGTATGCTCCCATAGCATTTCAGGGGCGGTCGGGTAGCCTAATGGTTAAAGTGTTCGCTCGTCATGCCGAAGACCCGGGTTCAATTCCCGACATGGGTATAATGTGTGAAGCCCATTTCTGGTGTCCCCCGCCGTGATATTGATGGAATATTGCTAAAAGCGGCGTAAAACCATACCTCACTCACTCATAGCATTTGAACCTAGAGACACCAAAATCTTTATCTTTGAAAATTATGACCATGACATGGACCCCCAACTTTCATGTACAATTTCAGACACAGCATAGGAATCCTAGGTCATGTCAAGACACAATAATATTTGTCGCACAGCTACATAGTAATCAGTTTTAAATGCATTTGCAAAATAAATTATATTTTGACACCGTCTCATTTTATACATTTTACACAAAGTGTCACATGATTCCTTACTGATATTGCAATATCTTATCATCATTTTCATCCTGGTTTCTTGTGTGAAAAGGACCATCTGCCAAATGGAAGCCACACAAACAGGAACAGACTTAGAGATTAAACAACGACCTGAGAGGAATTACGGAATATATGTCCCAGGTGAATGAATGGTGTTATTCCCAAGCATTTATTCAAGGGGGATTGATAATCTGTAAGTCCAAGTTTGGAGTAGGCTGTTCTATATATTTCTCATTGACAGTTTAAGAGAGAACATAAAGAAAAAGCCTATGAAATGTCAGCCCTACAGAGAACTTCACTGAAGGCAGCCTATTATTCAGATGACGTCATGTAATCAATTTGTGACGTTGTGAGTAATGGATGACATATTGTATTTTTCTCAACAGTGAAGCACTGTGACGCCACGTAGCTTCAAATGACCATTCAGCATTAGCAACTGCTAAAATGTACACATGCAAATATCCGAAAGTTATCACACAATCATTCTACCCTTGAGTATAGTGCATAATCTCAGTTTTATTATGTATTTTGTATAAATACTGTATTTATTTGAAAACATGAAATCTATATCTCACTCAAGTGAATAACACTTAGTGACGCAACTATTTTCTGTCTTCCTCAATGACACTTTGTTTTCAGAGGAAGATCAAAGACTTGTAAGAAAATACATAATAACGTATTCGACGTAATAAGCGCCCATGGCGATATTTGCTAATATATTTGCTAGTGAACAATCCCAATTAGCACCCCTTCCGATTGATCAATGTACACAAGACTTATTGATTCGTGTATAATACTCACTTGTGTGTTATATGCACCCTTAATTGTGGGCAATTAAATTCTGGAAAATATATCTCTCGTGTATGATACGTACATACTTTTCTTTTGAATCATTTCAGGCTGTTAGCATAAACTACTGTACGAAATTTACAATTTTTCAACTCTGTTTTTTGTTCTCACCAAAATTATATTCTAATAAGAGCCCACTAATTCCAATTTTGAGAGCGCCCCGGGCCCTTAATACGTCGAATACGGTAAATGGAATATTTGTCTTTTCTTGTCACATCTCTCATCTTGAGATCTGACAAATGTTTGTATTCACTTGTATCTGCACCACTCATAAAAATATCAACTTTGTCAGGGATCTTGATGAGAAACATTATTAGACAGAATATATAAATATCCTCAGTGTATGAAGACCCCCTATGTCATGCTAACCCCAGAGTAGTGTTCAATACGACACAAATTTCGACACAAATTTCAGAATAATTGGCAACTCTTCCAACCCACTCACCATATGCCTCACACCAAAGAGTTAAACTTCATAACCAATCTGTCAATAATCTCACTCAGCACCTATACTATGTCCACTGGAAATGTCAAATTTAAAACTGTGGACACCTTGAAACATTGGTTTGAAAATTATCATCTAGCCTTGTTTTTTTCTTATACTTGCAAATTTTGGACTTCTGATATTATCAAATACATACATGACATAAGTATAGCTAAAATAAGTGAAAAAAGTTTATCTTTCAAATGCTATGACAAGTTTCCAAACTAATTGTTGGCAAGAAGAAGGATTGATTACTATTCTCATTTTTTGGCCAGCAATTCAGTGTTTTTAAACTCGATTTGGCGGTGTGAACATAGTGAATGGTTATCAAAGATATGTTTGTCGCTTACAACCACTCAAACTGCAGAGATATTACATGATTTTAACTTACATCTGCTTTAAAATGGCGTCAGAATTTGAGAATAATGAAGAGGAACTAAGCAACAACCACACATATTCGTCACGTGAAAACATAAGTTGGAAAACTTGGAGTTTGCCAACCTGTGCTTGCCACCTGATGTTGGCCCCGAGAAGCCGCCTTTATGCAGCCTTTATCAAAATTCCAGCAATTTCAACATGAAGTAACTGATACAAGCACCGGTAATACATGCGATACATCAACCAATTTTCTCAGTCAATATCACGGTCTTGACTTATGGTTCTCTCGTCTTCATCATCCCAGTTCTTCAACAGCCATGATCAGAGAATCCTGAAACAAAAGGAGTTTAGCTGTGCATGTGTTACTGACCAAATGAATCTACAGGACATATCTAACCCTAATGTCATTGTCAACAATGTGAAACAAACAGTTCTTATTGTCAGCTTTAACCTAAGAGTGAGTGAGTGAGTATGGTTTTACGCCGCTTTTAGCAATATTCCAGCAATATCACGGCGGGGGACACCTTAAATGGGCTTCACAAATTGTACCCATGTTGGGAATCGAACTCGGGGCTCCGGCGTGACGAGCGAACGCTTAAACCACAAGGCTACCCGACCGCCCCCTTTCACCTAAGAAGCTTTTCCAAGTTATTAACAGGCTTGCCTTACGGACATACATAACATCTATTACTTGTTGCAGAGCTACAGATAGGCTGCGTATCTGCGTAAATTACGCATCAGAAATGCAGAAATATGCAGTAAAATAAAATCCAAGCGTATCAAATACGCAACGAACATTACAGATACGCTTCAAAAATAACACTTGTGCGTATCATCAAAATATGGTGAAGTAACCCTGCGTATTCGATTAGAGAGTCAGCAACTTATTTTGAAATTATAAACGGGCATTCCGTCAACCTTGCCAAACTCCACGATGACAGTTACATCATGATCATTTGCCATCACACTTTCTTGTGGAAGTATCGTGGTATTATTGAGTCCTATAAAGCTATCTAACCCACACGACACCAGTTTGCAGGGACTAGATGAATAGTGTTGTTAAATATTTAACTTAAATACCCACATGTGTAAAAACTAGTGGGTAATAGAAATTTGAATACCCAGATAGAATTACTGATACCCAATGATTTTAAAATGCATGCGTAAAATACCCAGAACACCAAAAGCTTATCTGGAGCTCTGTTGTTGTTTACAATTCCAAAAGGGTTGCGAGTGAGTTAGATGGTTTAACGCTAGGGGTGAGTATTGGTCTGGAAATCACTATTGCGATAACTATTGATATTGAAAGAAACTATTGCGATAACTATTGCTATTGCAAGCAACTATTGTGATAAATATCGATAGTTTTCAGTGTATCATTTTAAATGGATTTTAGAGTTGAATTCACGGGTCCAATTATCAACATATCTGCAATAAGTGCGTCTTAACAAATAGCAATGACTGATCATGCTGATAGTTCAATCGTGCATGTACACAATAAAGTCAAAGGGACATAACTCTAGCAAACAAATTACACTGGTCACTGGTCCAATTACAGTTTACGATGTCTTGTAAACAATAACAGGTAATTATGTGACAATGCCCCAATGAACATTGTTGAAGCTTTCCTTTTCCTGATGCAATGTTATCAAGAATTAAGAATACTTGAATGTATTATATGCATTAATATGTACCAGAACTAGATTAATCATGTACTACTAACGAAAACATTTGTTATATTTTTTACAAAATAAACAATTTATGAGACCTACCGTTATACTTTCCCAACCGCAAAGTGAGAGACTGACTAGATGTTCTCCAAGTGCAACATGGGTCTCATTGACAGTGGATGCCAGTCTTCACCACTCTCTTGTCATTTCCTTCACCGAAGTTCACATTGGGAATAACTGACACTGAGGCTATCGCCGGGTTATAATGCTGAAAAGAGGATCCTGTAACCTTGGAAACAATACTAACACAAAGCCTGGGTGAGAAGCTGCACATCATCACAATACAGACATTTCCTTTGGCTTAACAAGCGGGGACTCTCCTTTTGTTTCAAATTTTGTCATATTAAACTCAGAGGATTGTTTAAAATCGCGATCAACTCTATTCCTAAATATTTCATCCTGGCTCTCAGTCGATTCCGAGGGAAACAATTCTGGTTCTGTTTTGATGATCATGTATCTTGGTACTTTACGACTGTTTATTTCACGTATAAGGTCCTGTGACAAACCAGACGCTGAATCACGTATATGACCTTGACCTTGCAAAATTGGATTCCTAATAGGATTGTGACCTTCCGTAAGTTGAGACTTATTAAACTTAATGTCAACTGAATCGGTAATATGTGAAATGTTCAAAGTACAGTCACTATCAAAATATTTATCAGACTTCTTCACAGACGGAAATGACTTCACACAATAATCTTGGTAACAATGAAGAGGATCCGACTCAACTGTTGGATAATTTTCAAATCCACATCCTGGAAACACAGAATTACCCCCCTGGGGTGTGGATTTCGCAAACATTCCAGTATCAACCCCATTGCCAGCAACTATGGCCGTACTTGAAACACAATTCTTTCTCCTGCGGTCTTTCACGTACTCGGAACCATCAACATTAAACCTCATCTTCCATCGTCTCAGCCAACCATAGCTCCCTTGAAAGTTATCTATGTTCAAACTCCGAGCAATCTCTCGAGCTTGATTCATTAACATGCAGTTATTTACAAGAGTTCCTGTGTTTTTCATCGCTAAAAACCACTTAAACACCTCGTTATCCAGTTTATGCGACCTCGGTTCCGCGCCACTACCGATCTTTCGTCTCATCATCTTGTTATTGGCTGAATGTTCCAACAATCTGTCATACTCCTTGTCCCAAGTCCGAAGGCTTTTCCGCGAAATTCCAAATTTTCTCTCGGTTTGTGATAAATTTCTTCCATTACTTCTGAACCACATGACAGTTGAGATCTTCTCAGCGATTGTGTAACTCTTGCGTATCGGAGGCAGAGGGATGCGTAGATCAGGGAGGGCCTCCACTCTGCCTGATCAGGAAAAGTCTTGTTACACATACATTAATCGTTGATGGCATAGTCAAATGTGTATTAGGGTCACAGGTGTCAACGTCAAAATGAACAACGCTTGGGAAATATTTCACGAATATCACCTGAATATCGCTTTGCACCTAGAAAACACACTTAAGTTTGCAATGATACAAATTATTGATTAAATACATGTACATGAACATGATTCCAAAATACATGAAAATATGACTTTGTGCAATCTCATTAAAATCAGATCTTAGTTCTCGCTCCCGCTAAACAAAGATCTGAGGACATCCCATTAAGGGTCACGTCAGACCGACCATTCGCAAACTTTGACCGACCAATGGAATGACCAACAAGAAGTCGACAATAGCTAATCTGAAGGCAGCTTAATCATGTTAATCAAGCTTTACGGCACGAGTTTCAAACTGGTGACTACGCTTCGAAACATATTTTGACAAATACTAAATTAAAAAATTAAAAACTGAAAAAAAGAACAGTCTGGAATGGCTAATATTGCGTGAATACAGACATAAAGCCCATAACTGTCGTTCGGAATACCCTGTGTGTTATTATTCGAGGTTGCACGGTCAAAAATCACATTCCAACTGTCACTTTCATGATCTGATAAGCGATGCTCTGATTGGCCAGATGAAAGGTCGTTCTGACATGACCCGCAGTGGGATGTCCTCAGATCTTTGTTTAGCGGTAACGAGATATTTTAATGAGATTGAGCTTTGATAATAATTTCTTCACATACATGTGTGAAAATATGTAAAAAAATATCTGTCTTGAATCAAATTCAATAAATTGCTTAGCATGTAAACTGATATTCATCAAAGTAAACATAGTAAATGAAACTAACACAATCATAACTAAAATTACACTAAAGCTTTTGGGGGTTTATTTTACAATTTTAGTTTTGCAAGCTCTGACGTTCATACAGTTTGGCCCTCACTCTATGAAGGTTCATACTCCAATGAACTCACACAAAGTGAAAGTAATTTCTTAAATAGTTTACTAATGTACACACACACTGGGAACAACAGCTACTACCACGACTAGTACAAGCAACATTCAAATAGAAAACTCATTCATTACAATCGTAATCAATACCAACAAAGAATCAACTCGAGTTAATATGAATTACCATGATCATGATGATTACATCACAACCGATTCAAATCAACTCAAATCAAAGCTCTTTCAAACCACTTCTTTTATCAGCAATAACCGTAATTACCGCTTGGGGAATATAATTCAATTCATATTCCAAACTTTGCATATTCAACATTATTACATTCATGAAAGATGTTATCAGCAAGGGGGAACAAATGCACCCCACCTCGAAATATTCAAAATGGAATAAATTAATGGGGACCTACCATCATTTGCAGCATCCATGGCCTCGTTGCGTCGATCATTTGCTATATCTATCATTTCTTCTGTTACTTCTTCGTTCTCATCAGCATATTCTGGGAGCTCATCATCGTCGTCTTTTATTACACCAGACTCGTCAAGATCTGCAGAATATCACAGAATGTTTAGGGGTGTAATAACTCTGTTAAGAATGGTAAGGGAATACAGACAAAGGGGAATATCACAGAATGTTTAGGGGTGTAATAACTCTGTTAAGAATGGTAAGGGAGATATAGACAATGGGGAATATCACAGAATGTTTAGGGGTGTAATAACTCTGTTAAGAATGGTAAGGGAGATATAGACAAAGGGGAATATCACAGAATGTTTAGTGGTGTAATAACTCTGTTAAGAATGGTAAGGGAATACAGACAAAGGGGAATATCACAGAATGTTTAGGGGTGTAATAATTCTGTTAAGAATGGTAAGGGAGATATAGACAAAGGGGAATAACACAGAATGTTTAGGGGTGTAATAACTCTGTTAAGAATGGTAAGGGAGATATAGACAATGGGGAATATCACAGAATGTTTAGGGGTGTAATAATTCTGTTAAGAATGGTAAGGGAGATATAGACAAAGGGGAATAACACAGAATGATTAGGGGTGTAATAATTCTGTTAAGAATGGTAAGGGAGATATAGATGAAGGGGAATATCACAGAATGATTACATGTGTGATATTTCTGTTAAGAATGGTAAGGGAGATCTAGACAAAGGGGAATATCACAGAAAGATTAGGGGTGTAATAATTCTTTTAAGAATAGTATATTAGTAAGGGAGATATAGACAAAGGGGAATATCACAGAATGATTAGGGGTGTAATAATTCTGTTAAGAATGGTAAGGGAGATATAGACAATGGGGAATATCACAGAATCTTTAGGGGTGTAATAATTCTGTTAAGAATGGTAAGGGAGATATAGACAATGGGGAATATCACAGAATGATTAGATGTGTGATATTTCTGTTAAGAATGGTAAGGGAGATCTAGACAAAGGGGAATATCACAGAAAGATTAGGGGTGTAATAATTCTTTTAAGAATAGTATATTAGTAAGGGAGATATAGACAAAGGGGAATATCACAGAATGATTAGGGGTGTAATAATTCTGTTAAGAATGGTAAGGGAGATATAGACAATGGGGAATATCACAGAATCTTTAGGGGTGTAATAATTCTGTTAAGAATGGTAAGGGAGATATAGACAATGGGGAATATCACAGAATGATTAGATGTGTGATATTTCTGTTAAGAATGGTAAGGGAGATATAGACAAAGGGGAACATCTTAGAATGATTAGGGGTGTAATAATTATGTTATGAATAGTAAGGGAGATATAGATAATGGGTACACCCAGGACCTGTCACGTTCTAAGGAATATCACAGAATGTTAAACATGTTATTGTTAATGGGTGTATCCATCATCCCGAGGCAAGGGAGTTAACTAAGTATAAAAGTCCTGTTTTTCACCCTTGCTGAACTAGGCTGGAATTGTGCAGTTACGTCTTGGCTGGACTAATGAGTCAAATAATAAAACAAACGAAATCGACTTCCAGTTCGTCAACTGCTGTGCAGGTTTCGGGCGATTGCAGGATTTGTTAAGCATGGGTACCATCAACTCGGCGTCCCAATCCTTTCATGTTTCTAATCAAGGTGCTCGCGTGATTTGATGCACTTCGCGAAGTAAGGTCTGGGGTTTTTTCAATATAGATCTTGATTATCAATCTGATCATTTTGACTGGGCGCCACCATTTTGTTTGAAGCAAATGCAAGTGATATGAGAGGTGGAATCTGGTTGGTCAATAGGAAGGACATAGAAGGGACATAACTCGTAATAGCCACTGGAAGATGGAACGTACCGAGAGGAGTCATAACAAAAAGTCACATTTGCATTGATTCAACTATAGCAATGGTACAATCGACAGCCCCAAGCATTGAATGGTTGGTGACAGAATCAAGATCAGCACATCCTGGCACAAAAAGGGGCAAAACTTGACACGTCTCTATAGAGTTTTTTGTCCACAGGACAACCCAATCCTTGTTATACTACTATCTGAACATTCTGAGCTGCAACTCAAAAGAACGCCCATGAATATAAACATGCTTCCTCTACCGTGTTCATCTAATGTAAAACAAGATTCCTTCATTACCAACGTCACTCTCTACATCTTCCTCTTCTGGTTCTCCCTCTTCCTCCATCTTAGGTTCTGGTTCAGGAGTAGGCTGAAACATAATATAACTCTGTATTACCAAGCCACTGCCAGTCTCCGACTTAAGCCACCAGTCTGAAAATAGCAGACTATACAAACAAATTGAGGTACTTCCCTTTACCCAAAGCATTTGAATAAACATCAGTTCATTTCAGCTCAATGATACTTTTGCGAGATAAGCAAGTTACATAAGGTGTGTTCCGATTTATTTCTCAGGCTACATGGAAAATAATTGCCCGCTCATCACATCTACGAATTGTCCCTCATTAAAGCTACGACGAAACAATTGAAAAAATATAAGGCTACAATAGAAGCCAATCTTTTGTGGATTATGAGCCTGAGGTTAATCTAACCCTGCATGTCCATATGCCTGTAAGTTGGTTGCTTTTCATCAGTTGCCATATAACATATAAGCCAAAGGACCATTTTAGCCAATATACCATACAAACCTTTATACCAGAAAAGCCAATAAACCACATAAATCAATATCAGATAACCATATATACCATACATACAACATATACCTCTATAAGCTTATATATCATATTAACCTATATACCATAAAAGCCTAAATACCAAATAAACCTTTATACCTTTATACCATTTATACCATATGTACATATACACCATATAAACCTATATACCATAAAAGCCTATATATATCATATGAACCTATATACGATGTAAGCCTATAATGTCTTTCATCCTGTAAATTATATTCCTCGTCATATAGCTGGAATATTGCTGAGTGCCGTGTTAAACAAATAACAAACCGTAAGTACTATCCCCATTCCATTATGAGTGACATCACCATCTCCATCTTCCAACAGAATTTCTTACAAAGGAGTGCAATTTGATTGGATGACTAATTTCAAATGTCGTTCAAATTCAACATTAAATTATGCTTTGGTATTTTAATGGTCAAGTGTAATTATCATAAAAGATGAGAAATAACTGGGTAATAAACATGCTAAACAATGCTAAAGGATGCTCAAATTCAAACAAAATGTTCATCTTGTGATGATGTTGTGGAACTCACCTCTGCTTTTGGAGGAGCCTCAGCCTTAGGTTTTGCCAAGAGAGGAGGAATAGTGGCTCCCATACTGAAAGTATTGACAAACAAACAATCAGTATATTTTATAACCTCTTCAACTCAGATATTGCAATATTTAAGTAATAGTGCTCCCTGATAAAATTGTGGACCATGTTGACTTTTGTCAAAAATCAACATTCATTCACTTGCCTTGCATTATTTTTAAATATTGTTGTAGATTATGTAGAAAAATGAATTTATGGCTTATTGATTCTAATATAGTTTGAATTTGTTTTTGCTTGAATTATTATGTGTATATTATTTGAATGTTGACAATTTTCACAATGAAGGGCATTTAAAACACAACAGCTTCATAACTGTCACTTATATCTCAATGTGATTATTATCACATTACCATGAATACAGGGGGAGGTGGGGTAGCCTAGTGGTTAAAGCGTTTGCTCCTCACGCCGAAGACCCGGGTTCTATTCCCCACATGTGTACAATGTGTGAAGCCCATTTCTGGTGTCCCCTGCTGTGATATTGCTGGAATATTGCTAACAGCGGCGTTAAACTATACTCACTCACTCACTCACCATGATTACAGATCACAAAAGAACAACCTTACACGAACTCTGATCAACCAATGAAATTACCAACAGGAAGTCGACATTAACCAATCAGAAAGCAGCTTTCTCAAGTTCTACGACACTAGTTTCAAAATGTTGACTTCCTTTCCACACCACACATTTCAAAAATAGTTTGCCAAAGTTCAATTGAAAATTTGAAAAAACTGAACAAATCTGGAATGTCTAATTTAAGGCCTAGATTGCATGGCCGTACACATGGGCTAAGGAAAGTCTCTTCGGTTTCAAATGTTTCTTGCATTACACCCCGTTACTGTTGTTCGGAATGCCTTGTGTTAACCTTTACCATGTTTAAATTCAGATTCATTTTCGCGATCCTGTAAGCAAATCTCTGATTGGTCAGATGAAAGGTCAATCTGATGTGAGCTGTAATAAGATGCCCTCACATCTTTATGTAATGTCAGTTTATATGTTGCTGCTTGTGTCTATCAAAATTGTATATTTTCAGGACCTTTTCTGCACACGAATTCCAACTTTATTAACGGAGCTGAAGATAAGTGAGTCTTTGCGTAAAATACTCAATAAATAAACTGAAATATGCAGACAAATCAAATCCCTAGCGTATCAAATATGCAACAAAAACTATAAAAATGCTATTGAAATAGAACTTAAATGTATATTCTACCATGAATTTGGAATTTACTCGATTCTGATTGGTCAATCAGAGGCTATTCAATCACAATAAACCCCCTCTGATTGAAACAGCTGGTTTGACGGCCGCATCACCGCGCAAGCTAATATTCATAGAATAGTACTATTTTCAGTCATTGTCGGTAGGCATATTTAAATAATTATATCTACAATAACAGGTTACAAAATGCACAGATGCGGTTACTACAATATTCAAAGGATGTGTGGCAATACACTTCGTGCAGAAAAACACGACAGAAATCAACAAAGGGAATGTATTTACGTTTTGGAGACAACAGAGAGCTTGGAATTTTGGCACTTTTCTATATACGACTGTGACGTCATATCTTTTGTGTCACAATGAGCGATATGACGTCATAATGGTGACGTGCGATGTAGAGCGAAAGCCTTGCAAAGCTTGCTTTGTTTTCTTTAGGGATGCCCACCTCATGTTAGCTTACAAAGTTGCTATGCTTTCAATGCCTGTGTTATGTTCAAGTGAAGTATTACGGTGTAAACAAACTGCTTGAGTATATACGGCACGATATTTTGTTCCGCGATTCCGTAATTCAGATCGATAACCCACTCAAAACACTGAACTCAACCCATGCCGCTTCACTCAGTATATTTGCTAACACCAAAGAGTTTGCATTTTATTTAGTCATGGTTGAATGGAGATAAACAAACTGTGTTTTCAATGTAGAGCTAGGTTACCTGTAGATTTAACAGCGCTAAATTTAACATTTGAAACCTCACGCTGCATGTTTGGTTCCAAATTCAATTTAGCGGGGTTAAATCTACAGGTAACCTAGATCTACATTGAAAACGCAGTATGTTTATCTCCTAATTACAACTGTTAGATAAATCCAGTGCATATCAGCAGATTGCGAAATTCATTTACCGACAGTTACATTCAGTAAAACATGTCTATACTACTTTAAATGATTTACAAAGTCCGCTTTGAATGGTATTCCAGTTATATCAGTGAGTGAGTGAGTGAGTTGGGTTTAACGCTGCTTTTAGCAGTATTCAGTTATATTGTGGCGTGTCAGCTTAATGTGGGAGGAAAGCCCGAAGTGATGCAGGTCTCAGACGTTTATCACTTTGGTAAAACCCATGAGCACGGGTATGGTGCTGACAAACCTAGAAACATAATCGGGGCGAACCGGGATTCGAAACCACAATCATAGGTTTCTGGCGTGCCCAAGGGATGCAACTCTGCACAGAGAATCGCAGCGCCTTAGACGACAGGGCCACCCGTGCCCCCTCCAGTTATATCACGGCATGTCAGTTTGATGTGGGATGAAAGCCTGAGGTGTTGGACATTACCACTTTGGTGAATCCCACAAGCAGGGGTATGGTGCTGACAAACCTAGAAACATAATCGGAGCGAACCAGTATTCGAACCCACAATCAGAGGTTTCTGGTGGGCCCTTGGGACACAACTCCTTACAGCGAATTGGGGCGCCTTAGGTGACTGGGCCAACTGGGCCTAAGGGAAGATATGGTCAGGGGACTGTGAGACTGACTAGTTGTCAGGTAGGTCTCCAATGGTCACTGTGGTCAACCTGGGACTCGAACATTATTCTTCCGAAATTCCCATACAAGGAGACCCAGGTAAACCACTTGACACTTCTTGTACATGTGTAATGAATTTTAAAAATTAATCTTCATGCACTTTAGGACATTTTGCATGACAATCAGTAAAAAATCTCATTAAATATAGATCTTATTCCACCAAACAAAGATCTGCGGACATCCCATTATGGGTCATGTCAGAATGACCTTTCGCCTGACCAATCAAAACTTTGCAAACCAGATTGGGAAATTGACAGTAGGAATGTGTTTTATAATCATTCAACATCAAAAAGGTTTCACAGGGTTTCTGAAATGAAACTATTGGCTGTACGAGTGATTCCATCAATTTCCTCGTCTATCTCTCGCTTCAATGAGATGAACATTTAAAAAAGGAGATTTTTTAGTCTTAGGGAAGTACTGTCATACAATCTCGTTCAAGCTTTAAGACATTCCAGAATTTTCTTTTGTTGAGTTTTCAAACTTTGAATCGAGAACTTTGTCAAAATAGTTTTCAAAGTATAGTCCGGAACCGAAGTTGCCAATTTGAAGCTAGTGCTGTACAGCTGGAGAAAGCTGCTTTCTGATTGGCTAATGGTCGTCAAAGTTCGCGAAAGGTCTTTCTGACGTTACCTGTAATGGGATGTCCTCAGATTTATGTGTAGTGAGAACTAAGATCTGATTTTAATGAGACTGATAGTCAATGTCATAGAAATAGACTGATTTGAAATTACCGTATTCGACATAATAAGCGCCCCGCTCTAATAACCACCCATGGCGATAATTGCTAACATATTAGCTAGTGAACAATCCCAATTAGCACCCCTTCCGATTGATCAATGTACACAAGACTTATTTATTCAAGTATAATACGCAATCGTGTGTTATATGCACCCTTAATTATGGGCAATTAAATTCTGGAAAAATATATCTGTCGTACATAAACATTTCAGGCTGTCAGCATAGACCACAAAATTTATCTTTCAACTCTGTTTTTTCCACCAAAATAATATTCTAATAAGAGCCCCCTTTTTATAATTTTGAGAGCGCCCGGGGCACTTATTACGTCGAATACAGTAAGCATGCTATCCCAATCCAGGTGCTTATGTACCCTTTTAGCCACTCTCTGTAAAAAGCCAGTTCTGGTACATGGAGGATGTCAGAGTTGACTTTGCACAACTGTGTGAACTCCTGCAGGAGTTTTATCTGGTCGGCTGGCATCGACATCTTGGTAACTGGCTGAAAAATAGCACAAGTTACAGTAAACACATGGTAAAGCATTCTTTGTTTCAAAAACAATAATATTTTATTTCCGTATTTGGACTTACAGGTTGGTAGGTAAGTTAAAACATTAGTGCCACAGCACTGTAGCTCACCTGGATATATATAGTTCATATGACACAATAAAATGTCAAAAAAAATAACCACTAATAAAAAGTTGCTGTCAGTATTTATATTAAAATATTTTATGCATAGAAACTTTATGGCATGTGCATAGGGGCTTGAAAACACACTAAAATCCTTATGCGGGGATATGTCAAGAATTATGAACTATTATATTATTTGGGATAATATTTGGTCAAAATTTTGATTTTCTTAAAGTTCTGATTTTCTGAAATTCATAGGTATTTCAACACTCAATGCAATTATGTCAAAGTACTCAAGGTAAGTATTAAAGCCGCTTTCTGTTTAACATGTTTATTAGTCATCTTATCAGTGATTTTACAAGTCACCTGTGTACAGACGCAACATTAGTTAAACATGAATCAGATATTCTTCACTTACATTTGCTGCAAGTTTAGATAAATCCCTGTAATGACATGAAGTTAAACATAATATAAGGTTTTCATAAGGAGCAGAGCTCTAGACAAGCTGCGTATTTACGTAAAATATGCACTGAAAAAAAAATGCAGACAAATCAAATCCTTGCATATCAAATACAAAAAAACTATAAATACACTATTGAAATAAAACAATTGCATATATTACTGTTAGATTGTGTATCAGCTGATTACAAAATTCACATTCAGACAATTACATTCGGAAAAAACTTGTTAGACAAACAAACTTGAATACTGATAACTGAAAGCAAGTCATGCCTAGTCAGTGTATAGGGCTGAAATAAGGTGAGGTGAAATTGGGTTTAACGTAGCGTCCAAGATTATTGCACTTATATAGCGACGTGCATGCACGTGTGTGTGTGTGGCTGCTTGTACTAGTCCGGACTGATGCTGATTTATAGTGCTAGCCCACTGAGATACCATGCCACAGTTTAACATGAATACCCCACTCAGACACAGTATACTGACTCCGAGCCGACCAGTCCTTGTTTTAGCCCCTTAATGCCGAGCGCCAGACAGGGTAACAACAAGTACAATCTTTTAACGTCTTTTGGTATGACACGGCCGGGGATCGAACCCCGGACCTTCCGCTCTCCATGCGGAGGCTGAAATAAAGCTGATGTGGCGTTATATTCTAACTCACTCACTCACTATCTTCAACAGTGGTGATTAAAGAAATTGCATTTTTCTTACAATGCCATAGTGAAAATTGGATTCCATCCTGTTGAACAAACTAAGGCATCATTGGTGGGGAAGAAGCATGTAAAACTACAGCTTCACCCTGTTCAATACCCAGTGGTCTCTGAGAAGTAGATGTTTACATAATTGAGTCTGGACCAGTCAATCCAATGATTGACATCATGAGCATTGACCCACGCAATTGGGAGTGAGTGAGTGAGTTTGGTTTTACGCCGCTTTTAGCAATATCCCAGCAATATCACGGCGGGGGACACAAGAAATGGGCTTCACACACACGCAATTGGGATTGCAGCAAGCCTAACCACCCGATCCCATTAGTCACCTCTTATGACAAGCATAGTGGCCTTTTACGGCAAGCATGGGTTGACCTATTCTACCCCGGATCTTCATGGGTCTTAATAAATGTTGAGTTTGCAGTGCTATGTGCATGCTTCCTTATAACTAAGGAAGAGGGAGGGGGCATCACTTCATATATTTTTAGGGTGAAAACTTTGTTTGCAAGATCTCATATGTAGACTTTTTAAGACAATATTTATTTCAAATTATATTAATTTTGAATCAAGTCTTGAACATAATAGTTCTCCAAAAGCATGATAAAAATATGAAATAAAAACCACTTTATCAACCTTACTGTTGTTATACATGTTACAAAAGATAATTTTTTTACCATATTAACAAGATGGCAATATCGATTTATTACCCAATTTTGATGCCTTGGATTGAACCATACGCCATTATCACCAACACCTACACACCATTTCAACTCATGCAAAAGTGCTCACAGATAACAAATTTTATTCACTTCTCAAAACGCAATATCTGAATCAAATGTCCCTTCAGACATTTGAGCTAAAGTCTCATAAATTTAAAATGTTTAAAACAGTTTATCAAACTTCAAATTATTTCTGTGGATGCATTTAAGTTGCAACAGTGGCTGTTGCCCTTTTTTAATAATTCGGCTTCCATGTATTTTGCTCTTCTGCCTGATAAGATGAAAACTAGCATTGGAGGCATTTACATTCAAATAGGCATACTAAACAAAGCAAATCAGCCACCAGCAAAGAAAACAGCTTGACTGATATTACTACTTGATTTAACAACCAGAGCTAAGGATGATAAAACACCTGGCAAAGTACAGAGCCGGGTCAAACAAGGCATGCAGTACGCCCTGCACTACTTGAATATCAAGTTGACCATGTTACTCTAAGTCGAGTCTCAAAACGGACACGTTTGAAAAAATCCCTACTTTCGAATTATGAACATGTCATCATCATATTCATGTTTCGCTGCACACAATTAGGCATGCCAATGCAGAACTATCTACCATTCCCTGGTAGAGATATGATAAAGGTGGGTGTATTTACCTTGGAAGTCAACGCATGGACCACGCCGAAATTTCTAGGCTTGGTTACAGTCCTTGACCGAATTAAGTCGCTAGAAGTCGCTTACATCAACCACAATAGATTAGTAAATGATTAACAAAATATATATTTCTCGGAGAAGATGGTTGACATAATAATATCTAATGGATATATGTATGTATAGAAAAATCTCATGCGACTTTTGCTTTTCCAAATACTGTCAAAATGTTATCTTTTTCATTGGGGTAAGGATAATTGCAGGTGCTCTAAGGGAGGGAACTCTGTGTGTAACTTGCCCTTGGAGTAAAACACAAACTTCAGATATGTGGAATCTTGGATACAGGCGATGTATGTGCAACACGAAGCTTGTATTGTTAATTTACTTTTAAACAACACTGATGCAGTCTCTTTTTTATTTGTTTTAAGCAATTTTACATATGCTACTATGCATATGCAATAAATATAATTTCAACTGTATGGATTAAATAATAATTAACAGGTAGATAGGTATGTAGGGATGATTATTTTAATGTTGAATCAAACAAAAAAATTCCTATACAGTCAGACACCATTGTGTCAAAGTTGTAGGTTCCTACGTAAATACTTCACAATTTGATTTGACACAACCAAATTAAAAATGATGAATAAAGAAGGAATATGCAGGGACTATGCTTTTAACAGAGACAACTGTAAGTTTGACCCACCTAATTTCGACACAATGGTATTTGACTGAATATAATTTTCTCTTGGTTAGGTCACATGATATTAATGAAATGAAAATATTATACAGCAATTTGAGTTATTACATGTATTAGTACCACTCCCTGAACACAGTTCTGAATTATGAGCACCCAGCTTTTCCTGTACTGTTAACTTAATAACATTACATTTATTTATTGCACGGATCAGTATCTGATATGTAATTGGCTGCCTCGTAAATATTGATTTGGCAAAATAAAATGAGTGAATAATTTGTTTCTGCTGTTTTATAACCAATAGACGTAAAGAACGTCCTGTTTGAAATTTGTGCTGTAAAATGCTCATGACAACAGCTAGAGCCTCATTTACGCAGTGTTACTCTTCTGCTGAGTATTGTGGCGTGACACCTCCTTTGTTAGGACACCCATGATAAAGACTACTCAACTACTGATTTGGATACTCTGGTAGTCCAGGTGGAACTGGCAGGAGTTTGTAGTCTGAAATATCTCAGTATTCCTTTTGAAACTTTACTAGTATAGTTTTGTAAAAGGGAGATTGGATTCTACGGTTTTGTCCTCAGTTTCATTGTAGATATGAATGCAGTATGTTTACTGCTTGTGTGAAGTTGATTGAACATTAGTTAGGTTGATAAGTTGTTCTAGGACTTCCAACAAGCAAGGGTCTAGCTTGTCCTTTGATCTTTTTATGGATCCATTGTATTTCATTAATCCGTGTTCATTTTAATATTTTTCAGTATTTTCAGGATGTCACCAATTCAGGTTACCTGAATTTCTTTGCATAAAGCAATTCCGACTTCCTATCGTAATCCTGTCAAATTCCTTCGGACAACCAGCTGCTCAGACACATCCTCACCTGGTCAAACAAGGGGAGGTAACACCAGGAATTTCAAAACGTGAATATCAAATTAGAAGGGATAATTTAGTGACACTGGCATGCAGTGCTTTCAAGGACATGGAAAGTGTGAAAGATCACATTTTGATATTCCCAGCTTCAGCAAAGACTTTTATGACCTATGACATACCATATCCTTTTCGACAAAATACAGAATTCTTGTATCTGTGTGGATTTCAGGAACCAGACAGTGTTTTAATCTTGCATACAAATCAACAAAAGTCATCCATTACTGATTATATGTCGGTTCTGTTTGTGCCGAAAAAAGACCCCTCGAAAGAATTATGGGATGGACCAAGGTCAGGAAGAGAAGGAGCCTTGATGTTAACAGGGGTGGACAAAACGTTGAATGTTGACAGTCTGGAGGAGTACCTCAGTGATTACTGTACACAATTTAACAATTATGTGTTGTGGTACAATTATTCCAAACCAACCCACATGGAGCATGACATCCAAGTGTTGAGCCAGTTTATGAAGGAAAACCGTCATAAATGTATCGAAAACACAGTCGGAATTTGTAACCAATTGAGGTTGACTAAATCTCCAGCCGAAATTGAGCTGATGAAACAAAGTGTGGAAATAGCTTCAAAGTCTTTCATTGAAGTTATGAAATTTTCACATCCAGAGGTAATTTTTAGATTCCTTTCTGTGATGATGTTTGATATCATAAAGCCATCAATTGTAAAAGAAAAATACCATACCACCGTTGTAAATATTCAGTAGTTTAACATTTGTATTTTTATTCAACATTTCAACAAAATAAGAAAGTATGTGTCGACAGGATGCAACTTGGCAGGAGCCTGCTAGTCTGAGCCTGGGCTACAGGTATCCTGAGGGCTAGCCATGCTTTACTGTGCGCTATAACCGAGTTAGCGCTATATTGAAGGGCGCAATAACGAGGGAACACTGTAGAATTTAGGCTGTTGAGAGGGTGTCACGATTCAGGCTATAAGGGACTGGTCATTTATTGAAGGGGTGAGGTGGGGGAAGATTGGTCTTAGGACTGTATAATAGTTTGTTGATACCCCCCCATTTTATGTAGCATTTTTTAATATAATAAATGACCAGTCCATAAATAATGCTCAAGTTTATATCTTTTGCGTTTGAAATGATAAAAGTGTAATTTTTTCGTTACCCATATAATACAATTATGATAAATGTTGGTGACGTCCCTCTTTCACTGTGTCATATTTTCATGATAACACCCACCCACCCAATACCCAATCTTTTCCCCCCTACCCTCCCTTATAATAAATTACCAGTCTCTAAATGTCTCAGGTTAATTTGTGTGCCTGTATTAGATACATTCAGTGTTTGATTTAAATGAAAAACAGATAATAAGATTGATAAGTATCGTGGTTCTTCTTAGAAAGGTGACATAATAGGTTATTTATAATAATATTTATTGTCAGGTCAAGGAAGCTCATCTGTATGCAAAGATGGATTTTGAGTGTCGGATACGTGATGCTGAGTTCCTGGCGTTCCCTCCAGTTGTTGCAGGTACGGAAGCTCCCCAGTAACACCTTTATTTCCCCATTACTTTCATGCATAGGGTCGGTCGGGTAGTCTAGTGGTTAATGGATTTGCTCATCCCACCAAAGGCCAAGGTTTAATTCCCCACATGGGTACAATGTGTGAAGCCCATTTCTGGCGTCCCCCGCCGTGATATTGCTGGAATATTGCTAAAAGCGGAGAGATTCTATGCTACCTCACTTCTGGGGCCCAATGCATCATCATGTAGTCTGTGTGAATGCGAGTGAGGTCATCACCTCAGGACTGGTGTTAGGTAATTTCCTCAGCAAGAGGCCATTTCATATAGCATGACAACACACAAAGTTTTTCATCATTTTACTTTGTAAAAGTGCCTTTTTAGGCTAATCACAGTGACAGTTAGGAAATGCTATATTTATAGGTATGTTTGCGTTATTTTTATATATGCTATTTTCCTAGCCCTATGATTTGTATATATTAAATGAGTCAGAAAAGCCTTTTTCTATGCTAGAGCAAGAGGAGTATCCATATTATCCATCCGGTATTATGAATGTCGGTAATATTTGTTTCCTTCACACAGGGGGTAATCGTGCCAACACTATCCATTACATCAACAACAACCAGATCGTTCGCGATGGGGAGTTAGTCCTCATGGATGCAGGCTGTGAGTTCCATGGTTACACCAGTGACATCACCCGCACATGGCCAGTCTCAGGTAATAGTACTAATACTGTAATCGCCCGCACATGACCAGTCTCAGGTAATAGTACTAATACTGTAATCGCCTGCACATGGCCAGTCTCAGGTAATAGTACTAATACTGTAATCACCCGCACATGGCCAGTCTCAGGTAATAGTACTAATACTGTAATCACCCGCACATGGCCAGTATCTGGTAATAGTACTAATACTGTAATCACCCATACATGGCCAGTCTCAGGTAATAGTTATAATACTGTAATCACCTGCACATGGCCAGTCTCAGGTAATAGTATTGATACTGTAATCGCCCGCACATGGCCAGTCTCAGGTAATAGTACTAATACTGTAATCACCCGCACATGGCCAGTCTCAGGTAATAGTACTAATACTGTGATCACCCGCACATGGCCAGTCTCAGGTAATAGTATTAATACTGTAATCGCCCAAACATGGCCAGTCTCAGGTAAAAGTGTTAATACTGTAATCGCCCGCACATGGCCAGTCTCAGGTAATAGTATTTATACTGTAATCACCCGCACATGGCCAGTCTCAGGTAATAGTACTAATACTGTAATCACCCGCACATGGCCAGTCTCAGGTAATAGTACTAATACTGTGATCACCTGCACTTGGCCAGTCTCAGGTAATAGTATTCATACTGTAATCACCTGCACATGGCCAGTCTCAGGTAATAGTTATAATACTGTAATCACCCGCACATGGCCAGTCTCAGGTAATAGTATTAATACTGTGATCACCCAAACATTGCTTGTCTCAGGTAATAGTATTAATACTGTGATCACCCGCGCATGGCCAGTCTCAGGTAATAGTATTAATACTGTGATCCCCCGCACATGGCCAGTCTCAGGTAATAGTACTAATACTGTAATCGCCCGCACATGGCCAGTCTCAGGTAATAGTATTAATACTGTAATCACCTGCACATGGCCAGTCTCAGGTAATAGTATTAATACTGTAATCGCCCGCACATGGCCAGTCTCAGGTAATAGTATTAATACTGTAATCACCCATACATGGCCAGTCTCAGGTAATAGTTATAATACTGTAATCACCCGCACATGGCCAGTCTCAGGTAATAGTATTGATACTGTAATCGCCCGCACATGGCCAGTCTCAGGTAATAGTATTAATACTGTAATCACCCATACATGGCCAGTCTCAGGTAATAGTTATAATACTGTAATCACCCGCACATGGCCAGTCTCAGGTATTAGTATTAATACTGTGATCACCCAAACATTGCTTGTCTCAGGTAATAGTATTAATACTGTGATCACCCGCGCATGGCCAGTCTCAGGTAATAGTATTAATACTGTGATCCCCCGCACATGGCCAGTCTCAGGTAATAGTATTAATACTGTAATCGCCCGCACATGGCCAGTCTCAGGTAATAGTATTAATACTGTAATCACCTGCACATGGCCAGTCTCAGGTAATAGTATTAATACTGTAATCGCCCGCACATGGCCAGTCTCAGGTAATAGTATTAATACTGTAATCACCCATACATGGCCAGTCTCAGGTAATAGTTATAATACTGTAATCACCCGCACATGGCCAGTCTCAGGTAATAGTATTGATACTGTAATCGCCCGCACATGGCCAGTCTCAGGTAATAGTATTAATACTGTAATTGCCCGCACATGGCCAGTCTCAGGTAATAGTATTAATACTGTAATCACCTGCACATGGCCAGTCTCAGGTAATAGTATTAATACTGTAATTGCCCGCACATGGCCAGTCTCAGGTAATAGTATTAATACTGTAATCACCTGCACATGGCCAGTCTCAGGTAATAGTATTAATACTGTAATTGCCCGCACATGGCCAGTCTCAGGTAATAGTATTAATACTGTAATTTCCCACACATGGCCAGTCTCAGGTAACAGTATCAATACTGTAACATTAATAGTGAGTGAATGTTGTTTTACGTCATAGTCAGCAGTATTACAGTGTGGTACAGGCAGACCAGTAGTTTTATAGCATGATCCACTGGGGCCGAGCCAGGTCATCCATCATCCAATCCTCATCACTTGGCTCTTACAAGCCTGGAGTTGTGGTCACGGATTCTACCCCAGGATTAACATAACCATACTATACACACTCGAGTATGTGAAGACATAAGCTGCTCAGTGCCTTACTATTCCAGGTGGGGGCAGTGGGGTAGCCCGGTGGTTCAAGCGGTCGCCTGTCATGCCAGCAGCCCAGGTTCGATTCCCCACCGCACTCACTCACTCACTGTTGTGATATTGCTGGAATATTGCTAAAAGTGGTGTAAGACCGTACTCAATCACTCTGTTGTGATATTGCTGGAATATTGCTAAAAGTGGTGTAAGACCGCACTCACCCACTCTGTTGTGATATTGCTGGAATATTGCTAAAAGTGGTGTAAAACCACACTCACTCACTCTGTTGTGATATTGCTGGAATATTGCTAAAAGTGGTGTAAGACCGAACTCACTCACTCACTCTGTTGTGATATTGCTGGAATATTGCTAAAAGTGGTGTAAGACCGTACTCAATCACTCTGTTGTGATATTGCTGGAATATTGCTAAAAGTGGTGTAAGACCGTACTCACTCTGTTGTGATATTGCTGGAACATTGCTAAAAGTGGTGTAAGACCGTACTCACTCTGTTGTGATATTGCTGGAATATTGCTAAAAGTGGTGTAAGACCGTACTCACTCGCTCTGTTGTGATATTGCTGGAATATTGCTAAAAGTGGTGTAAGACCGTACTCACTCTGTTGTGATATTGCTGGAACATTGCTAAAAGTGGTGTAAGACCGTACTCACTCTGTTGTGATATTGCTGGAATATTGCTAAAAGTGGTGTAAGACCGCACTCACTCACTCACTCTGTTGTGATATTGCTGGAACATTGCTAAAAGTGCTGTAAGACCGTACTCACTCACTCTGTTGTGATATTGCTGGAATATTGCTAAAAGTGGTGTAAGACCGTACTCACTCTGTTGTGATATTGCTGGAATATTGCTAAAAGTGGTGTAAGACCGTACTCACTCACTCACTCTGTTGTGATATTGCTGGAATATTGCTAAAAGTGGTGTAAGACCGTACTCACTTACTCACTCTGTTGTGATATTGCTGGAATATTGCTAAAAGTGGTGTAAGACCGTACTCACTCACTCACTCTGTTGTGATATTGCTGGAATATTGCTAAAAGTGGTGTAAGACCGTACTCACTCACTCACTCTGTTGTGATATTGCTGGAATATTGCTAAAAGTGGTGTAAGACCGTACTCACTTACTCACTCTGTTGTGATATTGCTGGAATATTGCTAAAAGTGGTGTAAGACCGTACTCACTCACTCACTCTGTTGTGATATTGCTGGAATATTGCTAAAAGTGGTGTAAGACCGTACTCACTCACTCACTCTGTTGTGATATTGCTGGAATATTGCTAAAAGTGGTGTAAGACCGTACTCACTTACTCACTCTGTTGTGATATTGCTGGAATATTGCTAAAAGTGGTGTAAGACCGTACTCACTCACTCACTCTGTTGTGATATTGCTGGAATATTGCTAAAAGTGGTGTAAGACCGTACTCACTCACTCACTCTGTTGTGATATTGCTGGAACAATGCTAAAAGTGGTGTAAGACTGCACTCACTCACTCACTCTGTTGTGATATTGCTGGAATATTGCTAAAAGTGGTGTAAGACCGTACTCACTCACTCACTCTGTTGTGATATTGCTGGAATATTGCTAAAAGTGCTGTAAGACCGTACTCACTCACTCACTCTGTTGTGATATTGCTGGAACAATGCTAAAAGTGGTGTAAGACTGCACTCACTCACTCACTCTGTTGTGATATTGCTGGAATATTGCTAAAAGTGGTGTAAGACCGTACTCACTCACTCACTCTGTTGTGATATTGCTGGAATATTGCTAAAAGTGCTGTAAGACCGTACTCACTTACTCACTCTGTTGTGATATTGCTGGAATATTGCTAAAAGTGCTGTAAGACCGTACTCACTTACTCACTCTGTTGTGATATTGCTGGAATATTGCTAAAAGTGGTGTAAGACCGTACTCACTCACTCACTCTGTTGTGATATTGCTGGAATATTGCTAAAAGTGGTGTAAGACCGTACTCACTCACTCACTCTGTTGTGATATTGCTGGAACAATGCTAAAAGTGGTGTAAGACTGCACTCACTCACTCACTCTGTTGTGATATTGCTGGAATATTGCTAAAAGTGGTGTAAGACCGTACTCACTCACTCACTCTGTTGTGATATTGCTGGAATAATGCTAAAAGTGGTGTAAGACTTGCTCTCTCAAACTGTTCACTTGTACCACTTAGAGATCAGAGTTTGATTCCCGCATGGGTACTCAAAGTAGCACTCCCTCTCTCCTCCAGGGAGGTTCAGCTCCTCACAGAGACGGCTGTATGATGCAGTGTTGACTGTCCAGGAGCAGTGTGTGGAGCTGTGCACCTTGGCCCACTCCCTGGATGACATCTACAAGGTGATGCTGAAGCTGCTGGGGAAACAGCTGCAGGTGCTGGGCATCCTCCCAGCAGACGTCAAGGAAGTCGAGTTAATGCAGGTTTGTCTAGTGAAGAAGGCGGTGAGGTAGCCTTGTGGTTAAAACGTTCGTTATGAAGGCTCAAATTCAATTCCTTAAATGGGTACAATGTGGGAAGACAATTTCTGATGTGCCCGTCCATTAAATATAGATGGAACATTGCTAAAAGTGGTGTACAACCTCCCTCCTCATTCTTTATTCTACAGTGTATTAGAGGAGTAACAATACAGTTGGGTTGTGATACAATATGTATCCTGATCATATTGGTGCGATACGATACGCATCCTGATCCTATTGGTGCGATACGATAGGTATCCAGGTCCTATTGGTGCGATACAATTGTTAACCCGATCCTATTGGTGCCATACGATACGCATCCTGATCCTATTGGTGCGATACGATAGGTATCCAGGTCCTATTGGTGCGATACGATAGGTATCCAGGTCCTTTTAGTGCGATACAATTGTTAACCCGATCCTATTGGTGCAATACGATACGCATCCTGATCATATTGGTGAGATACGATAGGTATCCAGGTCCTATTGGTGCGATACGATATGTATCCCAATATAGTACTTTGCAGGTGAATCACAACCCTGAGTCATTTGTTTTTAGTTTTCAGACAGCGGAGATAAACTTTGTTGGGCAGAAACATAGATTAGAGGATGCAGTGAATGTTTTGCTATTTAAAGCCAACTGGGAAATACAAGAGAATCTGTTATTAAGGACATGGTTTTACACCAATGCAATGTAGTGTATCGTATGTTTCGCGATACAGAGGTTGTAAATCAATGTATTGTATCTTGGGCCTCGTATCATGCACACAATACTGTATTGCCGTATTATTACACCACAACTGCATATACGTTTTTTTCAGAAAACCCGTGAGTTTTGTCCCCATCATGTGAGTCACTATCTGGGAATGGACGTCCATGATACATCCGACATCTCAAGAGGCATAAAACTAAGTCCAGGGATGATTGTTACAATCGAGCCAGGTGAGAATAGCGGGTGTTCAATGGGTGAACCTGTTCCCAACACTTGCCCATGGGGATTACAGTAACAGTAACATGAGAACAATGTTTCCTTTTTAGCTCACCTGACTGAAAGTCAAGTGAGCTTATTTCGTGGCCTATTTGTCTGACGTCTGTAATAATCTTCTACTCAGAACCAACTGGACCAATGAAACAGCCACTTCACACATGCTTGTTCCCACCAATGACTTCTTTGTTCAAGAGGTTTGAATAGGATTTTCAATATGGCCGCCATGCAGCCATATTGAAAAATCTATTTATGGCCATTTTTGTACAAAATGTAATGACATTTGGTATTTGATTAGTTGGTTGTGGGGGTCATCACATATGTTGTCTTTTCGCAAATTATTTATTTGACCTTGTTTTGACAATGCTCTGAAGGCTTTGTAAACGTCTACGCTGAAATTGCCAGACTGAGGGAGCTTAAGTTTAGCATGTATGTTTCTCATGATGACATTATATTTAGTATCAACATTTTTAATTGTTGACTACATATCCAGGTGACCTACAGTGCTGTGGCACTTCTCCAAATCAGCGCGACTATTTATGTATTTGCCAACAATTTACCAGTCAGCATGCACTTTTAAAGACATCACATAACTTTTCATATGAGAAACCATTGAACACATAAGCAAATTAATGCATGAAAAGACAACTTTTACTGTAATATGAAATTTTGAGATCATTTAAAAAAAAATCAATCTGGATGTTTGTCTGCTTCCTGCTAAATTTGTAATGTTGGTTTCCAGGGCTATACATCCCAGCATCCCACCCGACTGCTCCAGCTGAGTTTCAGGGTCTGGGGATTCGTATCGAGGATGACGTTCTGGTAACGGAAGGGGCACCTGTATTGCTGTCACAAGCATGTCCTAAAACTGTTGATGACATTGAACAGATCATGGCTCAGAGTTGATACAATGCACTTGACATATACCATATTCGCCATAATAAGAGCCCTTGAAAACTGACAAAGAGCGTTGCTCATTAATACCATATACAATGAGTTAATTTGGTTGCTGAGATAGAGCCCTTCAAACATTGTTAAAACCAAAAAAAATTTGATAATAGTTACCAGTTAAATATATACTTCTGTGCTGTTGTTTTCTGTTAAAAATATGTAACATACACAAGAAAATATGGACTGTCATGTAAATTTATAAAGATTATAAAGATTACTTACAGACTGGTCTAAAAGTTGGTAAGGGGCACTTATTAGGGCAGGGTCCTAAATATGGCGAATACGGTAATCATGGTAACAACCTTGAAGAAGTTTGTCTAATTGCATGCAAAGTAATTTAATCAAAATAGAATCTGGTGTTGACGCAATGTGTTTCCTTCAGTGATGGAGACTATGATCCTGGAAGATACATGACGCTTCTGCTTCATGATTCTAGACCTGGGTGTTTGTTAAACTTTACTTGACACAAAGTTTTGCAATTGAATTAAGTTTGTAAATAAACTAAATCTGAGCTTGACTTTTACACATTACGGTTGTTAGTGTGTCACTCACTGACTCAGTTTGTTTGTCACAGCTAAGAGGTGAACCCTCATGGTGGTCACCAGTTCAGTCATTGTCATACCTGGCAGCCATTGTCATACTCGGCAGCCTTTGTGATACCTTGCAGTCATTGTCTTACTTGTCAGCCATTGTCATACCTGGCAGCCATTGTCATACTCGGCAGCCTTTGTGATACCTTGCAGTCATTGTCTTACTTGTCAGCCATTGTCATACCTGGCAGCCATTGTCATACTCGGCAGCCTTTGTCATACCTTGCAGTCATTGTCATACTTGGCAGCCTTTGTCATACCTTGCAGTCATTGTCATATCTGGCAGCCATTGTCATACTCGGCAGCCATTGTCATACTCGGCAGCCATTGTCATACTCGGCAGCCTTTGTCATACCTGGCAGCCATTGTCATACCTGGCAGTCATTGTCATACCTGGCAGCCATTGTCATACCTGGCAGTCATTGTCATACCTGGCAGTCATTGTCATACCTGGCAGCCATTGTCAGCTTCAGCAGCCATTGTCATTGTCATACCTGGCAGTCATCGTCATACCTGGCAGCCATTGTCATACTCGGCAGCCATTGTCATACCTGGCAGCCATTGTCATACCTGGCAGCCATTGTCATCCTGAGCAGCCATTGTCATCCTTGGCAGCCATTGTCATACCTGGCAGTCATTGTCATACCTTGCAGTCATTGTCATCCTTGGCAGCCATTGTCAGCTTCAGCAGCCATTGTCATACCTGGCAGTCATTGTCATACCTGGCAGCCATTGTCATCCTTGGCAGCAATTGTCAGCTTCAGCAGCCATTGTCATACCTGGCAGCCATTGTCATACTCGGCAGCCTTTGTCATACCTGGAAGCCATTGTCATACTCAGCAGCCATTGTCATACCTGGCAGTCATTGTCATACCTGGCAGCAATTGTCATACTCGGCAACCATTGTCATACCTGGCAGCCATTGTCATACTCGGCAGCCTTTGTCATACCTGGCAGCCAATGTCATACTCGGCAGCCTTTGTCATACCTGGCAGCCAATGTCATACTCGGCAGCCTTTGTCATACCTGGCCGCCATTGTCATCCTGAGCAGCCATTGTCTTCCAGGGCAGCCACACTCGGCAATATTCAAGCTATATGACGGCGGTCTGTAAATAATCGAATCTGGACCAGACAATCCAGTGATTGACATCATGAGCATTGATCCAAGCAATTGGGATACGATGACATGCATCAACCAAGTCAGCAAGCCTGACCACCCAATCCTGTTAGGTGACCTATTCTACCCCAGACCTTCACGGGTCGGCAGCCGTTGTCATCCCCTGGCAGCAATTGTCATCCTGGGCAGCAATTGTCATCCTGGGCAGTCATTGTCATACCTGGCAGCTATTTTCATCCTCGGCAGCCATTGTCATCAGCAGCCAATGTCATATATGGCAACTATTGTCATCCTCGACAGCCATTGTCATACCTGGTGACCATCTCATAATGCTTTCAACTTTTTAGATATTCTTTTGTGCTTGAAAAATATCAATACCTGAAAACATTGCAGTTATGTTTTTTATTGAAAAAATATCCACAAATTCCTTTAGTTTTTACTAAAATAATATGCATAATGCAGACATTTGACCTTAAGTCAAACTTGAAAATATCTTACACAAATGGCCATTCTAAGACTGTTGATGGAACTACATCAGATCTGGTACAATGAAGTTGTGAATATATACAACAAAAGACAAGACCAAATACACACAGTGAACAGATAATACTTCTACAACCAAGTTATACATCATAAATGTATAAAAGTGACATAGGAACAGTTATTAATTAACACACTATTACATGTATAACCAGTTTTCATAGAAGTGATGGACAATAACAACAGTATTATCATGTCATGTGTAGAAGTTGTAGGCTTATTGTGTGGAGAATACTGATTGATATACCCTGCATGGATATTTACTCATGCCTACAATGAATTTACCTAACCGCTATGTTTATAATTTACCACAATTTGACAACAAATGAAGATTGAGATGTGGAGTGTTTGTTTTTTGTCACCATATTGCCAGGTGAGCTCCAACACACATACATTTAAATCAATGTTATTATATACTATTCCAAAGAAGTCAAAGAACACCCAATGTTTAATGACAATATGAAAAAATCATGTCCATGACAGATTAACTAGGGTAACAAGTAAGAATTGGGTGTTCCTTAACTTCTTTTGTGTAGTATACATTACACAATGTCGTTTCCTTGAAATTGCAGATATTACAGATATTAGTAAAATGGCTGTTGCCAAAACGACATATTTTTTCCAGTTGTATACCGCTGTAGCAGGGTACATGGAAATAAATTGAAACATCAAATATGAATGGCCCCAAAAGTAATTAATAAGAGCGTAAAAAAAAAAGGATAAGATGCCAGTGAGCATGTCTTTGAGCATCACCCCAAGGCAAGGGAGATAACTGACTATAAAAGTCCAGTTTCCACCCTTGCCAAATTAGGCTGGAATTATGGAGTTATATTTTGGCTGGACTAACAAGTCTATGCATAGTCCAATCAAATACACACAATGAAATCGATTTCTGGTTCAAAAACTGCCGCCACCTCGGTGTCATTTTGACTGGGCGCCATCATTTTGTTTGAAGCAAATGCAAGTGATATGAGAGGTGGAATCTGATTGGTCAATAGGAGGGACATAACTCGTAACAGCCACTGGTGGCGCTACGATCGAGCCCAGAAATTCCAGCCTTGGGTGGAAACTGGACTTTTACAGTCAGTTAACAACCTTGCCTCGGGAAGATGGTCTTTGAGCCAATTATTGCCAGTTGACGATCGATGAAAACCACAAATATATCAACTACCCAGGCTCATATTTGAATAGTATTGCTGCATCAAGATCAATACTAGATAGATATTATGCGTGAACGATTATTGAGCTTTGATGTTCAACAACATTAACTACATTAGTTATAATACGACGTATCAGCTACTGGTACATGTCGGAGGATAGCCCAAAGTGATTCATGTCAAGGACATTGAGAACTTTGATGACACCCACAAGCACAGGCTGGTGCTCAGAAACCCACGACCATAAGCCATGAACAGCAAATCCTAAGGCCACAATTTTGTAATTCTATGTTTCACGGATTTTTTCCACACAAGGTTGGTCGAAATAAAAATAAATGCAAATAGCTATGTCAATCATTTATTTATTTATTTATATGAAATTCATTAAAACTGCAGCTGGTTTCTTGAATCACTGATAGTGATGTAGACATGGAGTTTATATGTAACCTTTTTTATTGTATTAGGGGGACAATATTACTAGCGGGAGGCATAAAAAAATAAATACTTTTTGTTTCATTTATTTTTTTTCCAGCTGCGTTTCAGAAGGGTAGGCGGGACCGTGAAACAGAACTAAAAAATGTGTGGCCTAAGGGACAATTGTGTAGACAACTACCTGTTGAATAGTGTCATAATTATTGGAAATTACAACAGTTACTATGCAAGCACAACCATTACAATAGTAATAAAAAGAGTATTTTTTTATTAACAAGTTTCACATAGTGAAGAAACTTGATGAATTCTGTCATTTTGATAATATCAACAGAAAATGTATCACCATCTAAGCACAATACACTGACTTTTCAAAAGCTGAGTATATCTCTTTGAGATAACTGACATAAGTAGGTAATAAATAACAAAGGATATAATGCCAAGAGGCTGTATCCTGCTTATTGAAATTTTGCAGAAATATTACCCCAAAGGTAAGGAAGAAAGACTGGAGCAATTGTTCATGTGAACTGCCTTTAGTTTGATTTGTTTGTTGGTTAATGCCATACTTAGCAACATTCCAGCTTTATTACAGCAGCCTGTAAATCATCGAGTCCTGGACGAGACAATCCAGTTATTGCTGGATTAGGTTGAGCCACATGAAGGGTTAATAATGGATCTGGCTGACAGAAACTGGAAGCTCTGTAAGTGAGTGAGTGAGTGAGTTGGGTTTGACACCGCTTTTAACAGTATTCCAGTCATATCGCGGCGTGTCAGCTTAATGTGGGAGGAAAGCCTGAAGTGATGCAGGCCTCAGACGTTTACCACTTCGGTGAAACCCACGAGCACGGGTATGGTGCTGACAAACCTAGAAACATAATTGGGGCGAACCGGGATTTGAACCCACAATCATAGGTTTCTGGCGTGCCCAAGGGACGCAACTCTACACAGCGAATCGCGGTGCTGTAGACGACTGGGCCACCCGTGCCCCCTGATGCCCTGTAAGTGGACACCCTTAAAGGTATAACTGAGCAACTCAATTTACTATTAGAGATAGGTCCATTGTTACCGAGCAACAATTAGTTATATAAAACTATATATAAGTGAGTGCCAGAATGGATGAGTGTACCCTGTGTGGCGTCCATCTTGCACCATCCATACAGGTCATTTTAACCGTTTCAGAAATTACACTTTACAAAGTCACCAATCCAACTTGGTAGGGTAGTTTCCGGTGAGACACGCAGTACAGTGGCCCTGTTCCTGCCCATTTGACTTGATGCCGTCCTCCACAGCCCTCTGTAACCCTTCCACTGTCAAATAATGTAAACTATCAGCACCTGGAACATAAGGGTTAATTGTTTCAGTGAGTGAGTGAAATAATATTACTGCTTTATCACAATGCCCTGAAAATAACCAAGCTGGACCAGTAGGGCTGGGACAGGTAACTCGGGTACTCGGGTCCGATGAGTACTGAGTAGGACCCGAGTACCCTCAGGACTACCTGGACCCGTGGTCAGTCACATGATATATTGTTTAATGACAAAAATTATCTAAAACTCTATGGTTACACTACAAGTCACTAATGTTGGCACTTCTTTCTGATTATGCACCCATTCCTTCAGACTTTTATATATTTGAAAAAAGACAAAATTTTGATTCAACTTTAGTGTATGCATGACCAAATCGTTTTATAGGTGTATCTCAGCATATTTTGCCAGGGCTACGGTCAAACTCTTCTCCATTGGACAGTTTGTACCTATCTCACGAGACCTACAGCGGGTACTCGGGTAGGGTCAGGTAATAGGGGTGTGGGTACTCGGGTAGTTAATTTGGACTCAGCCCTAACCACAATTACATGAAAGTTGTAACATAGCACAAGGTAAATGGTGAACACTTTCCTCAAATACACATTAACCACATGGGAACTGTGACTATCCCCTTTAAACAAACCAGTGACTGACAGCATGATCAACAATCCACAACAGGTCTTCAGCTTCCCATGCTTGCCGTAAAAGGCGACTATGCTTGTCGTAAGAAGCGACTTAAGGGATCAGGTGGTCAGGCTCGCTGACTTGGTTGATGCTTGCCATCATATCCCAATTAAGTGGATTGATGCTCATGATGTCAATCACTGGATTGTCTGGTCCAGACTCGATTATTTACAAACCGCCGTCATATAGCTGGAATATTGCTGAGTGCGGTGTTAAACAAACAAACACATACACACCTACTCGGTACCCACCCGACCCAAATACCCGAGTTACCTGTCCCAGCTCCACTGGTGCGGGGTTAAACATGAAAAACAACAACAATGGTTTGAAGTAAGCTGTCATAATAACTCACCAAAGTAGTCGGCAATCTTTTCCATGGGCATCTGGTTTGCCACCAGTTCCTCCTTGGTGGGGATGTTAATCCCCATGTAGCAGGGGTACTTGATGGGGGGAGAGGCCACTCGGATGTGTACCTGCGATATCAGCGTCAGTTACATCGTCTGTTTTAGAGAGACTTTATCTTGCATAACAGTGAGTTAGTGAGTGAGTTGGGTTTAACGCCGCTTTTAACAGTATTCCAGTTATATCGCGGCGTGTCAGCTTAATTTGGGAGGAAAGCCCGAAATGATGGAGGTCTCAGACGTTTACCACTTCGGTGAAACCCACGAGCACGGGTATGGTGCTGACAAACCTAGAAACATAATTGGGGCGAACCGGGATTCAACCCACAATCATAGGTTTCTGGCGTGCCCAAGGGACGCAACTCTGCACAGCGAATCGCGGTGCCTTAGACGACTGGGCCACCCGTGCCCCCTCTTGCATAATAATTCAGGGGGAAAAGTAAACTTCTAGATACAATCATCTAATATTGGCTGAGTGAGCGAGTAAAGGAGTTTGGTAAAGTGCTGACAATTGGGTTATACAGGTGCAGTGGAGTTGGTTGGTTGGTTGGTTTGTTGTTTAACGCCGAACTCAGCAATATTCCAGCTATATGACGGCGGTCTGTAAATAATCGAGTCTGGACCAGACAATCCAGTGATTAATATCATGAGCATCGATCCGCGCAATTGGGATCGATGACATGCATCAACCAAGTCAGCGAGCCTGACCACCCGATCCTGTTAGTCGCCTTTTACGACAAGCATAGTCACCTTTTACGGCAAGCATGGGTTGCTGAAGACCAATTCTACCCCGGAATCTTCACGGGTGGTGCAGTGGAGTAGAATGAGTAATGAAATATGATGTATGTGAGTGAGTGAATTTGGCTAAATGTCTCTTTGAACTTTGAATATGTTGAACAGTATTTAAGTTCTCTCATGGCAGGAAAGTCAGAAATGATGCAAGTCTTGGAGAATAACTTGGATTCAATCCCACAATTATAGCATCCTTTCACGCCGAAGGGACACAACTCTACAGTAAATTTCATCTTGGAAGTCTGGGCTACCTGGGACTCCTGAATATTTGCTGAAATTGAATACTCAAATATAATGTGTCAGAAAACACACGATATTGCTAACACTTACTGTTATGAAACTAGATTTATGTAAGATGAGTGCAAAGTTTGTTCAGGAGCAACAAGTGTATCTAGGTCAGGTGAAGCAAATGGGTTCAAGATTACTGCACTTGCATTGCGACCTGCATGCATGCATATATGTGTGGGTGTGTGGGTGCAGCTGCTTGTACTAGTTCGGACTAATGCCGGTTTTATTGTGCCAGCCAATCAGACACAGTGTACACCAAGACCACCAGTCTTGTTTTATCCCCTTTATGGCAGGGTAACAACAAGTACCATATTTTAATGTCTTTTGGTATGACAAGGCCGGGTATCGGTATCTGACTTTCCACTCTCCAGTCATACACTTTTTAGTCAACGATTAATAATCACCTCTTTGGCCCCGGAAGCCTTCAGTAATCGGACAATGGCTCTCATTGTGTTTCCTCGAACAATGGAGTCATCAAGTAGCACTATTTTCTTGTCCTTGAAGTTGTCCGTCAGAGGTCCGAACTTCTTGGCAACTCCAAGCTGTCGTAGGCGCATACTGGGTTGAATAAAAGTCCTCCCGACATATCGGTTCTTACACAAAACTTCTTGATAAGGGATTCCAAGCTGAAATGAAGACCATCATAATATACAGATGTTGATTACTTCTGTGAACATGGGTGTGAGTCTGACAGATCAAGGATGATGTGGAACGCGGGTAGCCTAGTGGTTAAAGCGTTCGCTCGTCATGCCGAAAACCCCGGGTTTGATTCCCGACATGGGTACAGTGTGTGAAGCCCATTTCAGGTGTCCCCTGCAGTGATATTGCTGGGATATTGCTAAAAGCGGCGTAAAACCATACTCACTCACTCACTCACTGATGATGGCCAGTGGATGTTGGACACAACAGCAAGTTGTACTCATTATCATCATGATTATTATTATCCTCACCGTTATTATCATGATGATGATGATTATAATTATCATATGGCTGTCTATACAAATAAGACATATGTCACCGAAACACCGTTTTTCTTTTCTGCTAAGTTTTATGATTTGTTTGTTTGTTTATTTGTTGTTTATCAGTGCACTCAGCAATATTCCAGCTATATGACGGTGGTCTGTAAATAATCGAGTCTGGACCAGACAATCCAGTGATTGACATCATTGACACCACGCAATTGGGATACGATGACATGCATCAACCAACTCAAAGAGCCTGACCTCCCGATCCCGTTAGTTTCCTCTTACGACAAGCATAGTCGTTTTTTTTAATAAGGTTACTCTAGCTTGCAATCATGGCAATAAGTGATTACATATACACATAGTCTCAATCTCACATATAACACTAAGTGCAATGTTCAGACCAAGACTCCAGATCATGGAACAGAGATTTGACTACTACCATGGACGTCACCTTGCTCAACGCGAACAAAGCAATATGGCCGCCGGGAACTCTCATTCCTGACTAGATACTTACAATAGTCGGGTAACATTGTGTGACTGATTGTGCTGACCTGTATGACAGGCAAGGTGAAATATGTTATAACGTTGCGTTCAAGCTTCTTCCACGTGCGTGTGCTTGTATCTATCTTTCTGTGTTTGTGTTTGTGTGTTCATGGCTGTGTGTTTGTGTATGTGTCTGTCTGCTTGTACTTGGACGGCCTAATGCTGATTTTATAATACTATCCCACTGAGATACCATGCAGCAGTTTAACATGGATACCCAACTCAGATACTGTATACTGACAAGGTGACCAGTCTAGGTTTTATCCTATGCCACCCAGGCAGGGTGACAACAAGTGTCATCTGTTGGTATCATGCAGCCTGGGATTGAACCCCTGACCTTCCGCTCTACAGGTAGCCGCTCTATCCACTACACCACGGACAAAGTGAACATAGACTCACCGTCTTGGCATACTCCATCGCCGCAGGGGTGGCGGATTCTGGCACGGTACTGACAAGGTCGACGTCCACAGGAAACTCCTTGGCTAGCTGGGCCCCACACCGCTGTCGCACCCGGTAGACCATCTGATCTGGGGAGAAGGGAGGACGGCATGAGCAGGCATTAGCAGGGACGCTATTACCTCATGCTGCTGTGAGGGACGTTCTCAAAAGTCATGACATGAGAGCAAACTTGTTGGTTGGTTGGTTTATTGTTTAACGCCGCACTCAGCAATATTCCAGCTATATGACGGCGGTCTGTAAATAATCAAGTCTGGACCAGTCAATCCAGTGATTGACATCATGAGCATCGATCCACGCAATTGGGATCGATGACATGTATCAACCAAGTCAGCGAGCCTGACCACCCGATCCCGTTAGTCGCCTTTTACGACAAGCATAGTCATCTTTTAACTTGTATTAGAGAGGCATACTTAGAAGTAACAGCCATCAACAAAACTTTAGGGAAATGATTTAATATATAAGATATGATGAACAGTAAAAGAAATTACAAAGGTCCCCCCCCCCCCTATTTCGTTACTTAATTTGCAGGTAGATTTTTTCAGTTTTTTTCAAAACCATGGCTCTCTTATGAGTTACTTCTCTTGCCATGCTGAATTTTTAAAAGTTTATTTTTGTTCCTTTTGTGTAAGGACTCAACAGGAATAAGATAATTAATTCCATATTTCAGTTAGTGGTACATGTTCTTCTCACAGATCCTGAATTAGGAAGTGGTAGAGTTATTTTGAGAGACACAACAAAGTTATAATGGCTACACTATTGGGGAGAAGAAATGTAAATGCTTTACATAATAATTAATATAATGACTATTTCAATACAGAAAATCATTAAGCATCTTCAGAAATACTTCTAATTCTTTTTAGCCTACCTTCAAATATACTGTCGGGCCTTGCGAAGTAAACATATTCAAATATACAGAATGCTGGCAGTCCTCCGTTGGGTCTGGGGACGATGTGTCGAGATTTAACCCCTTCTCTGCTGATTTCCACAATCTCACCTAGAAACAAGGACATATTTCTTACACACATTGTGAAAAAGTTAAAAAATCTTTGTTCCGACACTTGTAATACATAGTAGTTATGGTAATATGTAAACAATAAAGGCCACGCAATTCACTGTGCAGAGTTGCGTTACTTGGACATGCCAGAAACCTATGATTGTAGGTTTGAATTCCGGTTCACCCTGATTATGCTTCTGGGACTCTCAGCACCATACCTGTGCTCGTGGGTTTCACCAAAGTGGTAAACGTCTGAGACCTACATCACTTCTGGTGGATGTCCCACATTCAGCTGACACGCTGTGATATAACTGGAATACTGTTAAAAGAGGCGTTACACCCAGCTCACTCACTCACAAAACAACGACATGGGCCTGTGGATCAGTGTCCCTTCGACTCACCTGGTAGCACTTCTCTGTGGTACCTGGCACCGACTGAATGAAACGTACACGACTCTGACGACACAACCCATCCCTCCGCCACTTCATCGTTGACATCAAGTTTGCCTGAATTCAAAGACATGACCATAAAACAGACGAAAAGAGAAACAAAATAATGTATGTGTGAGTCCTGTCATACATAAAAAATCTTTGAAAAGCCAATTTCAAGCAATCTTTGGGAATCTTCATACAAGAACATGCTGGTGTATATATCAACTCAATTTATCAGCTTGTGGATCTTCTTGGTTGAATATCTGGTTTATTTCAGAAGTGAACCATTGGTTGACAGTGTGAGTATCCAACATTAAATACAGAGGAACCCTGTTAACCCAGACGGTTAAGCAATCGACATAGTGAATTGTCTGAACTATTGAAACAACTATCTGCAGTGAGGAGTTACCTCCCCTATCAATGGTCTAACATTGTAACTTATTCAACAGAATAAGATGGCATCAGCCTAGACAGACAGACACACAGATTACTGTCTGTAAGGTGCTACATCTAGATTATAGAGATATATGTATATTTCTATATGTATGAGTATGCTTTTACGCCGCTTTTACCAATTTCCAGCAATATCACAGCAGGGGACACCAGAAATGGGCTTCACACATTGTACCCATGTTGGGAATCGACCCCGGGTCTTCGCGTGACGAGCGAACACTTTAACCACCAGGCTACCCGACTGCCCCTCTATATGTAGGAAAAAGGTGGGTACAACTCATAACCGTCCGGAGTGTCACTGTTTTAAACAAAAGACAACCAAGATGCTTACTAAAATTAAGCTTCAAGCAGGATGTACTTAAGGCCGAGGCCTGCTGGGTAATCAACCAACCTGTTAGTACAGCAGCAGGGAGCAGCTTCCCAATACACAGTGGTCTGTTGCCATAAGGGTCCCGCACTGCATACAGTTTGTCTTGGTGCATTACAACCAATGAATATGAAGTCGGCGCCTTTGACATCAACGCCTTGATTCTGGAACAGAAATAATGGTAAATGGAAGACACCAGGATATATTTTTTGTGGTATTCATGATCAGATGAAGTTTGATACAGAAGTTTGAATTTGTTTGCATTACATGCAAATATACAGAAGCAGGTACACTGCATGTACTCAAGTCCAAGGCTTGAATCTAGGTTCTATGCCTTTTACCACATGTATTCACAGTATACCAGAGCTCCAGATAAGCTTTTGGTGTTGTGGGTATTTTACCCATGCATTTTAAAATCATTGGGTATCAGTAATTCTATCTGTGTATTCAAATTTCTGTTACCCACTAGTTTTTACAAATGTGGGTATTTAAGTTAAATATTTAAAAACACTATTCATCTAGTCCCTGCAAACTGGTGTCGTGTGGGTTCGAGAGCTTTATAGGACTAAAAAATACCACGATACTTCCACAAGAAAGTGTGATGGCAAATGATCATGATCTGACTGTCATCGTGGAGTGTGGCAAGGTTGACAGAATGCCAACTTATAATTTCAAAATAAGTTGCTCATTTGCTAATCGAATACGCAGGGTTACTTCACAATATTTTGATGATACGCACAAGTTTTATTTTTGTAGCGTATCTGTAATGTTCGTTGCGTATTTGATACGCTTGGATTATATTTTACTGCTTATTTCTGCATTTCTGATGCGTATTTCACGCAGATACGCAGCTTATCTGGAGCTCTGGTATACCCTGGTTATAACGAACTCAAAGGGAATGCTAATTTTAGTTCGTTATAACCAAAGTTTGTTAAGCATATAGCCCCCACAAATTTCTAAGGGTGTTAGCGTAATTCAACAATCCACCCACCGGCCGACCCAGTTGACCCCCTCGGGCTCCCCACACTCTGGAGTCCTGGTCAGCAGCTGTGTGATCAGTTCGCTGTCCGAGGCCGTGGACAGCCCCACACCATGCAGCAACACCTGAAACGTGGTCATTAGTCTTCATGTCAGTTGAGGACCTGAAGCTCTTTGTACAAAGCTGCCCTAGCATCACTGTCATCCATGCCATATAAGGCACATTCTGTGGATGTAGGTGAACCTGTGCGAACTTTGACCACCCAATCGAAATGAAGGAACCTTTCTAAAACAATTCAGCTTTATTTCTTTACCACAATATAGTGGGATGGTATTTAATGTTAATATTCAGAACAAAATTTTCTTTAAAAGATACGGAAATTAGATATGCTTGTGCGAATGCTTTGCTCACTGGTACCGAGAATTGGAAACCTCGATACTGATTGGCTGATGGATAAAATTCACCTGACGCAAGGAGGTGTGGAGGTGTTGTAAGTTATTCACGATCCAAGCAAAAAATCTGATTTTAATGAGGTTGCTCGAAAACCAGCATCTTTAAGTAAATGAAGGTGCTGATACATCAAGAACTCAGAAACTCCAGTTTGTATCCTACAAGTCACCGAGCATGACCATTTGATCTCATTAGTCATCTCTTACGACAAGCAAGGTCACCTCTTACGGCAAGCATGGGTTGCTGAAGACCTATTCTACTCCAGATCTTCACGGGTCATATAAGTAGAGATACAATAACATCTTGCTTTAAAGTGGTCCAATAATTTCATTTCAGATTTCTGACATATTTACCTCTTTCTTGAGAGCCGCAGCATTCACAAGTTCCCCGTTGTGAGCTACAGTGATGAGGCCGTGGATCGTCTCCACAACGAAGGGCTGAATGTTCACCAGCTCCGACGCACCCTGCGTTGAGTAGCGGGTATGGCCTGGAACAACGGTGATGGATGTATGGGTAGAGTGAGTGGGTGAGTATGGTTTTACGCCGCTTTTAGCAATATTCCAACAATATCACGGCGGGGGACACCAGAAATGGGCTTCACACATTGTACCCATGTCGGGAATCGAACCCGGGTCTTCGGCGTGACGAGTTAACGCTCTAACCACAAGGCTACCCGACCGCCCCATGTATGGGTAGAATTCATGTAATTATTAAAATAATTTCAACATAAACAAAAGCGACAAAAGACATTTCCTTTATCACAAGAAATCTCTACTAAAAGCAGAACCCATTGTATATTTCTGACTATATCATGAGCATGTGTTCATGCATCACTATTAAATGGGGATGATGCCAGATGTTCACAAAATGGTGAACGTATCCTGCCCTCCCCGGGCACCCATCATAAACACATGCAAGTGATAGTCAATTGTTCACCTAAAAAAACATAGGAACACATGGTACAAGTGAAACTAGGGAATTACATTGCACATAATTTTTGTTACCAATGCATCAGTCTTTGAAATATCCTCCACATGTCTACCATCAATTATTTTTTGGGGGAAAGCTTTACTGAGGACTTGAATGTTATAACCTTGATCAAACAACTTTTGAACAAGAATCGTATAACGCTCATTACCATCTTCATAGAAACAACAAGGATCAGACAGATGATTAATTAAAAGCGTTTATCCTGAACAATGTTCCACTTTTCAAGAAATCTTCCCTTTCTCCATGTTCTCAAATAATCTTAGAAATTATGTCTCGGTAGAATTTCAGCTTTAGACAAACAAAGTCACCAAAATAAAGTATGTATAAGGCTAAATATAAATATAACTATAACACTCAGAGTTGAGAGGAGCATAGGCTGCTACAGTAAAGATGAGCATAGGCTGTTACAGTAAAGATGAGAATAGGCTGCTACAGTTAAGATGAGCATAGGCTGCTACAATTAAGATGAGCATAGGCTGCTACAGTTAGGATGAGCATAGGCTGCTACAGTTAAGATGAGCATAGGCTGCTAGAGTTACAATGAGCATAGGCTGCTAGAGTTACAATGAGCATAGGCACCTAGAGTTACGATGAGCATGGGCTGCTAGAGTTGAGAGGAACATAGGCTGCTACAGTAAAGATGAGCATAGGCTGCTAGAGTTACGATGAGCATGGGCTGCTACAGTTAAGATGAGCATAGGCTCCTAGAGTTAAGATGAGCATGGGCTGCTAGAGTTGAGAGGAACATAGGCTGCTACAGTAAAGATGAGCATAGGCTGCTAGTGTTACGATGAGCATGGGCTGCTAGAGTTGAGAGGAACATAGGCTGCTACAGTAAAGATGAGCATAGGCTGCTAGAGTTACGATGAGCATGGGCTGCTACAGTTAAGATGTGCATGGGCTGCTAGAGTTACGATGAGCATAGGCTCATAGAGTTACGATGAACATAGGCTGCTAGAGTTGAGAGGAACATAGGCTGCTACAGTAAAGATGAGCATAGGCTCCTAGAGTTACGATGAGCATGGGCTGCTAGAGTTGAGAGGAACATAGGCTGCTACAGTAAAGATGAGCATAGGCTGCTAGAGTTACGATGAGCATAGGCTGCTACAGTTAAGATGAGCATAGGCTCCTAGAGTAACGATGAGCATGGGCTGCTAGAGTTGAGAGGAACATAGGCTGCTACAGTAAAGATGAGCATAGGCTGCTAGTGTTAAGATGAGCATGGGCTGCTACAGTTGAGAAGAACATAGGCTGCTACAGTAAAGATGAGCATAGGCTGCTAGAGTTAGGATGAGCATGGGCTGCTACAGTTAAGATGAGCATAGACTGCTAGAGTTACGATGAGCATGGGCTGCTAGAGTTGAGATGAGCCTATGCTGCTACAGTTAAGATGAGCATAGGCTGCTAGAGTTAAGATGAGCATAGGCTGCTACAGTTAATATGAGCATAGGCTGCTACAGTAAAGATGAGCATAGGCTGCTACAGTTAAGATGAGCATAGGCTGCTACAGTTAAGATGAGCATAGGCTGCTACAGTTAGGGTGAGCATAGGCTGCTACAGTTAAGATGAGCATAGGCTGCTAGAGTTACAATGAGCATAGGCTCCTAGAGTTACAATGAGCATAGGCTCCTAGAGTTACGATGAGCATGGGCTGCTAGAATTGAGAGGAACAAAGGCTGCTACAGTAAAGATGAGCATAGGCTGCTAGAGTTACGATGAGCATGGGCTGCTACAGTTAAGATGAGCATAGGCTGCTAGAGTTATGATGAGCATGGGCTGCTACAGTTGAGATGAGCCTATGCTGCTACAGTTAAGATGAGCATAGGCTGCTACAGTTAAGATGAGCATAGGCTGCTACAGTTTGGATGAACATAGGCCGCTACAGTAAAGATGAGCATAGGCTGCTACAGTAAAGATGAGCATAGGCTGCTACAGTAAAGATGAGCATAGACTTCTAAAGATGAGATGAGCATAGGCTGCTACAGTAAAGATGAGCATAGACTTCTAAGGGTGAGATGAGCATAGGCTGCTACAGTAAAGATGAGCATAGGCTGCTAGAGTTGAGATGAGCATAGGCTGCTACAGTAAAGATGAGCATAGGCTGCTAGTGGTGAGATGAGAATAGGCTGCAAGTTTGAGATGAGCATAGGCTGCTACAGTAAAGATGAGCATAGGCTGCTACAGTTGAGATGAGCACTACGCCAGGTCACACATTGTCCCCATCTGTTCTTTATCAGTCTGCTCTCATGGGAAGGACTGCCTCCGGGGTTTAGTGGATAGAGAGGAAGGTCGCGGCTGGATCCCCTGGCCACATCATACAAAAAAGTGTTAAAAGATGTTACTTTTTGTTGCCCTGTCTGGCGTTCAGCTTTAATTGATGGGAAAGAAACAAGGATTGGTCGGTTCGGAGTCAGTATACTGTGTCTGAGTGGTGTATCCATCAGTGAGCTAGTGCTATAAAACGGCACAAGGCTGGACAGTTACAAGCAGTCATGCCGCAGTTTAACATGAACACCCCACTCAGACACAGTACACTGACTCTTTACATGATACCCCACACAGTATGCTGACTCTGAGCCGACCAGTCCTTGTTTTAGCCCCTTAATGCCTTCCGCTCCACCACCAGACCACGGAGGCGGTCCAGACAAGACAGAAGGTCTTCATCCCTGCAACTCACCAACTCCAATATTTCCCTTGAGCTTCTGTAGGTCTTCCTCTGAAAATACACCTCCCACAAACCCCATTCCTTTCTTCTGTCGTGTTCGGCCATTTCCCATACTTGTGACAATACCAGCACTCTCCTGTCCCCTAGGGAGTGAAAAGAAGGGCAAGTCAACATTTGTATTCTTTACAAAAGCAAACTTTGACAACTGGTTAATATTCAGATTTTACGTCTTCAAACAACTGTATCAAGGGAATGTATAAAAGAGGTTGTGGAGTATAAAACCATCTACTTCCCCCACCCCTCCCCTTTTAAAGGTAAAAAATCTGGTGCCCGCTCTGTGATATTGCTGGAATATTGCTAAAAGCGGCGTAAAACCAAACTCACTCACTCACTCACTAAAGATAAAAAAGAAAAGAAATGCCACATAACATTTTGATTTGGTTGTTAAAGTATAGCCAATAATGATTAACATATAACGTTTGTGATATTTTAGATAGGCTTTTACGTGGACTCCCCCCCCCACCGGGCCCTACGGAAGTTACAAATGACTCAAATGGAGCCCCCACTTCATTAAAATCCTGGATCTGTCCCTGAAACCTTAACTAAAATGATTCTCAATAAATAATACCAATTCCCCACTCTTCTCGCACATACCTGTGTTGCAATCCCACGAGACCTAGATGTATGATGTGGGCGATGTCTAGTTGTGTTGGCCACTTTCCTGCTGCAACGCACCCAAACACACCACAAGCCTCACGAAGCTCCTCTTCATCATTGCCAAAGTCATCAGCCATTATAATTCCCTTTCCCTAAAAAGAAAATCACTCGAAATCACGTCTATCAGAGCTTCTAAATGATGAACTGGTTGCTTCCTGCCCTTATATAGTGTAAGGTATAACCATCTGATGTTAACAAGATGCAGCATGTGTAAGTAGTTTGAACCATAAGGAGTTAATTACATGGAGACCAGTGATAGGATTAACCCATGCTGTGCTAGAATAAACAGAAGCAATAAGGTTCACTTGGCACACTATGGCTAATTAAGGCTTGATCCCTTCTTGTACAAATGGAGTCATTGGATACTGAACATGTTGAATAAATGTATATTAAATGGAGGTCTAATTAATGAATGCTATTGATAAGGGTTTGATCTCAAGAGAAAAACATTTTCTTAAAGTTCTCAAATTATGATATGTAATTTAATGATTAACATGGTGTGCTGTTTGTAATGTTGTTAATTAATAAGTTCATCAGGTAGTGTAGTGTGTCTTAAATCATGTTATTGTTTTCACTATTTTGGACCCGTGAAGAGCTGGGGTATAAAAGGTCTCAGCACCCTATGCTTGCCGTAAGGGGCGATTATGCTGGTCGTAAGAGGCGACTACTGGAATCGGGTGGTCATACTCGCCGACTTGGTTAATCATTGTCATTGTATGCCAATTGCGTAGATTGATGCTCATGATGTCAATCACTGGATTGTCTGGTCCAGACTTGATTATTTACAGATAGTCATCATATAGCTGCAATATTGCCGAGTGTGGCCTCAAACAACAAACACTATTTTGGCTAATTATGTGTCCAGGTAAAAGAGAACAAAACAAGACCAAGCAATCTCAGAACCCAGTGGGACTCAAGAGATACCAAGCTCATTTCAAACGAGTGGTTTATTGAATTGGAGGAGATAACAAATATTTCTTCCTGATGTTCCTAAATCTCTGCCTAATAGACCTTCCCCATGGGGATTCCGGGTTAGAATAGGACCAATGTTAACGTTGTACAAGGCGACTATATAGATTGTGTGGTCAGGCATGGTGGCTTGGTTCATTGTGTGCCATTGTACCCTCGTGTGTGTGTGCCTTTGAACCCTGACCATGTGGGATATTGTTCATACAGGCATTTATCTAGATCTGCTCAGAGGCTGATATTAAGTCCTAATGACAATTAAAAACCCAAATTGAGATTACAAATTTCCCAATTCACTCATATAGTGACGTGTATGCATGTGTGTGGCTGCCTGTAATAGTCTGGACTATTGCCAATTCTCTTTTCTCACCCACTGAGATACCATGCTGCAGTTTAACATAGATACCCCATTAAGACACAGTATACTGACCAGTCCTTCTTTATCCCCTTAAAAGACATAAACAGTAAACTATAAATATTGGATTAAATCATTTATCTCAAGTAACTCGAAGAAAAAAAGTTCAACAAGCGATATTAGTGACAAAAAACCCTGTTAAAAACCTACCCATATTCCGGAAACTACTGACAGTTAATAAACAGAGTTGTCATGACACAACCTGACATCACAGTAGAGAGTTGACTTGCAGACGATCACTGTACATGTTTAGAGTTTGGCAGACGGCATGTCTAGTCGGTATCCATTTTGTTCCTCGCTGCCATCCTGTATCCAAACTTTCCTCTTTACAAAATCAATGTAAATTGGCCTTTTTGCTTGGAAATTTGAAAAAAGACACTTGGTATGTTTGCTTGATGAACTAGTATACTCCCTGGCAATACAATACCCCATTTCGTATCTTTAATACTCCAACAATGCCAAGGTCGGACTATATTCTGGAAATCATTATTATTTATATATGGGTAAATATTTTTAAAGCTTGTACATTTTATTAATATCATTAAAGAGAAATACATAATGTTGATATTTCATGTATGAAATAAACGATGAGTTGGAGTTTTTTTATGTACAATAAAACACTGCAGGGAGCATAAACAACTGCGCCCCTCATGGTTTATTCTCCATACAGAGTTCCTATGTAAAACAACTAGCCCCTCATTTATTTCTTAAGTAAAACAAAAGAAAATGGCGTCCGTCTCTCCACTCAGATGTCACAGCTACAGCTCGGCCCCGACCTGGGATTTCAATATGCATATGCGCTGGCGGCGGAATCAGAGCAGTCGTTTGTTGCTTTTTAGATAACAATGTGTGTGTGTGTATGTGCGCACGCGCGCGCGTGTGTGTGTCAAAATATGTACTTTGTATCACTACTTAACATATTTTAAAAAGTTATTTTTCAAAAGAGCTCCTTCTTTAAAGCTGTACTACAGCCTGGACCAGGCCTTCATACAATGACCTTCCACTCTTTAGTTTAGTTACATGTGGAATAAAATGTTATCGTCCAAAAGAGATTATATTGTCTGAAATCAGTGTGCGATATTGCTGCCTGCCTGTTGAATTTCGGTCAGTCTCAAGATTTTCAAATGTCCCTAATTTTTCTCGTTATTGAAGACCATCAAAAATATATTTTAAAAAAATGTCCGTAACGAATTGAGGTTTTGAGATCAAAGTTAACTCAGTTCATCTTGACTGTAACACTGTGTACACACATGTTTTGACTGATTGGAAATTATAGTGTCACCAATTACAAGCTGTGTTACTTAGACTTTGATAACCAAATATTGACTGTGTCAGATATGGAATATTGCTGAGTTCTGTGCAAAACAACAAACAAACAAACAAACATTTCTTTCTGACCATGCACCAAGTCCTTCTGACTTTTATATGTTTGTCAGTGTAAACTGGCACTCTCCATGCTCTAGGATGACCTACTTTCCAAAGAAATCAGCTACTGGCACATTTAACGTACAATGTGTGGCAGTCTAGCGGTCATTGACCCCTTTCTCCTATGTTTATATTGTCAAACATCATAAGATCAGATAACCTCTCCACTGAATGTGATTAATGTTATCTACAGGGCGTGTGTACTGAGGCTGGCACCTTCTTGTAGTAAGTTTTAAGATTTGGGGGAATATTGTTACATAATATATAAAAGGAGCGCAGAGAATCGCTTCATCTTTAGGTATGACTCACTGAAGAAATCTGGACTTGCCAAACTAAATAGACTAGTCTGTCTTACAGACCCTGATACATTTATATCAACTACAGCCCATGCAAGTCTATAATGTTTGGCAAGTCTAGATTACTGCAGTATCAGTATCTGAAAATGAAGAGAATCACTGGGCTCCCTTTTTATTAGATTTTTATTAAGATAACTGAACAACTGTTTTTTTCTGCACGATATGTTCATTTCAGAGACTGTATGTTAGTCTATAAATAGACCTACATTGGTTACATATTTGGATTTGTTCGTGACAAACTATAGCTGGTTGCCATGGTGATGAGTGATGCCCAGAAGGTGGTGATATTTTTGCTTTTATTATCCAGGCACATACTAAAAAAGAATACTAGCCAATATATTCTGTATTTGTTTGATTGTTGTTTAACAACGCTCTCAGCAATATTTCAACTATATGACGGTGGTCTGTAATAATCAAGTTTGGACCAGACAATCTTGTGATTGACATCATGAGCATCGATCCACGCAATTGGGATACCATGACATGCATCAACCAAGTCACCAAGCCTGATGATCGGTTCTACCCCGGATCTTCACGGGTCAATATATTCAGTTGCAAATAGAAGCTACTAGCCGGGTTTGAATACCACTAGCCCATTGCACAAAGCATTATAATTGTCAGATATGTGATATACCGTCTTCGACGTAATAAGCGCCCAGGGCGCTCTCGAAATTAGAAATAGGTGGCTCTTATTAGAATATTATTTTGGTGAAAATAACAGAGTTGAAAGATAAATTTCGTGGTTTATGCTGACAGCCTGAAGTGTTTATGTACGACAGATATATTTTTCCAGAATTTAATTTCCCATTATTAAGGGTGCATATAACACATGAGTGCGTATTATACTTGAATAAATAAATCTTGTGTACATTGATCAATCGGAAGGGGTGCTAATTGGGCTTGTTTACTAGCCAATATATTAGCAAATGTCGCCGTGGGCGCTTATTAGACCGGGACGCTTATTATGTCGAATACGGTACACTTATTGGCATTCCTCATTGCGGCTACTATTACTACTACAACTACTAAGTGCATTTATATTACGCTAAAACCTCTATTGGTTCAAAGTATATTGAATTTATCATATTCAGATATTTTTGAAAGAAGATAATCAATGAACTGATGTTGCCAATGACAGTTATGTACATATTCTTATTTATGTAATTTCACACTCAGATGATATTACTACAAAGGGCATTCAAAGATTCACATATGCTTTAATTCTGACTGTAATGTCTAGGGTACAGCGCCCTGCACCCCCTAGATGGGGAGATAACCCTTTGATATGGATATATGCAGCAGTATCATTAACTGAATCAAATAATATATTAATATAACATAATTAACTGTGACACAACCAAGACTATTAACAGGAAATTGGTGAAGCTCACAAATTGTAGCTGACAGACGTGACGATAGATTGAAATTGAAAGGCCAATCATGTTCTCTAGCTCTTTGCATTGATTTGTAATTAATGTCTACATTCATTATGCAATATGAGTGAGTGAGTATATATGGTTTTACACCGCTTTTAGCAATATTCCAGCAATATCACGGCGGGGGACACCAAAAATGGCTTCACACATAGTACCCATGTCAGGAATCGAACCTGGGTCTTCGGCGTGAAGAGCGAACGCTTTAACCACTAGGCTACCCGACCGCCCCTTAGGCAATATGATAACAATTGACATACAATGAAGAAAATCATTGATTGTTGTATATCATATGTATGTACACCTCATGATACCGACATAGAAAAATCAACCCTGACACTATTTTGAGAACGGGCGATGGGGAGCTGGTGCGTCTGACGTCACATACTTTGGTCATACAGCATTTATGACGTTTTTTTATGACCTGAAGTTGAATTAAAACGACATTCACACGTATACTTGCAAAGTTTACAGAGACATTGGACTTATGAAAATAACGAATATCTATATCGATAGTTGTCAGATCGCAAAAGTCAAGCATAGAGAAGAAATATATGAAAAGAAAATGAATGCTCTACCGAATGATGGCGAATATAGCAGTTTGACAACACGTGGGTTCTGGATGCATGAGTGAACACAAATAGAATCCGCGTAGTAGACGATATCATTACTTACGTTTTGAAGAAATTGGTTGACGATGTCAAACGAAGTTTGTTTATCACATCAAGAAACAGAAAACGCCGATGGAAAGGACAGAAACACCAGATTCGATCACCGATCCTTCGGCCATACGGCATTAATATGAGACGGTTTCCAGGTCGAAATTTATGGTTCGCTGAGCGTCGCAGTTACATACCGCGACCAGTCTAAATGGAGACAAATATTCATCCGCAATTTAGCTTCTCGTTTTACGCATGTGTCGTTTGTTACAATACTGTTTTGAAGCAACACTTATTGTAAAATTGTTGATATATAATCACAACTGTCAGAAATGTTGTTTTTTAATTCACGTTTTTAACGGAGCTTTATTACTTAGCGCATGTGTAGCCTTGTGACTCGTCAGACCCACGTGTGGCAGTGTATTAACGATTGGTGTGTGCAGGTGCGGATGAGACGTCTGATTTCAATAATCTGAGTAAAATTTGATATCATCATGTCGGGAGATCGTGAGTATTAGTGTGAAGTATTTGGTTTTGATTGTTATTTGAAGTTGTCATCAACTGTAATTTGTAAACGATGCTGTGTTCTTTTGATTTTCCCGCTACCAACAACGGTATAACGAGGAATGTTTGCGCACAATGTAACCATAGGTCGTTCAGTACTTCTATCTATTGTGTATTAAAGTAAAGCATTGAATTGCTATGATCATCTGTATTAGGAAATAAGACCAATTTGTATTTTAACACTAATTATCAATTTATTAACTGACAATTTTATTGTCCTCATTCAGTGTTGAGGGTCAGTGTAGGGTCAAAAGTTTTGCATGAGTGATCACTGGATGTTATTGTAATGTAGATATTGTGTCAGGTAAAAGTAAACTGTAGCAGCTAAAATAGTATGTATTAATCATCTTTAAGAGTGCACTGTATTAAACTTTACATGACAATCCGTATTTACTTGTGTATGTTACAAATTTGTTTTGTTTTAAAAAAAAACCTCTACAGTATAGGACTAGGAGTATATCATCTGATCATGGTGTATATACTTGCTTATAGTAACTAGGCCTGTATTATTGAAAACGTTTGAACCAAGTTTATTCTCTATTACTTGAACAAGTTGATCTCTGACAGCAAATTTATCTTGTTTTGTATGGTTTAATAAGCACCCATGTCGTTTTTATCTGATAACCATATTTTTTGCTTTGAGACTTACACATTTTATTGAATATATATAGTTGATTGGTTGATTTGTTGTGTAACGCCGCACTCAGCAATATTCCAGCTATATGACGGCAGTCTGTAAATAATCAATGCGGACCAGACAATCCAGTGATTGATGCCATGAGCATCGATCCACACAATTGGGATACGATGACATGGTTCAACCAAGTCAGCGAGCCTGACAACCCGATCCAGTTTTTCGCCTCTTACGACAAGCAGTCGCCCTTTTGCGGAAAGCATTGGTTGCTAAAGACCTATTCTAACCTGGATATGAATATATATAGGAAAAAAACCTATATAATTTTGAGACCCGGGGGTCACGGGTGGCCCAGCTGTCTAAGGCGCCACAATTCGCTGTACAGAGTTGAGTTCCTTGGGCACGTCCAAACCCTATTATCTGGGTTCGAATCCTGGTTTGCCCCGATTTTGTTTCTAGGTTTGTCAGCACTATACCCGTGCTTGTTGGTTTCATCAAAGAGGTAGACGTCTAAGACTCTGCATCTCTTCAGGCTTTCCTCCCACATTAAGCTGACTTAGTGAGACATACCGTATTCAACGTAATAAGCGCCCACAGCGATATTTGCCAATACATTGGCTAGTGAACAATCCCAATAAGCACTCCTTCCGATTGATCATTGTACACAAGATTTATTTATTCGCGAAAAATATGCACTTGTGTGTTATATGCACCCTTAATTATGGGCAATTAAATTCTGGCAAAATATATCTGTCGTACATAAACATTTTAGGCTGTCAGCATAAACCACAAAATTTATCTTTCAACTCACCAAAATAATATTCTAATAAGAGCCCCCTATTTCTAATTTTGAGAGAGCCCAGGGCGCTCATTACGTCGAACACGGTAACTGGAATCCTGATCAAAGCGGCGTTAAGCTCATTTTGAGACCCATGTAATGAGATGATTCACTTTATTTGTTTTTGATTTTTTACAAGTTTATGTCTGAATATTATGTATACATGTATAAGGTCTGTCTAGTAATACGGCGTACACTTTACCCCAATACTTTCAGAACTGAAGCTTGGAGAGAAGATTATAGAGGGCAAGACAAAGGTTGTCACAAGTCTGGTAGATTTCCCCAATCAGGTCTTGCTTCAGTCGAAGGATCGGATCACTGCCGGAGATGGGGCACGTGCCCATGATATGGAGGGCAAGGCTGCAATCTCCACAGCAACTACAGTGGCCCTCTTCAACCTGCTGAATAGTGCTGGTAAAGATCAAATGTGATTGTACATCGCTACATGAGTAGGAGACAAATATTGTTATCTCACTGATTCTTGATTCGCCAGGACCCCTTGTTTGTGTGTTCTTGCTAATTGTCAGTGATGGTGTGTTATCATTCCCCAAAGGGGATTAATCGTTACTCTTGTTATCAACCACTGGTTTACATTGTCCAGAATTATTGACTATTTTTGACTTCATGGTATGTGTTAATTCTGCAATTGTCTTATTGAATTAATCTTGCAAATGAGATATCCCTGATTTATGTTTTCTTCGAAAATAACGTCCACAAATGTCTTGTTCAGGTGTCAAGACTCACTTCATCAAACAGAACAGTGACACTTCTTTCATGGCGTACAAATGTGGCATGATACCAATCGAGTGGGTCACTCGCCGGGTTGCTACAGGATCCTTTCTCAAGAGAAATGCTGGCGTGAAGGAGGGTTACAGATTCTGTCCCCCTAAGCTGGAGACCTTCTATAAGGTAAGACTTCAAATCAAAGCTCTTCTCTATGGAGATCTATTGAAACTATCGAAATATTCGATCCCTCTCACTCCTGTTTTAAGAGTACTCTGGAGTTGTAGGTGCGAGACTGGAAGTGAACTGCTATTTTCACTGTCATAGTAGACCCGTGAAGATTCAGGGGTAGAATAGGTCTTCAGCAACCCATACTTGCTGTAAAAGGCGACTGTGCTTGTCGTAAAAGGCGACTAACGGGATCGGGTGGTCAGGCTCGCCGACTTGGTTGATACATGTCATCGATCCCAATTGCGTGGATCGATGCTCATGATGCCAATCACTGGATTGTCTGGTCCAGACTTGATTATTTACAGACTGCCGTCATATAGCTGGAATATTGCCGAGTGCGGCGTTAAACAACAAACATACAAACAAACAAACAAACACTGTCGTAGTCATTGCCTGTGCATGAACTACACAGATTTACCCCAGGTACCTTCCTATATACCCAGTTTGACAAATATCCGTGAAGATCCGGATTATAATGAGTCTTTTGCAACCCATGCTTGTTGTAGGAGGCGAGTAATTGGATCGGTAGGTCAGGCTCGCTGACTTGGTTGATGCATGTCTTTGTATTCCAATTGCGTGGATCGATGCTCATGATATCAATCACTGGATTGTCTGGTCCAGACTCAATTATTTACAGACCGCCATCAAATAGCTGAAATATTGCTGAGTGCAGCGTTAAACAATCAAACTATATGCCCACATGTATCCCAGGTATTATGTGGCAAAATAGGTTCCCATTATTGTTTTCTTGTGGTGTAAAAGCTGATGGTGATATGGTAATTAAGTGTTTGACCTGGCTCATTGTAAGACATTGTGTCCAGATGGCATTGATCGATCGCAAACTCAGCCATGGATCATCCTAATGCAGATTCCAATTATTTACGGACTGTTGTGATCTGTAGTATTATGACTATTCTGTTAAACAATATCTACTGACCAATGCTAAGCTCTTTATCATATGTATCGGTACGATCTAAGTGGTCTTGATCTGTGTGCTCTGAGGGGCGGTCAGGTAGCCTAGTGGTTAAAGCGTTCGCTCGTCACGCTGAAGACCCGGGTTCGATTCCCGACATGGGTACAATGTGTGAAGCCCATTTCTGGTGTCCCCCGCCATGATGTTGCTGGAATATTGCTAAAAGCGGCGTAAAACCATACTCACTCACTCACTCACTCACTCACTCACTCACTGTGCTCTGTGTGGAGAGTGGAAGGCCGCTGGTTTGATCCCTGACCACATCACATGAACAGACGTTGAGAGATGGTACTTGTTGTTGCCCTACCTGGCACTCAGCGTTTAAGAGATAAAACACGGACTGGTTGGCTTGGAGTCTGTACAATGTGTCTGAGTGGATTATCCATGTTAAATTGCAGCATGGTATTTCAGTGGGCTAGCATTATGAACCCGGCATTGGTGCGCGCACACACACACATGCGTCAGCATGCACGTCACTATATAAGTGCAATAATCTTAAACGCGATGTAGGGGTGGTCGGGTAGCCTAGTGGTTAAAGCGTTCGCTCGTCACGCCGAATACCCGGGTTCGATTTCCGACATGGGTTCAATGTGTGAAGTCCATTTCTGGTGTCCCCCGCCGTGATATTGCTGGAATATTGCTAAAAGCGGCGTAAAACCATACTCACTCACTCACTTAAACACGATGTCAAACCCCATTCCACAAATAAGCGTGATAAGTCACACAATGTTACCTGTCTATTGTCTGTAGTAAGGCATTGGAGATACAGTGGCCATAGTGCTTAGATCGCTCTGTGCAAGGTGACATCAAAGGCAATATTGGAGATACAGTGGTTATAGTGCTTAGATTGTTCTGTGCAAGGTGACATCAAATGCAGTAGTCAAGTGCTATGTGTGAGATTGAGACAATGTCAATATGTAATTAAGGAAATGATCTTATCACCCTGCGATCTAATGAAAGTGTAGCGGCCATAAAATTTCCGAGTCCTGTGATGGGATTCGAACCACGGACCTTCTGAACCGAGGTCGGACGCCTTGTCCACATGACCAAAGAGGTTAACCCCGTCAGCAAGCTGACAAGGTAAGGATGTCATCTGTGGGATGACTCCACGCCCTGCTACAAAAGCATAACATGAAGTCCCACACGTACCATGCTTACAGGATGATGAGAATCACGATCCACAGTGGTCGTACGAGCAGTGTCTGGCAGCCAACATGGAGGTGGGAGGAGTGAAGATAGGGCGCTACGAAATAGATGTCATGGGCAAGATGACTGTCGCCGTCTTTGAAATCTTGGAGAGATGCTGGGCTTCACTAGACTGCAGCCTGATTGATATGAAACTAGAGTTTGGTGTGAGGTCCGATACAGGTGAGGAGGATAGTTCTGAAGTGTTGGTCGCAGCAATAATACCCTATAGGGTTCAATTTAAGGAACTTGATTTAACTTGCACCAGGTGCATGTTGACATGAAAACTATGTTGCACCAAACTAAACCTGGTTGCACTCAGGTGCCATATATTTATCAAAGTTGAAACATAGGCAAGTCTGCTGCCAGTGTCACATAAATTGAGGACATATTGCTGTGAAACGTAACAGGAACATGTGTACATAATCTTGAAGTACAAATCTTGAAGTACAAGACCCGTGAAGATCCGGGGTGGAATAGGTCTTCAGCAACCCATACTTGCCGTAAAAGGCGACTATGCTCGTCGTTTAAGGTGGCTAACGGGATGGGGTGGTCAGGCTCGCTGACTTGGTTGATACATGTCATCGATCCCAATTGCGTGGATCAATGCTCATGATGGCAATCACTGGATTGTCTGGCCCAGACTTGATTATTTTACAGACCGCCGTCATATAGCTGGAATATTGGTGAGTGTGGCGTTAAACAACAAACAAACAAACAAACTTGAAGTACAAATACTTTGATGACGTCAAGCCTCAGAAAGCATGACATAATATACGTAACAGGGATTAGGGATGTAGCATGGTAATAAACTCTAGAGGTATTGAGTGTGTTCAAAGTAAGGACTAGTAAGGGTTATCGGTAGTCCGACACAAGTTTGAAATGCACATGCTGCATATAGACATAAATATTAGGTTGCATGTTTCAGTAGTAGGTTGCACTTGTACATGTTTTATGCAGCTAAATGGAGCAATGTGGATTAGGAAATAAACATGATCAAGTTTTTCAGATTTGTGGATGTTACTGATTGTTGAATGCTCTGAAGATCTCTATTTCAGGGTTCACTCTAGGAATTTCTGACATGGGCCTTTTATGTGAAAATTTTATATATCCTAGAGGTACACTCACACTTGCCCATACAGCAGAATGTGAAAATGCTCCATTGTATTTGAAAATGTGGGCCTTTTTTCATATTTAGGGGTTGAAATTATCCCTGCTATTTTTATTTGTACTCACTCATAGGCAAACTCTTAAAATTTATGGCATCATAATACAACTGAGAGGGCAGTGGGTGCTGCAAGGAGTTCTAAGGGGCTGCATGTCACTGTGCAGAGTTGCTTCCCTTAGGCAGCCAGTATCTCATGAGTGTGGGTTCGAAAACTATGATTGTGCCCTGATCATTATCCTTGATTTGTCAGCACAACATCTGTGATCGTGAGTTACACCAAGGTTCACCGTCCACGACCACTATCACTTTCTACTAGCGGTAATTGTCAAGAATGAACAATTGAATAGTGGACAATGTCATATTCTCCCATAACTCAACCGCCCGGAGAGCAGAAGGTATGGGGTTCGATCCCCGACCGTGTCATACCAAAAGATGTTAAAAGATGGTACTTGTTACCCTGCCTGGCGCTCGTCATTAAGGGGCTAAAACAAGGACTGGTCGGCTCGGAGTCTGTATACTGTGTCTGAGTGGGGTATTCATGTTAAACTGCGGCATGGTATCTCAGTGAGCTAGCACTATAAATCGGCATCAGTCCGGACTAATACAAGCAGCCACACAAACACTTTCAGTCATTCCCACCTTGTGAGGATTCCAGGGAGGAATAGTTCTCCAGCAGGCGACTGTATAGATCGGATGGTCCACACCTGATTATTTACAGACCTCCCTCATATAGCTGGAATGTTGCTTAGTGCAGGGTCAGACATCAAACAGACAGTCTTGGGCATCCGGAAAGAGTAGATCCAAAGTACACCATATTTGTTATGGCTGACTAAAATGGGAATTGGATGATTAGAATGCCTGACCTATTGTGTGTTGTAACGTATCGGTGTGGACAGTTGGCCACTAGCATTTAATGCCATGACCATTTACATACCTCAGACTGTGATATATCTGTTATACTGTTCAAGGCAACTCAATCTCACTATTTACAGGCTGGTGTGATATAGTGAATATCACCCAAGTGTCTTTTAATATCAAATCTATCAACAGAAGTTGATACAAGTTTATAACTCTAAGGCATGTTGAGGAAACTTTTGATCGATTAGTTTTGATTTATTTTGTATCAAAAGACAGAAGGGTGATATTTTATTTATCAGCCAAAGTCATTATTCCAACTTTTTTCTGTTTGTAAAAAGTACTAACCAGTGTCTTGAGTGTAAAAAGTGCAGCTAACCAGCTTCAGTGTGATAGAGATTAGTGATATTTCATTTTGACATCATGGTAACCAGTGACATCACAATGGTCTGCAAAGCATTGTGATACAATTTCGTTGTAGCGATATACTTAATTTCTTACACACCTGTGGGTGAGAAACCCATTTGAGATAACTGGTATCAAACATATGTGTGAGATCGAATTCCAGGCCCGTGATTGGCTACTCCATGGTGATGACCTAAGGTCAGATGATGACGGACTACTTTTCTGATTGTAAGTCATTGATAACTTGCTCGTGATTCAGTCGAATGTCCACCTTCGCCTTGTTGAACCACAGGACCGTGTAATTAATAATAATAATAAACAAACTCGTCTTCGTCTGCGAATTTGTTTGTTATTATTATCAGTTACATTATCTGCTGTTATGTCAACGTTATCATTTTTTAGAGTGTAAACCCTCTGGATGCCACAGCAACACATATGTCCCTCCTCTTCAACCCTCACTTCGAAGTCGAATAAAATTCAAAATACATCACGCAAACTAATACACTTCGCAGTTTTGAATTCACTCTTCTGTTTATCATTTGCTGTCATTTTAGGCCAAGCAAAATAAGTGGAAGTGACTTCTGAAAATTAGGTATATTGTAAATGTAGCCAAATCACAATTCACAGCGTTATTTACTGTGTGTTTAGAAATCTACATATTGGATATTTACTCGAATAATTAAAGTAGAAAAATAGCATATTAGTGATCACGGGTATCAAATCACTAATGATAGTACTGAAACATCGCTGATAAGCCTAGAATCGTTTAGAATGTTTTGGAAAATACGCATTCACGAACACCGAAGTGTACGTCCCGCCATATTGGATTGTGTTTACAAAATGCAGGTTATGAGACGCCTATTCGATCAGGTATATTTCAAACTCAGATGCTATACATGCATCCCTGAATTCCTCATATATTTTAGAAACAAATGACAAATTTGTCACCAATGCAAATTATCTAGATGAAATCATGCGAAATAAATTAGGCTAAATCACGCACAACAACGACGGTAGTTATCTGCATTTCTGACTAATTCTCTTTATTACATTGAAAAGAATGGTAAACAAATAACAGTACGCAGATTGTCAGAATGTTTCTGATTACTTACATGACACATTTATGCATATACGATCCCTCAATCAACGAAAATCCTCCTGTGGAAATCCTGTGTACTGTTGTCAGTGTACACGCCATTTTGCAAAAGTCGATCACTGTTAGTGATGTCATACGGAAGTCAACATTGTTGTACATATTTGGTAATTTCTTTGAGGTGTAAACTTTTAATTCGGCATCCAGCGTGTTATTTGCTATTGTCTTGTTTGCATTATCATCATCGCCTTGAAAATCCACAGATATGGCGGAAACCTTTTTGGGTAGGGTCACATTATTTATGAGTAGTAAGCAGTACATGGAACGACGTCACTTATGACAATGGTGTTATGTATTAATGCGCCACTGCGATCATGAGAATATACAAAATACATCTATCCGATGTTAAAAAGGTGCGATTTTAGGGTGTGTAAGAAACAGATTACTGTACTTGTGCCTGTCAGATACCATTGATCTTACACTGAGTTGTTACAAAGCGTATCTAATACGTTTTGAAACAACTCAGTGTAAGATCAATGGTATCTGATAGACACTCGTGTTGTAATCTCTATATCTCCTTTGGAAGCTGTAGTGATATACTTAATATCTCCTTTGGAAGCCAGTTTTGGATGATAAATATCTGTAACATTTCTAACTACATCACTCACTTGATTTCCCCACAGCATCACCATCATTGTTGTATGTTGCAGGTGAGATTGTTCTTGCGGATGTAATTGATAGCGACTCGTGGCGACTGTGGCCAGCGGGCGACCGGCGCCTGATGAAGGACAAGCAGGTTTACCGGGAACTGAAGGAGGTGACCCAGGAGGCGCTGGACATGGTCAAACGGAACTTCCAGTGGGTGGCTGAGAGAGTTGAGGTAGATGGAACTAATATTAGTGCTTAGCATACACTTTATTGTCCCCCCGTCATATAATAAGGGGGGATATAGTCGACGCCCCGTCTGTATGTCCCGTCTGTCCATAATCATTTCATTTCCGGAGCGCATCTCGAAAACAGTTCATTATTTTTCAACAAAAACAGATATATCAAACTTCCTGAAGTGGTGCCTTTTGCTATTTAAAAGTTTTTGGCATTTTTTTAATCATTTTTTTTTTATTTCCATGAAAATAATTTGTACTAAGTCTCATAAGGGGGTGGATTTCGTTTCCAGAGTAAAACTCAAAAAACTTAATATCTTTCAACAAAACAGATCCTAAAGTGGTGCCTTTTGCTGTTTGCGGATTTTGCATTGTTATTTTTCTCACTTTCCATTGAAACATTTTGGACTTAGTCTCAAAAGGGGCTGGTGGATTTTGTTAGAATGTTCATAGTGGTAGTGGTGTGTTTGTCCTGACCATATCTCTAAAAGTAATTGGTATTCTTTCATGAAACTGTGCACACACTGTGACCAGTGTGTCAACTGGTCAACTGGTGCCTCAGATTAGATAGAAATACTCTTATCAAGTTGGACTTAAAGTAACAGTCAGAAGATTTTTTCTTTCTGGCTTTTGACAACATTTTGTAAAAAAAAAGACGGATCAGAATTTCAGCTGTTCTCTTCTTCCAGAAACTTTCACCCAAACCCCACGCACGTGCTGTAGTTATCATGGGCTCCCCCACCGACTCTTCGTTTGCGGAGAGAATCAAGTCTACCTGTACTGCGTACGGCGTGCCATGTGAGCTGAGAGTGTCGTCTGCCCACAAGTCGACAGATGAGGTGCTTCAGATCCTAGCTGAGTATGAGGGTAGGCCTTGGTGATCTTTGAATATTTGTCTTCCTTCAACCATGGTCATATCATTTGATAATTATTTAGTGTGAAGTTTACATGATGGACAGTTTTTCCATTGAATAATAGGTTGGTCACATGACCAAGAAACTGACGATCATACGTTTTTCTTGAGACTGTATTCTAAAAATGATGTTAACACTTGCGGACCAGTTCCACATTTCTGAAGGATCCTGTAGGACTGTGTCCAGCATGAATAAATACAGAAGCGTTCTTTCTGATCATTGAGCTCCTTTAATCTTCCACTCAGAGTTTTAGACAGTCACAAGGTCCAACGTTCATGGAGTTTGGCTCTCACTCTATCAAGGTTCATACTCAATGAACTCGGGTAAAGTGAAAGTCAATTCTTAAATAAACCCAAATTTTGAGAGCAATCTTCCTGAGGCAAGGAAGTTAACTGACTCTAAAAGTCCAGTTTCCGCCCTTGCCGAACTGGGCTGGAATTTCTAGGCTCAATCGTAGCGCCACCTTTGGCTATTGCTAGTTATGTACCTTCTATGCCCCTCCTATTGACCAATCAGATTCCATCTATCATATCACTTACATTTGCTTAAAAACAAATGGTGGCGCCCAGTCAAGACGATCTGATCGATGATGAAGATATAGATTGTAATAAAACAGGTCTTACCTCGCAAAGTGCATCAAATCACGTGAGCACCTTAATTAATAACATGAAAAGATTTGGAATCTGCACGTTGAAATCCATGTTGTTTATGAACCGGATGTTGATTTCGTTACGAGATTGTGATTGGACTATGCATAGACTCATTAGTCCAGCCAAAATGTAACTCAATAATTCGAGCCTAGTTTGGCAAGGGTGGAAACTTGACTTTTACAGTCAGTTAACTCCCTTACCTCAGGGGGATGGAGAGCAATATGTCCAATTAAATGAAAAGATTTTCTTATGTGCAAATACCCTCTAAGAACATCATTTGTTCCCGTTTTCAGGAGAGGGTATTCCAACAGTATTTGTTGCTGTGGCTGGAAGGAGTAATGGCCTGGGACCAGTATTGTCTGCCAACTCAACATGGCCGGTGATTAACTGCCCCCCAGTCACAGGGGAGTGGGGGGCACAGGACATCTGGTCATCGCTACGGTTACCATCAGGTAGGATTTGTCGCCTTAATAGTTTGATATTGACCCATGGGGGTTCCATTTAAGAATATAGATCCCCAGCAACCTATGTTTGTTGTAGTAAATTGGGTGGCCAAGCTCGGTGTCATGGTTGATTATTAGTCATCGTATCTAAGGTGACATTTTTTGTATTACTAGGTTTACGGATGCACCGATCTTACAAAGTCCAAATGATGAAAAAAAATCAAAATACAAATGACTCCTTTTTTTATTACTGCCGCTCTTCACTTTTAAAAATGCATAAAAAGTCCCCCCCCCCCCCCCCCCCCCCCCCCCCCCTCCCAAAAATGATTTCATTTCCTCTGCTAGTGTAAAGCAAAGGGAAGTCACTCTGATATTTCTCGCTGGGATCCTTCTCTAATACCATCAAAGCTTGTTAATGCAAAGCGCAGTGGTGACCAGTTTACCCTTTCAACACTGTTGGCCAGTACACGAGTCAGCGCAGGGTTGCCCGGCCAGGTCACGTGAAAATAGTTTATAATTTTATTAACCTACCTTTCATATAATCTATCCCGCGAATAGCTGCAAAATTGCTGATGCGGCGTTAAGCAATATTTACTCACTCACTTCATATAATCTATCACATTTCGCAATGTCTGAAATACGTATTCCATTTGATTTTATCATTTTTTATCAATAGATTAAAAAATTATTCACTATTTCCCGCAATGTTATTGAAAATAAAATTCTCGGACACACTTCGACAACGTGTCCTCATTGAACATGTCAAACAGCAAAATAAAGACACGATGTCTTTAATGCCAAAATATATGCATAAGAAATCTTTGTCACAGCTCGTATCCTAGCACTATACATCCATGAAGTTCCATATTTTTAATATAGATCGCGATTTCATGCTTAAAACATTCAGAATAACATGATTTAACCTAACTTTTTAGGACAAAATTCAAGTAATAAAAAGCTCTGAGGCTTTTTTTCTTTTCTTTTTTTAAATTGGCCTACCTCACTTTTGAAATGAGTTTAAAATCCGTGGACCAAGAAGTAAAAAAAGTGTCGCCTAATGGATTGATGCTCAGGATGTCAATCATATGATTCTTGTTGGGTTGAGCTAGGATTGTTTTGAAAATAATCATTTGTTCCAGACGAGTGTGGAAAAAATAGTTTGTCCTCATAGTTTAATGGACATGTCATATACCGGATTATCTGAAAATTATGTGTTGTGAACAACACTGAAATTGTTTGGATCCTCCTTTTACAGAAATAAATACGGTGTTTGCACACCCACCCTCCCCCAAAGAATAGTGAATATGTTAGGTCCTTAAACCTTCATGGTCAGTGTTGTCAGTCAAGACCATCAGAGGAAGATACGAAATATATATCACTTTGGTGTATAAATCATATTAGTCACTATCTCTTCTGACAGACCTTGGATGTGGAACAGTCCTATCTTCATGGTCAGTGTTGTCAGTCAAGACCATCAGAGGAAGATATGAAATATATATCGCTTTGGTGTATAAATCATATTAGTCACTATCTCTTCTGACAGGCCTTGGATGTGGAACAGTCCTATCTTCATGGTCAGTGTTGTCAGTCAAGACTGTCAGAGGAAGATATGAAATATATATCACTTTGGTGTATAAATCATATTAGTCACTATCTCTTCTGACAGGCCTTGGATGTGGAAAAGTCCTATCTTCATGGTCAGTGTTGTCAGTCAAGGCTGTCAGAGGAAGATATGAAATATATATTGCTTTGGTGTATAAATCATATTACCGTATTCGACGTAATAAGCGCCCACGGGCTAATATGTTGGGTAGAGAACAATCCCAATTAGCACCCCTTCCGATTGATCAATGTACACAAGACTTATCTATTTGTGTAAACTACGTGTGTTATATGCATCCTTAATTATGGGAAATTAAATTCTGGAAAAATATATCTGTCGTATATAAACATTTCAGGCTGTCAGCATAAACCACGAAATTTACCTTCTTTCAACTATGTTTTTTTTTCACCAAAATTATATTCTAATAAGAGCCCCCTATTTCTAATTTTGTGAGCGCCCTGAGCGCTTGTTACGTCGAATACGGTAGTCACTAACTCTTCTGACAGGCCTTGGATGTGGAACAGTCCTATCTTCATTGTCAGTGTTGTCAGTCAAGACTGTCAGAGGAAGATATGAAATATATATTGCTTTGGTGTATAAATCATATTAGTCACTCTCTCTTCTGACAGGCCTTGGATGTGGAACAGTCCTGTCTCCTGAAGCTGCTGGTCTCAATGCTGCTCAAATTCTGTCCTTGTCAGATCATGTGATCTGGAGCAAGCTACGTGCGAAAAAGCTCAATACCTGGGTCACGTTAAAGACAGCAGATCGCAAAGCAAGAGATGACAAGTAATCACAAAGTGGAGTGACACATTTTATCAAAATTTATGTCCTGTTCAAGATGTTGTTTTGTATTTTGTTGACTGACATTTTGCATAGACATTATGGCGTCCCAGGAGAGACAACTCATATTCAAACATAATAAATAAAGAAAATATTTTGATATTTCATTGACCTGGACAATTTGAGATCACTTCGTTCCTTACATACAGTCTTCACAAGATATGTTTTTTAAATATCCTGAACAAGTTTATGCTGTAGATCTGAAAATGGTTTTGTTTTTTCATTGATTAAGTATTGTTACATGACTTATGTTTCTGAGCAGATTTGATCTGTTGATTTGGCTGCCATTACTATGTGTCAAGTATTTCTGAATGAGATTATATTTCTGTGCAATCATGAATCATTTGTCATCTTAGGCAACGCATCAGATGAGGTTGTAAGAGCAGACGTGTGAACCATCTAGTTTCTGGAAGTGCACATGCTGTAATTAATTTTTTCCAAATGTTTGACATTTTGGCATGCATGGAAATAAATAAACATTTTTGCAATAAAACATTTTATGTTCAATAATGTACCTGTTTGACTTTGACCCGTTTTGGTGAAACAGTGGATTGAATGGTCAAGATGGCCAACATGAATCACATATAGATGCATTAAAATGTAGTTGAGTCCACTCATCTGAACTTAGTTTTATTTTCAATCCTTTTTCAGCTGACTTGTTAAAAACACCATGTAAGAGTTTATTGCCTGTGTTGTCAGGAAATTCCGGAGCAGACAATATGCCATTACCTTATGGATGTAAGAAATGACCATCCTCGATTATCAAGTGTATAATATGTTCATGCTATTATGATAAATACCATGCACCAAGAGGCGACTAACCGGATCGGGTGGTGAGGCTTGCTGACATGGTTGATGCATGTTATTGTATCCCTATTGCATGAATCGATGCTCATGATGTCAATCACTGGATTGTCTTGTCCAGACTGAATTATTTACAGACAGCCGTTATCATAATGTACCATAATCGAGAATTGAGCTGACCTGGCAGATTATAATGTAACCATGGTAACCTGAAAGTGTGGAACCATCTTTATTCTTCCAACCACGAGCAACAGTTAAGCCACCAGTTCCACTTCCAAACAATTTTCTTTTGACCCGTGAAGATCCAGGTAGACAATAGGTCTTCAGCAACCCAAACTTGCTGTATTTGGAGACTATGCTTGTCGTAAGAGACGACTAATGGGATCGAGTGGCCAGGCTTGCTGACTTTGTTGCTGTCACCGTTTCCCAAATGCGTAGATTGATGCTCATGATGTCACTCACTGGATTGTCTTGTCAAGACACAATTATTTACAGACCGCCATCATATTGCTGAGTGAGGCGTTAAACAAAACAAACCAACAATTGTCTTTTTATCCTGTAGGCTTACTTAATAACAGCCAGGGGACATTGGGGTAGCTTAGTGGTCAAAGCATTGACACGTCGCACCGAAGACCCGGGTTCAATTCCCCACATGGGTACAATCTGTGAAGCCTACTTCTGGTGCCCCCCCCCCCCATTCACAATATTGCTGGAATATTGCTAAAAGCAGTGTAAAACCATACTCAATCCTTCACCAATAACAGCGAACATATGGTCATTTAAAACTACTGCATTGAGATGCCGAAAAACAACTGATTATATACATAATGTCTGAGCTACAATTGCAGACTGCGGTATAAAACAACTCACTCACTCACTCACAGACAGGTGGCCGTTAGGTTTGACTGGGAGTATTTCATTAGAGGTTGAGTCGTGGGTAGCCCAGTCATCTTACGGTAATGAAAGTTCATCCCTTAGGCATTCCAGAAACCTATGATCGAGGGTTCAAATCCTGGTTCACCCTGGTTATGTTTCTAGGTTTGTAAGCACCATACCTGTGCTCCTGGGTTTCACCGAAGTGGTAAACATCCAAGACCTGCATCACGTGGGGCTTTTCTTCCACAAGGAGCTGATGATAAAACTGGAATACTGTTCAAAGTGTTGATAAACCCAACTCAATCGCTTACTCAATCCTGATGATTTCGTCTGTATATCAGCAATACAACAGGTATTATATTTGTGGCCCAAACATGATTTTCAAAAGGTGGGTTTCGAACCCTATGAAAACTCTTCCCTACTCCAGCTCCCACCCAACCCCCATATTATGGGTGCTACAGCCTGATATCTTATTGACAATTCCACCTTAATATATTTTTTAATACCCCCTGGTATGTACTTCCTAGCTTGTTTTTCCGTCTGACTAATTTTTTTGTCCAGGCCATTTCTCTAAAACCTATAGGTATTCTTTTATGAAACTTTGCACACAGATGTATCAGGCTGTGAACAGGTGCATTTTGCTATTTGGGGACTTTTAAAATTTCTATTTTTTCCGTTTCATTGGCAACAAGTTTGACATTTGGGTGTTTGTCTGGACCATGTCGCAAAGAGGTTTTCTTTCATGAAACCATTTCATTTTTCAGTGATAATCCGGATCTTTGCTTATGCAGGGGCGGTGGGGTAGCCTAGTGGTTAAAGTGTTCGCCCATCGTGCCGAAGACCCAGGTTCAATTCCCTTCATGGGCATATGTGTGAAGCCAATTCTGGTTTCCTTCGCTGTGATATTGCTGGAATATTGATAGAAGCTGTGTAAAACCATACTCACTCACTCGCTATCAATCACTGGTTTGCCTGCCGCAGACTTTATCATTCATGGCTAACAGCTTGGGTATTGATGTGATGACGTTCCGTCACCATCACAGTTGACAAGAAGCTTTAATCTCATTCAGTTCAGTTCTTAATGGGGGCGGTCAGGTAGCCTAGTGGTTAAAGCATTTGCTCGTCACGCCGAAGACCCGGGTTCGATTCTCGACATGGGTGCAATGTGTGAAGCCCATTTCTGGTGTCCCCCGCCGTGATATTGCTGGAATATTGCTAAAAGCGGCGTAAAACCATACTCACTCACTCAGTTCTTAATGCTCGCTCCAAAGATCTGACACAATAAAAGACAACTGTCCTGCTTGATGACTAAAGCTTTATTTGCAATGGAAGTAAATCCCCTGGAAATCATGTTTCTGTCATTGTTACTATCAAATGTATGACAAAAGCGTCTGGATAATAATACAGTTTAATTTCCAGGGGTACATTAAGACCTTAAATTATACAACATGGGAAGATCTGTAGATGATTGTATATAATATACAAAATAAATTAAGTAGCAAAATATTTGTACATGCAAATAAAATATACAATACAGACTATAAAAACTTTGAAAAAATGTTCATAACAATAAGCTTTATAATTATCTTTTAGTATAAATCTCGAGAATAATTTGATACTGTTTTGTGAGCAAAATGCAAATAATAAATAATTGATGGTTTATTTCAAGCACTTTTCTACTATACATTACATTGTAACAACAAATAGATTAATAATTTCACCTCACTGATAAATCTTCATTTATATTTACAAAATGCCCATAAACCCTCTAGACTCAAATCAGTATCGTCGTTCATCAAAGGCACAGAATAAAACAATTTTGGTTTGTATCTGTTATTTGGTACATCTTTTCACTAACATTGAAAACATTCTGAAAATGCACATATATTGCCATAGAGAATATTCACAAAAGTGTGAGATTCAGTTTTATGAAACAACAACAACTTACTTGAATAAATGGAAACATCATGTCTTATACTTAATTAATTTGTTTGGCATGACTAACTTTCTTGTTTTATTAATAAGATTAACCAAATTGTACAAAAGAAACAATACTGATTATATTTCTTTCTGTTAATTATTTTTGATAAAAAAATATGTTGACACATTTCTCAGACTTCAATTTTCATAAGAATATTAATCTTTTTCAACTGTGACAATATTTTCTTAATATATTTGCCTCATTCACTTTGTACAGAAAATGTGTACCAACATGGCAGTAGGTCTATCAAATTCCATAAACATTCGTCATCACTCGCGCCTTTCCGTAACCTGCAAGGAGACTCGTCCCCCTATCGATGAATGTTATGTGTGAAAATACGACAAACCAATCAGAATGCGTGTATGATTTCAAGTTCTTCATCAAAGAATCCCTCAGAAATAATTTTTGATTTTACATATGTCTTGCATCTAAAAATATACCAAAGACACAGTTAAAGGTGTTCAATCATACTGTATAACTTTGCATGTCCCAATGTGCTTTAAATTGCATTTAAAATATATATAATCTGTGGGGAAATATATGTGAACCATTATGCAAGGAGTTGACAATTGTTTTAGGTATGCCCGTTTGCGCTAAGACAGAACCCGGTTGCAAAAATGGCCATGAGAGGGGAACGAGTCGCTATTCAGCTTGTCCCGGAATAACACGAGTTCGTCACGAATGCTTCCATAAAAAGTGATGCACAAACATTACATCTATTTTGGTTTTGCTAATTTGTATAATATGACAGAACTATGCATGGAAATGTTGAGCCACGTAATACTGAAAATATTTGGAGATCAGACTGAAACAATAAATGTAAAGCTATGTTCATGACACGAATGTAGCGCACCAACATACAGTTGGACTTCAGGAAAGTAGTACCTGTCATGAGAGGTCTGATCCCCAACATGAATGTAGCGTACAAACATACAGTTGGACTTCAGGAAAGTAGTACCTGTCATGAGAGGTCTGATCCCCAACATGAATGTAGGGCACAAACATACAGCTGGACTTCAGGAAAGTAGTACCTGTCATGAGAGATCTGATCCCCAACATGAATGAAGCGTACAAACATACAGTTGGACTTCAGGAAAGTAGTACCTGTCATGAGAGATCTGATCCCCAACATGAATGAAGCGTACAAACATACAGTTGGACTTCAGGAAAGTAGTACCTGTCATGAGAGATCTGATCCCCAACATGAATAAAGTATAAATTTGACAGCTTCACGTTTAAAAAGTAGTGGCTCTCATATGAGTTCCAATAGGTTACATACAGAAGTGCACAGACACATTGTTACTCTTCAGGAAAGCAGTACATGTCTGAACGAATAGGAAATCCTGAGTGGTCTGATCTCTGACATGAATAGGCATGTGCACAATTAAACATACAGTTGCTCTTTGGGAGAGAAGTACCTGTCAGCGGAAAGGAAATCCTGAGTGGTATGTTCTGTGCCCTGAAAATGGTGCACAGTGTTGCTATTCAGGAAAGTAGTACCTGCCATGAACAGAGGAGATCCTGAGGTCTGATCTGGGAAGTTAAGACACGGTCCTGTAATATACAGGTGAAAAAAAACCAAGTGATAGCAACACTGCAATAATGTTAATACTAACGTTTATTTTTTTTTATTCAGGTTTTCTGGAAAATGTTACAATTTGTTTAGAAAATGCCAAACATTATTGCCATGCCATCCCTTATTTCTTTTCAATGTATATATGTATGCATATGTTCATGAATGCCCCCTGACCTTTGGTGCATGAAGGTGCCGGTATATATCTAGCACTCATAAAAATGACACGTGAAAGCAATCGTAGAAATGTGAAATATTTTAAAATGGTTGTGACTAAAAGATGTCATGTTCAATCTATTATTTCATTTGTTTTATTTTTATTGAAAATTTGATGTACATCTATCCTTCTAAAAATCTCAAAGGTGACAGTCTAAACATATATCGGGAAATTTTGTCACATGGTATGTCATTCTCACTGATAAATACGATTCTTCTTCATGATGATTAACTTTGCTCACTGACTTTAACAATTTGACTTTAAACCAGTGCCTTGTCTCAAATAACTGAAAAGGAGGTCATCTGTGTTTCCTGAGATGAGACCAAACACTCTAGCTTATATTCTTCAGTTATTCCAAATTTAAAAAAACCAGGACAGATTCCAATCACGTTATTCCCTAAGTAAAGATAACAACCGTTCTATGCCGCATTACCTTTGGGAAGATGTTCAGCAACACCAAGCAGAGGAGAAAAACATTCATGTAGCTACATAAAGCCATGGGACATCTCATGGTGGCACTAAATATACTACTAAAAAAAAGTTAAGGACCACCTGATTCTTTCATATTACTATAGATCATCTGTCATGCCATGACAGACTAACACACTACTCAAAAGAAGTTAAGGATCACCTGATTCTTTTATATTACTGAAGTTCATCTGTCATGCCTGACAGATAAACTCACTACTCAAAAAAAGTTAAGGAACACTCAATTCTTTCATATTACTAAAGTTCATCTGTCATGCCATGACAGACTAACACACTACTCAAAAAAGTTAAGGATCACCTGATTCTTTTATATTACTGAAGTGCATCTGTCATGCCTGACAGATTAACGACAGTGATATGAAAGAATCGGGTTGTCCCCAACTTCTTTTGAGTAGTATATATTTGCTATGGGAATTATTAAACTAGTGATAATGGAATGAAAGTAGCCAGACAGAGCCATGAAGTTGTTTGGAGACATATACAGCACTGATGACAGAGGAGTATCATCTTCAAAAGTTTATGATGTCAAAGTTTGAATATTGTGTGCCAAGAACAACAAAAGATTGAAGACAGTGTTTCATAATTTGAAACAGAAAGGATTGTTTAAGCCACAGTAATATGTAACAAGAATATCCAGAAGCTGATTGGCTCAGGATGGGTGAATTGCACACAACACCGACCAATCATCACATTGCTCTTATGGGTGGATGCAAATGGACAACCAATGAGAATGCTTTCTTGTAATTCTCAAGTATATCCATTCAGTGTTCTTCATAACCTGTCCTTGTCGGACAACTGTCAGCCTTGTATCAAGTCATCCATCTCATTGGACTGTTTGTTTACTTGTCACCCAATCAGAATACTTCATCATCATCAGCAGTCTCGGATCCCCGGGGGTGGAGCGTGAGGGGGGCACCTCCTCTCCCCTGAAAAAATCTGGATCCCTTGTCCAGTGCCGTTGTCTGAATAGAAAAACACATTACGGTGAGTAACAACATTGTTAGCATTTGTGTTTATTCATAATGAAAGTGTAGTGGATAGAGTGTTGGCCTGGAGAGCAGAAGGTTGGTGGTTCGATCCTAGGCTGCATCATACCAAAAGATGTTCAAGGTGGTACTTGTTGTTATCCTTCCTGGTGCTCATCATTAAGGGATAAAACAAGGACTGGTCAGACCGGAGTCAGTGGGGTATTCATGATAAAATTGGGGCATGGTATCTCATTGGGTAGCCCTTTAAAACTGGTATTAGTAGTACCACTGATTGTTGATTGTTTGTTGTTTAACGTCGCACTCAGCAATATTCAAGCTATATGACGGCGATCTGTAAATAATCGAGTCTGGACCAGACAATCCAGTGATTGATATCGTGAGCATCGATCCATGCAATTTGGATCGATGACATGCATCAACCAAGTCAGCGAGCCTGACCACCCGATCCCGTTAGTTGCCTTTTACGACAAGCATGGGTTGCTGAAGACCTGTTCTACCCCGGATCTTCATGGGTCTATTAGTAGTACCAGCGCACACACAAGTTGAGCTGGCAGATGGTCACTATCCAAACGCTATCCAGTATTCATCTTCAGTAGCTATTCATAAATTCATTTTTTACTGGAAGAATAGATTATGTAGAGGCTACCCAGTATCCTGCGCTAAAATCTGTGAGTGTAGTCAGAATGTATAAGAAAACATACAACTTTATGGATAACAACTTGTGGTTTATTGCATATATTCTCGCACCTTTATCAAGCTGGAGTGACAACAACCAAGTGAATGATGGTCTTTACGCATGGCATGTTGTGATAAGCAGAAGATTAACATTTACAACAGGTAATAGATAACAAGTAGCATACTGTTGATTGGATCAAGCCAGATGTACAGGAAGAATAACAAATAGCACACAGGTAGTGAAGCACACAGGTAATCAAGCCAGATGTACAGTAAGAATAACAAATAGCACACAGGTAGTGAGTGAGTTTGGTTTTACGCTGCTTTTAGCAATATTCCAGCAATATCACAGCGAGGTACACCAGAAATGGGCTTCACACATTGTACCCATGTCGGGAATCGAACCCGGGTCTTCGGCGTGACGAGCGAACGCTTTAACCACTAGGCTACCCGACCGCCCCACACAGGTAGTGAAGCACACAGGTAATCAAGCACACAGGTAATCAAGCCAGATGTACAGGAAGAATAACAAATAGCACACAGGTAGTGAAGCACACAGGTAATCAAGCACACAGGTAATCAAGCCAGATGTACAGGAAGAATAACAAATAGCACACAGGTAGTGAAGCACACAGGTAATCAAGCACACAGGTAATCAAGCTAGATGTACAGTAAGAATAACAAATAGCACACAGGTAGTGAAGCACACAGGTAATCAAGCCAGATGTACAGGAAGAATAACAAATAGCACACAGGTAGTGAAGCACACAGGTAATCAAGCACACAGGTAATCAAGCCAGATGTACAGTAAGAATAACAAATAGCACACAGGTAGTGAGTGAGTTTGGTTTTACGCTGCTTTTAGCAATATTCCAGCAATATCACAGCGAGGTACACCAGAAATGGGCTTCACACATTGTACCCATGTCGGGAATCGAACCCGGGTCTTCGGCGTGACGAGCGAACGCTTTAACCACTAGGCTACCCGACCCCCCCACACAGGTAGTGAAGCACACAGGTAATCAAGCACACAGGTAATCAAGCTAGATGTACAGTAAGAATAACAAATAGCACACAGGTAGTGAAGCACACAGGTAAACAAGCACACAGGTAATCAAGCCAGATGTACAGGAAGAATAACAAATAGCACACAGGTAGTGAAGCACACAGGTAATCAAGCACACAGGTAATCAAGCTAGATGTACAGTAAGAATAACAAATAGCACACAGGTAGTGAAGCACACAGGTAATCAAGCACACAGGTAATCAAGCCAGATGTACAGTAAGAATTACAAATAGCACACAGGTAGTGAAGCACACAGGTATTTATCATGTGTGCAAGCTGAGACGGGCCATGACAGACTGATCTTCTCGCATCATCACACATCCATGTCGTCAGAAGCCATTTTAGCCATCCAATACCCAATCAAGTCACTTTTACATGATGATGTCAAGTCTGGCTGTACATTAGGCCTGTGATTACCATGTTCAAGAATTGCCCAGTCTGGTTTCACTTCCATTCGGGGCGGTGGGGTAGCCTAGTGGTTAAAGCGTTGGCTCATCAGGCCAAAGACCTAGGTTCGATTCCCCATATGGGTACAATGTGAGAAGCCCATTTTCCAGTGTCCCCCATCATGATATTGCTGGAATATTGTTAAAAGGCGTAAAACCATACGCACTCGCTCACTCACTCACTCCATTCAGATAAATATTCTGATTTTTACTAAAGCTTTCCGAGGGTGGAACATCACAATGCCTATACACTATTATTATTTTCCCTACTTTGTCAAAATTAAAAAAACAAGAAGAAAAAGGGTGTAGCAACTTACAGTGATGACCCGGATACCAGCAACAGTCTGCTTGGTCTTCCTCACAAAGTGGGCACTCAGACCCTTGGCTATGTTGTCATGGAGATCCTCATCCTTAGCAGTGTCGTCCTGGCAACAAATGTGTGCATGAATAGTTAACTGTCAAAATAGACATTCCGAAAACAATTACATACAATTATTTCATCAATACTATTTGAATTTTTGTCATAAATAATGTTTACATTTGATTTCGAAAGGAACTCGAAAAGTACAAATATTCTGATGCATTAATTGTCCAATGGCAGTTAAAACTTACAGCAACCCAGGGATGAGCAAGGACTTCATCTGCTGTATATCTCTGTTCTGAGTCCACAGTCAACATGTGGGATATCAGCTCCTAGAGAGGACATACAGTGGTTATTACAATTTACATGCTTCAAATATCACAATTGTCAGGCTATATTCTTCACATGATTTACATATCACTATAAAAACATTGTGAAAACAAGTTATCATTCCAGAAATTACAAAAACAAATTAAGAAAATGTTTTGGACAAAAAAGATTGTTGTCAAACTAAATTAATTTTTTGACTCCTTCTTATATAATAACAAATTGTATGTCAGTGGTGACCAAAAAATATTCACTCCTCTCACCCCTAGAATTTTAAAATAGCTGGTTCCTTATAAACATGGCACCACATCTCCAATACTAAATGACCAGACCAAAAACTTAAAACACAAGAGGCTAACCTTGGATGATGCAGACAGGTCATCCCAAAATGGTGAAGTAAATTCAAACTTTCCCATCATGATCTGATCAAACAGGTCATCCTGGTTGTTGCTTTGGCTGTAACAGAAGATTGTACATCAGGCTGTGTGCAACTATTTAAGCCCTAAAGATTGCAGTTTTGCAATGAATACAAGATCAGTACATCAAAATAATCAGCAGAGTTTTTCAGTTACAGCATTCACTCGTTAAAGGCCCCAATTCGATTCAACACATGAGTACCGTGTGTGAAGCCCATTGCTGGAATATTGCTAAAAGTGGCAGAAAAACATATCACACTCTCTCTAAAAACACAATGCTCTGAAAAGAGCTGTTATGCACTCCCACACTGATCATGTGCTTGTCGTAAGAGGCAACCGTGATCGGTTGGTCAGGCTCACTGACTTGGTTGATGCATGTCATCATATCCCGAATGCATGGATCGATGCTCATGATGTCAATCACAGGTTTGTCTGGTCCAGACTTGAATATTTACAGACCATAGTCATATAGCTAGAATATCGCTGGGCGTGGCATTAAACAACAAACAATACAATGCAATACCCACACTGATCACATGGATAAACACTTCAAGACATAATATGCAAATATTTAATTGTATCTTCTGTGAATCTTTTATATATTAACATGCCTAGTACAATGGACATATTTTCCATAAAATCATTTGATTGGTTGAGATGGGAAATCAGCATTGTATATACAGTGTTATACCTGACAAAGGGAGGGAATCCACACAGCAGTATGTAGGTGATGACTCCGGCAGACCACACATCGACCTTCAGCCCGTAACTGTGGAGAGGTAAATAACAAAAGTAATAATCTACTTTTAGATACATCTATGAAGGAACTGCTCTGCTAAACATCTTCACATGAAATTGTGTAATAAATTTGTATCTAGGTAAATCTGTTTCAATCTCAAATACTGAATTCATCGTAACAAGAGCCCTGGGCATTTAGAAAGTTGACAATGTGGGCGCTTATTAAAACCATACACAATGAATTAAATCTGTTGTCGGCGACCGAGCTGCAAAGAACAAAGTCAGCTCAAACATCAGTGAGACTAAGCATTTATGATAATAGTTACTTCACAATAATATACCCCTTCTACACTGTTTTCTGTAAAAATCTGTTTTATAAACAAGACACCAAGTTTCTGGTGAGCTTGAGGGCACAACTGCTCAGTGAATCACGACACCGGAGCCGACTGGCCCACCGTGTGCCCCTCACTCTGTGTACAGGTACTGCCGTCTGCTGCTCCCTACCCTGACTCTGCTATAATCTCCGGGGCAACGTAGGTGGGAGTTCCCCCTTGTGCCCCTCACTCTGTGTACAGGTACTGCCGTCTGCTGCTCCCTACCCTGACTCTGCTATAATCTCCGGGGCAACGTAGGTGGGAGTTCCCCCTTGTGCCCCTCACTCTGTGTACAGGTACTGCCGTCTGCTGCTCCCTACCCTGACTCTGCTATAATCTCCGGGGCAACGTAGGTGGGAGTTCCCCCTTGTGCCCCTCACTCTGTGTACAGGTACTGCCGTCTGCTGCTCCCTACCCTGACTCTGCTATAATCTCCGGGGCAACATAGGTGGGAGTTCCCCCTTGTGCCCCTCACTCAATGTACAGGTACTGCCGTCTGCTGCTCCCTACCCTGACTCTGCTATAATCTCCGGGGCAACATAGGTGGGAGTTCCCCCTTGTGCCCCTCACTCTGTGTACAGGTACTGCCGTCTGCTGCTCCCTACCCTGACTCTGCTATAATCTCCGGGGCAACATAGGTGGGAGTTCCCCCTTGTGCCCCTCACTCTGTGTACAGGTACTGCCGTCTGCTGCTCCCTACCCTGACTCTGCTATAATCTCCGGGGCAACATAGGTGGGATATCCCCCTTGTGCCCCTCACTCTGTGTACAGGTACTGCCGTCTGCTGCTCCCTACCCTGACTCTGCTATAATCTCCGGGGCAACATAGGTGGGAGTTCCCCCTTGTGCCCCTCACTCTGTGTACAGGTACTGCCGTCTGCTGCTCCCTACCCTGACTCTGCTATAATCTCCGGGGCAACATAGGTGGGAGTTCCCCCTTGTGCCCCTCACTCTGTGTACAGGTACTGCCGTCTGCTGCTCCCTACCCTGACTCTGCTATAATCTCCGGGGCAACATAGGTGGGAGTTCCCCCTTGTGCCCCTCACTCTGTGTACAGGTACTGCCGTCTGCTGCTCCCTACCCTGACTCTGCTATAATCTCCGGGGCAACATAGGTGGGAGTTCCCCCTTGTGCCCCTCACTCTGTGTACAGGTACTGCCGTCTGCTGCTCCCTACCCTGACTCTGCTATAATCTCCGGGGCAACGTAGGTGGGAGTTCCACACACAGCATACAGGACATCATCCACGGTGGTCGCCAGGCCGAAGTCCCCCAGCTTCAGAGACTTGCTTCCATCAGGGTGGTCACACACCTGGAATATCAGCACAATTACCTCAGTCCGAATCATACAATCAACTCTCTTTTACCATAGACTTCTTATGAATATAGAAAGAGTTTTGTCGCTTTTTTATCGTTATTTACCAGCTCCAACAAAGTAGAAACAATTAATAGATAACAACGTCTTTAATTATTGTAAAGGCGACGTTTCGTTTTGGATCCTTATACTGTTGTCAAGCAGAATAAGATTGCTTGACCATTGTATAAGGATCTGTACTGAAATGCCGCCTTTACAGTTATTAAAGAAGTTGTTATCCATAAATTGTGTCCAATTTGTCATCCGTCAACTTCTCAGTACATGTAATGCCTATCAAACAATTTAATTTACCAACTCCAGTTTAGCACACAAGCAGGATCTCACCAGAAGGTTCTCTGGCTTGATGTCTCTGTGCACAATTCCTAGAGTGTGCAGATATTTGAGAGCACTGGCCAGATTGTAGACCATCCCACTCGCGTCACGCTCTGTGTACTTCGTGGCCGAGGATATTGCATCAAATAAGTCTCCCCCCTGTGAAAATGGCATCAAATATTTTATAAAAATATACAGGGCTGAAAAATACAAACAATTGGTTCTAAGGCTATGTATGATCTTGTTAAAAACTTTCATTTTGAGCAGATCTATACCAGCATTTCAAATAGCACAAAAAACATCAAGGGAGATAACTCTTCCTATAAATCTCGGAAATCCAACTGCACCAAGCTGTCTAGTCATTTTGCCACACCTACTACTGGTAACTATGACAATTTTACAAAACTTTAAGTTTCAAGACATCCATATATCAATTTTTAATCAAAATATATAAGACAACATGTCACTTAATTTTGTACAAATATAAACAAATTTGATTCTGATATAACAAAGACTTTCACACAAATGTCATAAACAAAGCATGATATTCACATTAAAATAATATTCTTATTATCAATGATTCAATTATTGTAAAACAAATTATAACAATGAAACAAGAGCATGCCTCATGATTAACCTTGGCTGTGGTAAAAACTACAAAACCCAGTGACATCATCATTACAGGAACAAAGATTCCAGTATTACACGGTGACATCTGTCCTATGCAATACGGACATTATATGAGTGCATGTGTTGTATAACACCTATCCATGCTCTGTAGAATGTGCGAGACTTACGGACACGAGCTCCATGACCAGGTACAGCTCGGCGGAAGTGTCGAACTCCTCCACCAGGATGATGATGTTAGGGTGCTTCACCTTACGAAGTATTGACACTTCACTTTCTATCATTTGTTCCTAAAATAGAAGATTAATTACATCATGCTCAAGTTTATACCTGCTGGTTTAACCTATTCCTAATTCTTTCAAATTGCTTATGCAGTGTTTGAAATCTTTCAAGAAAGTCAAGAAGTCCTTGTCATAGCCCTAATGTTAAAAGTTAACATTCATGGGGTCTCTTGTACAGGTGCAAGATCAAATTAAGCTAATTTCTTATTGCATATCTTGATAACCGAAGTACTATATTGATACAATGTTTACTGACTGTTATTACCACCAAACCTGGTTAATAACTGTTATTTAATGACTGGATTGTTGTGTTCATTAGAACTTGGATGAGACACATTCAAGATAATTTGACTTTGCACTATAACATTATGACAAGAGACATTGTGATATCAAGGGTTATCATGGTCTATCGGGTGGTATCAGATGTGTCTTTATCACATTGTACAAGACACACAATGCCCCACCTTGCCCTTACACCGGGCCTTGTCTATAATCTTCAGGGCAAACCTTCTGTTGTTGAATCTGAAGAGTAATGGGTAGAGTGAATATTCTTCAAAACATACATTGTATAGTGATGCTTGCTCACATCCCTGAATTACTTCAAACTTGATTGGTTGGTTTGTTGTTTAACGCCGCACTCAGCAATATTCCAGCTATATGACAGCGGTCTGTAAATAATCGAGTCTGGACCAGACAATCCAGTGATTAATATCATGAGCATCGATCCACGCAATTGGGATCGATGACATGTATCAACCAAGTCAGCGAGCCTGTCCACCCGATCCCGTTAATCGCCTTTTACGACAAGCATAGTTGCCTTTTACGGCAAGTATGGGTTGCTGAAGACCTATTCTACCCCAGAATCTTCACGGGTCACTTCAAACTTGAAATAGGGTTGTTTGGTATTTTGTGCACAGCAGAGAATGTCTGGAGATATGGATTACTCTTTACAGAAACAATAAGACTGTCCACTGGACGGGTAGACTTTGCATTTCACCAGTCATTGATGGAATTAACCTGTCATAGACAGTGGGAGGGGCTATTATTAGCCACTCTGAAAATAATGATACAACTGATACTATACATGTATGTTCCTATAATCTGTATGAGATTTCTACAAATTTTCAATCTGTTATGAGTAACATGAATTGTATCTATTACTAAAATACAATTTTCAATAAAATGAAAAATACACTTTTACCTGAAAAACTGAAAATATCACTAATCTTTAATATTAGTATAACAGGTTTTTAGATATATCTGTGTGTCAATGAAAGTAGTAAGAATAATTAAGTGTTTGTGTACCTGTCTAAGCACTCCTTGACGACGGCAAAATTCCCTTCTCCAATAACCTTCCCTATGTCGTATCTCTCCAGGAGGGAGTTGGGGACATCAGGCAACTCTGGAATGAATATATATATATGCACGCCACTATGTCCTACTGTCCCTATTATAATCCTTGATTTTGTAATATGACACATCATGTGTTTCTGTTTGCTGTTTGTTTAACGCCACACTCAGCAATATTTCAGCTGTATGATGATGGCTGTTAATGATCGAGTCTGGGTCAGACAAACCAGTGATTCATATTATGTGCAATGTCCCGTGTCCTTGGGGTACGATAACATACAAGAGTCACAGAGCCTGACCATCTTATCGATTTAGTTGCCTTGAGACCCTGAATAGCATTTTGTCACTATGGTAACACAGTCAAATTGTGACAGCAACTATGTGAGGTGAGGTGAAATGGGGTATATCATCAACCAGATCAATTATGGTGAGGTGAAGATGGTGAAATGGGATTTAATGTTGAGTTTTGTTTGTTTGTTTGTTGTTTAACGCCGCACTTAGCAATATTTCAGCTATATGACGGCGGTCTGTAAATAATCAAGTCTGGACCAGACAATCCAGTGATTGACATCATGAACATCGATCCACGCAATTGGGATACGATGACATGCACCAACCAAGTCAGTGAGCCTGACCACCTGATCCTGTTAGTTACCTCTTATGACAAGCATAGTCGCCTCTTTCGACAAGCAAGGGTTGCTGAAGACCTATTCTACCCCGGATCTTCACGGGTCTAGTTTAAGATTACTGCACTCACATAGTGAAGTGAATTCATGTGCTGATTGTACTCGTCTGGACTAATGCCAGTTTTATAATGCTAGCCCATGTGTTGCCGTGCTGCAGTCAAACAAGGATACCCCACTCAGACACATTATACTAATTCCGTGCCGACCAGTGCTTGTTTAATCCCCTTTATGCCAAGCAGCAGGCAAGGTAACAACAAGTACCCTCTAATAGGACTGGGACGAGTCCAGATTTACTACCCGGGTACCCACCCTCCTATTACCCGACCCTACCTGGGTACCTGCTGTAGGTCTCAAGACATACAAAATGTCTGATTGGGAATTATTTAACCATAGCCCTGGCAAAACGTATTTAGATACATGTATTAAACAATCTGGTCATGCATACACTGAAGCTGACTTATGTTATATCTTTATTCAAGGGTATTCAAGTCAGAAAGAATGGGTGCATAGTCAGAAAGAAATGCGAACATTAGTGACTTGCAGTGTAACCATAGAGTTCAAGATATTTTTGTCATTAAACAATATATAACGTGACAAACCACAGGTCCAGGTAGTCCTGTGGGTACCCAGGTCCTACTCAGTACCCAGGGTACCTGAGTTACCCGTCCCAGCCCTACCCTCTAACACTTTTTGACACGGCCAGGAATTGAACCATCGACCTTCCACTCTTCCAGAAGCTCTATTCAATAGGGGCGGTCGGGTAGCATAGTGGTTTAAGCGTTCGCTCGTCACACCGAAGACCCGGGTTCGATCCCCGACATGGGTACAATGTGTGAAGCCCATTTCTGGTGTCCCCCGCCGTGATATTGCTGGAATATTGCTAAAAGCGGCGTAAAACCATACTCACTCACTCACTCACTCTAATCAATAGCCTGCAGAGACAGATCACATCTGAAAGTGGTGGTCACTAATCATACTTAAAAACCATTGTACCTACCAAATCGCCATTTAGTCATCACTTACAAAACGTAGACTGTGGAGACAAGATAATTTGTGAGTATCCAATAGTGTCATCACATCCTTTCACTGCTATTTATCCCCGCTAGATAAACAGACCAGATCTCTACAGCTAACCACTATCCCAGCAACGGGCACTCCAAGTAAATTTGAGAAGGGTTTTAATCAGAACACAGCAGATATAATTCCTGCACAATCAATACACAATGACACAAAGCCTCTTTCTTCAACACAAAACAGGATCTATACTTTACTTGGAGTCTATTAATATCTTGAAAGTGCTCTAAACTGCTTGGATACAGATCTCGTCGCCCTGGACAGGAGATAGTCTTCACATGAGATCAATATGTAATCAATAGAAATTGATGAGTGTACAGCTCTTCACACATTTTTACATGTCGGGCGAGATTAATATCACAAAGGTGCTGTAATTGTCTGTCTTGACTCCATTAGGAAAGCAAGAGATTTAAAGGGACTCTCCTCCATGGTTGGGTGAATGTATCCAGACTGTCTGGATGTTGTAATCAGTGCAGTGTTTGAGTGAGCGAGTATGGTTTTACACTTTTAGCAATATTCCAGCAATATCATGGCAGGGGACACCAGAAATGGGCTTCACACATTGTACCCAAATGGGAATTGAACCCTGGCACTCAGTGTGAACGGCTTTAACAACTAGCCTACCCCACCGCCCTGCCATGTTTAAAACTTTGGACAGTCACTGTATAATATGGGTAATAGGACTTTAATATACATCATCCTACCATAAATTTGGATAATACTTGATTCTGATTTGTTAATTAGAGGTTTCAAATAAAAAAACCCACCTCTTATCTTATTGAAACAGTTGACTTGATGATGGCATCACTGTGGAAGCTATGTTTGGTTCCAAATTCAATAAGCATGGTTTACTTAACAAGTAACTCAGTTCCACATCTCCTAATTTAAAGGGGCGTTGGGGTAGCTTAGTGGTTTAAGCGTTTGCCCATCAAGCCGAAGGCACCAGTTTGATTCCCTACTTGGGTACAATGTGTGAAGCCCATTTCTGGTGATATTTGTGGAATATTGCTAAAAGCTGCAGAAAACGATACTCACTCACTCCTAATTAAGACAAAGTGGATTTTGGATGGCTTGAATCAAATCTGCTGAGACTGCCAATTAGTCTATACCAGTGCCATTTGAATATGAGTGTCCTGAAACATCTGATCTTTTTTCTTTCCCAAGATTGATATGTTGCATTTAATATACAATGGAAGATACATTTACATTTTTTTTAACAAAATCTATTACGATCTTGTAAGGATTAACCAGTTTGGAATGAAATAAATCAAATATTCATTTGAACTCATTACATAGATTTTCTTGTTTTATCGATGCCCTGCACTAATTTATCTTTAACTGTCCTCCCCAAAATGATACGGTTTAAATTATTTTCAACCCCATAGTCAAGGGATGAAAGTTAACTAACAATGTCTACAAGCTCGAATAGTGATAACATATAGCAACACCACCCAAAATGTTTGAAATTCTACTAGCCCTCAGGATACCTTTAAAGTTAACAAAACTGGTCTGGGCTAGTGGGAGAGTTCAAATTTCCATCCCTGCTTGTCATTATTTGTTTTATATTATTCTTAAATCAACACCCATTTGACGGATAAAAAACAAACAAGTTGCCTACTAATCAATAAGAATATGCATAATTCCTATTCATAGAGGAAATCCTGATTATCTGTCATGAGTGAACATGTTCTGTGAGTCCAGTGGCCCGGGGATCGAACCGCAAACATTCCTCCCTCCGGACAGAGAGACTACGGGGGTGGTTCACAACTAACAACATCACATCCGACTTAAAAAAGTACACATTGGCCAGACACTTGGCCAGTGTAATTAAAAGCGACAAAACCCTTTCCAAATTCATAAGAAATCTTTGCTAAAAGCAGCGTCGAATATACGATTCTGACTATATCATGAGCATGTTTTTATGAATCATTTAAAATAGTGATGATACCAAATGTTCGCAAAGAAGTGAGGTACCCTGCCCCACCAGTGGCACCAGTCACAAACACATGCAAAGGCAAGTCAATTGTGCAACAGTCTTCCTCCCTAGCATCTGCTTACCTCTGTGATGGCCATTGGTTCCATTGCTCATGCTGCTCCCATTGGTCATCCGGTGCTTAGGCTGCAACAGTATCGAACAATGTGGAACATTGCTATTATTACACACTGATGATGAGACTATGACTTATAACACACCAGCTTTCTACCTGTGACAGGCTGGCATGATTCTGGGTATGATGCAGAGACATCAAAGTAATGATAATTATATTTTTTTAACAACAAGAAAGTCAGATGCAATGCCAGGATCTACATTGTCTTTGAGTTTGGTACTGATTAAGCCAAAAAATAAAATATGTGTATTCAGGTAACATTTACAAAAGGGGTTGGTTAATAGGAAGAAAAACCATTATCATTAGATTTGATTGGGGTGTTTTTGATGATAAAAATTGCAGATGATATGTAACTGTGACTAAGACTACAGAATTCAAAATAACAAAGAATATGCTGTAATAAATTCTTGTAATTCTTTCAGATTTCTGCCCAGTTGGTGTTTATGTTGTAGCTATCATGTGACCTTAAGACTTCAACAATACTGACCAACTTTATGACTAGCTACCTCTGTTATACCATGTCTACCTGAAAACATCTGTTATTACATGCCTACCTGAAAAATACTATCATGCCACATCGACCTGAAGATCATGTTATAACATGTCTAACTAAAGACATCCGTTATTACATGCCTACCTGAAAAATACTATCATGCCACATCGACCTTAAGATCTTCATAATAACATGTCTAACTAAAGACATCTGTTATTACATGCCTACCAGAAAAATACTATCATGCCACATCGACCTTAAGATCTTCATAATAACATGTCTAACTAAAGACATCTGTTATTACATGCCTACCAGAAAAATACTATCATGCCACATCGACCTTAGGATCTTCATAATAACATGTCTAACTAAAGACATCCGTTATTACATGCCTACCAGAAAAATACTATCATGCAACATCAGCCTGAAGACCTTCGTTATAACATGTCTAACTAAAGACATCCGTTATTACATGCCTACCTGAAAAATGCTTTCATGCCACATCGACCTTAAGATCTTCATAATAACATGTCTAACTAAAGACATCTGTTATTACATGCCTACCAGAAAAATACTATCATGCCACATCGACCTTAAGATCTTCATTATAACATGTCTAACTAAAGACATCCGTTATTACATGCCTACCTGAAAAATACTATCATGCCACATCGACCTTAAGATCTTCATAATAACATGTCTAACTAAAGACATCCGTTATTACATGCCTACCTGAAAAATACCGTCATGCCACATTGACCTTAAGATCTTCATTATAACATGTCTAACTAAAGACATCTGTTATTACATGCCTACCAGAAAAATACTATCATGCCACATCGACCTTAAGATCTTCATTATAACATGTCTAACTAAAGACATCTGTTATTACATGCCTACCTGAAAACTACCATCATGGCATGTCTACCTAAAGACCTACAACTGTGCAGTAAGAAAGTATACTCACAGTGCCAGCTGACCTGACTTTACGTGGTGACTTGGGCGATGAAGTTGCCGACCGCGGTGCTGTCATACCTGGAAGATACATTGACGTAGATTGCTGCCATTGTAGTCCAAGGTCAGAGTTGACTGAAAGACGCACATGGTGATGGGGGTATGACTACAACAGGGGTGATAGTGGGGGGTGCACAGTACAATGTACAACAATGTACAACAGAGTACAACATTGTAGTACAACAGAGGTGCAGGTGCGTTATCACATGACCTGTCAACCTGGTGGAACTTAGTGGCCATTAAGGAAATTTAGATTCAGTTCACTTTATTGTTTTCTAAAATGGTTTCTGTGAAGTTTGTAAATTTTACATGTATTGATCATCAACTCCGCAAAATAGTTATTTTTTGGTTATGTTCCAAGTTGACAAGTCTTTGTCAATTAAGACAATGTTATATAACAATCAATGAGGTTATTAAGATGTATGGAGATTGAGAGGACTGGAACGATACACCAACTGCATGATCTGATACGTATCACAATCCCATTTTCACGATCTGATACGTATCACGATACTTGCATGTACTCTTATCTGTGGTGTGGAAGCCATCTTTTTCATAGTGAGTGAGTGAGTGAGTGAGTTTGGTTTTACGCCGCTTTTAGCAATATTCCAGCAATTCTCACGGCAGGGGACGCCAGAAATGGGCTTCACACATTGTACCCATGTCCGGAATCGAACCCAGGTCTTCGGAGTGACGAGTGAACACTTTAACCACTAGGCTACCCGACCGCCCCCATCTTTTTCATAGTCAAATACCTGGGTCACTGATGATTTACAGATGGCAGTGTCAAGTATGGCGCAATGGATAAAAACATTTACTTTTTCAATAATAATTTTTACTACTGATTAGTGTTTAGTGTAACAGTTATTAAAGGTATGGATCAATACTTTTTACTTAATGAGCAACTGTTATCAATACTTGTATCAGGAAGTAAAATATCGCGCTCCACTGATGCATCAGTGTATCGTCCCACCACTAGAGAATGAAGTATTATTGTTTGAATATCACTATTACTGACCCTCAAAATTGGTAAAAGGCTGAAAGTTCAGCATTCAGACCTGATTCCTGGAGGGCATTGTTCAGTGCATATGCTATCAATGACTGGTTTACCATGCCCGGCTGGACTGTATCTAGACAGCCATGATGCACTTGTAAGGCCTTTTATTACTTATTACTTGGTTTACAAATTACCAAAATGTTGGCCTAAAATTCAATGTAGGACGTCCAGATTAGTACCGCTACTAATGAATGAAAAACAGACTCATATATCACACTATCACTGAAGTATGATTGCGAAATGATACCGATTGATAGGGATTTTTTTTGCTAGAATAAAGATTTATATACATATTATTTGCCATTTCTTATGAATTGAGGTGATAAAATTGTGTGTTTTTTTCATTTCATCAAATTGTAAAACGCCCAAAACAAAACTGTCAAAAGTAATTTTATTTTTGTTCTAAGTTCAGTTGTTTTCCATCAGTCGGTCTCGTAAACCAATTAAAAATACTATAACATCTAATATTCCTGACTGAGTTATTAGAAAACATTCACTCTCTAACTCACAGGAAACATACTGAAAGTGTATACCATGATGAAATAAACAGATTCCAATAGTGAGTATGGTTTTACACCGCTATTAGCAATGTTCCAGCAATATCACGGCAGGAGACGCCAGAAATGGGCTTCACACATTGAACCCATGTAGGGAAAGGAACCCCGGCCTTTGACATGACAAGCGAATTCTTTAACCACGTAAGGCTACCCCATCGCCCTGATTCCAATAGAAAATATTGCAATATGAGAAATAATGCAGAAGATACAGTTCAGGGGTGCATTGTACAAAGCGATCTTAGCGCTAAGATGATCGTAACTCCCACACCTTAAGATAGACTTACAACAGTCGTAGTGCTAAGGCTGTTTTGTACAACGGTACCCAGGAGAGAAGAAATATGAGACAACATGACTCAGGGTTTCACATCTCCCATTAGTATTTCTGCAGTAGACAGTTATTGCACAGTGAATATGGAATACATGAATGTGAGGACATGATTGGTCGATGAGGACAGTGGAGATATGATGTGACACACATATGAAGGTTATATGTTATACACACTCTGATCTAACACTAATTCATGCAGCATTCTCAAGGCATGTTGATGTGGATAGTAACACCCCTCAGAGTGAGTGAGTGAGTGAGTGAGTGGATAGGGTTCTATGTGGGAACAGAAAGAACGGACTTCACAATTTGTACCAGTGTGGAAATCAAACCTTTTTGGGGGTATCATACTTAGTTGAAATGAAGCATGAAAGTTAAGTCCTTGTCAGAACTCTGAAGTTTGAGGCTACAAATAAAGGGGGTCACTAGATCCAAATGTATAGGTGCAAATCCAAGAGATCACTTTGGAACACTTGTGATAATGTTATGTGATAATCATAAATTTAACACAACCAAATTCTCCCTTATCATCTTAGCGGTGTTATATTACTACATCGTTTAAATAATATAACAAATCAATTAGACTTAAGAAAGCATCCACAAGCATAGATTCTGTAGAGATAATTTGTTTCACAAATCAAAGGAGTGAGTGAGTGAGTGAGTGAGTGAGTGAGTGAGTGAGTGAGTGAGTGAGTGAGTGAGTGAGTTAGATTTTACGCTGCTCTTAGCAATATTCCAGCAATATCACACCTGGCTCCACAAATGGTACCCATGTGGGGAATCAAACCCAGGTCTCGGGGTGATGAACATATTCTTTAACCACTAGGCTACCCCATTGCCCCTGTCACATTAGCAGACATAGCACTTAACAGTTCATTTTAAACAAATCAGCATAAAAGGCACAGGCCTTGTTCTCCGCATAGCTATCACCACTTTATGACATGGCACCATATTCTCCAAGATCACATGATTAATACCATTTATGCTACAACAAAGACTACAATAAAATTAATGCAATGCCATAAACTAACAAGCATCTGTGTTAACTACCAACTAGCAACTAGCTTTATCAACTCTCAACAATGGACATACTTCAGCCGTAGCCAATTGGAATGATTTGGTCAATAACCTGTGTTAACATTTGCAGAAGTATAACCCAATATTGGTCTGCCCGAGCACTGACATTTGGTCCTGTCTTTGATAAAGTGATACTTCAGACTCCCATTACTCTGCTTGGCAAATATTTGTCAGTGCAATTAGGGTATACACAATAATCAATAACAAATGTATGAAGTCCTGCATGAGATGTTTTAAAATCCATCGTCCTTTATTTTGTATTTATTTATAAAACATATGTTTATTGGTGAAGGTGAAGGAGAAATGGGGTTAAACGTCACTTCCAAGATTATTGCACTTATAGAGTGACAGGTGTGGATGTGTGTGTGGCTGCTAGTACTAGTCTGGACTGATACCAATTATAGTGCTAACCCACTGAGATACAATGCCGCAGTTTAACATGAATACCCCACTCAGACACAGTATACTGACTGCGAGCCGACCAGTCCTTGTTTTAGCCCCTTAATGCCAAGGGCCAGACAGGGTAACAACAAGTACCATCTTTTAACGTCTTTTGGTATGACGCGTCCTGGGATCGAATCCCGGACCTTCTGCTCTCCGGGCGGACGTTCTACCACTAGATCATGGAGGCAATCATGTTTATTGGTACCAAAATAAAGCCACCACATAAAGAAACATTGAAACTGTTCATCAAAATGGCTGTCACATGGTTTTCAATAGCACGAGTGTAGAAACAGAATTTGAAACCTTGATAAAGATTAAGACATTGTCAGGGAACCCTAAAATCAGTGGCAAAATATATTGTAATGTAATCAGAACTAGTTATGATGAAGTTTCGAACAAAACAACTACAACAGAAGAACAGAAAACATAAATGCCATACTGGTCTCAATACGTTTATCGAGGGTCTCTGGCTGCACAAGCTACTAAATGACGCAACGGACACAAGCACGATTGACTCCATAATGAACCAAACAATTCCTCTGATGAACCTAAACCTGTTCCAAAGAGTCCAAATCATCATAAAATGTCCAAATGGCAGCCAAGGGCTTATCACATCATCAACAAGACCAAAATCTTAGATGAGTCAAACAATTTCTCAAATGAGTTGAAAGAAAAGAGCCCATGCACTAATTTATTTAACTCAACTGTCAAAATGGCTGCCACAGAGAACCATGCAAGGAGGCCATTGCCAAGAACAATACACTCCCAATTGCATCAGACAAGGGAACTGTCATCAGGAAGTTGCTAAGCTTGGTAATCAGCTGAAAGACCACATTAGGATTGCCTGTCCATGATTTACGTGTTTTCATTAGTGAAGACTGTGTCTAGGCAGATACCACTCTGTGACTGGTTCGCAAACAAGTAGAATTAATAGATCTCTTCACCATTTTCGAACTAAATGTTACGTTGAGCTAGTGATAACACATGTATCCATTATCAGTCAGTGTTATAACATATACTATGTTTGATTCCTACACCAGCATGATACATTATTCTTGTGAAATATGACCGAGGCAGATCAATACATTTTGTTGCGTAATGAACATTTGAAAATGTAAAACATATTTATTGATATAGAATATCTGTTTAATTAAAATCATACTTTTAAAGCAATTTTGTGTGTGTATTTTTGTAAAAACATTATGAAGGAAAATTAATCTCAAAGTAACCATTTAGTTAGCCCTGAAAACACTTTTATTGTTTTAAATTCAGCTAAACATATAAAAAACAAAGGAACCTCTTTATTAATTACATTATCAATACTACAGCTCAAAAATAATGTTGTCCTAATGCTAGATATTATTTAGACATTTGGGAAATAAAAATGTTCAGATGCATTAACTGATTTATTCTTTATTCAAATATGACATCAATTAATTTTGAAAATATTGAAATCTAGTTGGAGAAACAACACATAATAGGAGGGATGATTTCGAAAGGTTCAAAGATTTACCCATGCATCGTAAGAATTGTTCAGTTCTCTGAGAGAAAGTAATCAGCCATCACTTCATCTGCCAAGGTTCAATTTCAAGAATAATTCCTTTAAATAAGTCATGCACAGTCTGAATCAGCATTTAACAATGAAGACATTTTGAGCCAGGTGTTTTGAATTGAAAGGAAAAGATTCCATCACGATTCCATTCAGGTTATTTTCAAGGCAAGGCTATGGGTTCACTATGCCATGTCAACAAGGTGATGATCTCACAACCCATTTATTGAAAATCAGTAATTGTCGGAAATTAGTTCATGCGACACACACTGCCAATTTGTTTTTCAAGTTTTAATGACGTGCTGCTCCCTAACTTCCTTTGTTGTGTGCCACCTCAAATGAAATGCCAACGGACGAAAAATAATCACAAATCCCTGCAGAAATGTGAGGAAATGTTTCATCTTACGATGAATAATAAATGGATATTATCCAAGCCTTATGGAGCTCCCACTGTTCATTTTGATTTCAGACCTGCACTGGCTTTAATGTTCCAATCTAAGATTAATCTGGGCCAAAACAAGTGTGAAACATGTGATAAACAGATGTCATTGTGAAATAATTCAGGGTTAATAAATTTACAGCTAGTAATTCTTGTTTTAACAGATCTGAATTCCATCTTCCAGGTCTCTGTATTAACAGAAAACAGACTTGCACAAAAAAATTCTAATTTATGTGCAGAAAGAATGAATTAGAAAGGATGAAATACAAATAATGGAAAAAAGATTTTCCATCTTGGACCATCCTTACACACAGTGAGTGAGTGAGTTGGGTTTAACGCCGCTTTTAACAGTATTCCAGTGGCATGTCAGCTTAATGTGGGAGGAAAGCCCCAAGTGATGCAGGTCTCAAACGTTTACCACTTCAGTGAAACACACGAGCATGGGTATGGTGCTGATAAACCTAGAAACATAATTGGGGCGAACCGGGATCCGAACCCACAATCATAGGTTTCTGGCGTGCCCAAGGGACGCAACTCTGCACACCGAATCACGGCGCCTAAAATGACTGGGCCACCCATGCCCCCCCTTACACACAGGTTGACCTGCATTGCTTTATAAAATCATAAACAGGCCTACCAATGATAAAATCTAAACTGTAGTTAAAAATATAGAAATGTGTACGTTAATTGTGGAATTTGCACACCAAATCACAAAAAGACCAAATGGCTGAAAACAGACATCAAGTTTACCTTACACACTATACTTCTAACCACAATTGTCTAATATAAGACGAACAAGCAATCTGAAAACTTGAAACAGTTGTCCCTTTTCCCCCCAAATCCTTGGTCATCGTATTTTGAAACGCTTTGTCTCCACTAGACTCAAATAATAGTCATGAAATATTGTTATGTGTAAGGTGAAAACCAATACTCACTGAAGGTTTTGTGAGCAGATTTCAGCTACTTGGACGTTTAGTGTACAGACTTGATGTAAATATTGAAACACTTTTATTTTATCTATTTTATTTGTTTGGTGTGGAAATTTGACAAAATAAATCCAGTTGAACTCATCACAGATTATGCTACTGGTGGGCCTCATTTAGCCAGACTAATCAATCGGGTTTAATGGATGAGGCTATCCAACATTTTGCAACCCCCTACAAAAAAACAAACTTGTTTGCTTGAAAATATGCTTTATTAAAATAATTTTTACTTCAAGGGATTGTTTTCAGGAAGTTATAACTTTAGTTCAAAGATCAACCCAGCACGACTCTATTCAACGTTTTTACTTTGCCTCTTGACAAATTGACCACAGATTCAAATTGGTCTGGGCTGAGTGAAGAGCTACAATAACCTCCTTGTAAGAAATGTGCATTTTCAATCTGAAAACAAATTGACGGGGAATAGTTAAAAACGTGAGTGATTGAGTGAGTGAGTGAGTGAGACCTTGTTAGTCTTCAATTTTGGAAAGTGCACCTTTTTTTGTGTCTGTTTCTCTTCAACCTACCCACTACATTTTTATTGCTTACCAAAAATAATGATTTTAAAGTCAGCCAATCTTGAATAAAATGCCCAATAAAAAATATGTGGAAACAATTAAGTCCGACACCCTTTGACATGTTGACATCTAGTTCCGTGTTACCATAATATTGTGAAGAAACATTTCACATCACTCAATTAAATGTACCTCATTTATTTTTTTTCTTTTGCCAAATGTTTCAGCTATATGTATTGTAAAAATGAAAATTGAACATGAAAACTATTTCCCTAACACATAGTTCAAAATGAACCCTGGAGAATATTCCATAATACCATGGATGCTAAATATAGTTTGGTGTTAAGTGCCCATGGTAACACATTGTGCAACATGTTAACCTGTTTTACACTAGAGGGTTTGTTAATGAAATGTTGTGTATGCACTGAGCATATTATAGCTCACCACAGTACCCATGATACAACTGCTTCAATAAGTTTAATGTTATGTTACAAGTGGCACTCTATGCTCTCATACTATCTTCTTGTCAACACATTTTAGGTAGTGAAATGTTAAATGGGAAAAAAATATGACATATTTTTTTCCATTTACAAAGTAACATTCAAATAAGAAATAGAAATAATCCCCCAAAATGCACAAACACTTGGAATGGATAACTACATCAAATATTTGTCAAGAATTTTAAACTGGAGTGATCAAAAGATTCCTGCACCATTTCATAAAGTAATGGCTCGTTTATGTTTGCAGGTACCTTTCTCCAAATGCTGTGATTATCACAGCAAGTCCACTAGCTACTTCAAACACACACAGATCCATTAGAAAATCCCTAGCAGCAGCCCTGCAATCTTTTGATTTGAAACATTTAAAGATATCAGTACATCTCATCTTTTATCAATATTGATGAATCTTGATACTGATCAGAATTATCAACATAGCCAACGGCGAGAAAAGGAATTTCTAGCACTGAACCAGAAAAATAGATAATGCCTCAAATGTTTCATGAAGATGCTACGTTAATCAGACCTTATGGATGCCTTAAACAACCCAAATCAAAGGTTCTGTAATGATCTGATCTTTCATAAATCACTTTTTTATTACTTGGATTACAGACTTCACGCTAAAAACCACTGGGTTTATGGATGAAAGTAAAATCAAACTTAAAACATGCTGTCTTTCTAAATAGTGATGGGTGAAATAAACCAATAAACAACATGTTAAAGGGTGCAGTGCCGGGTGTTACAGATTTTGTTTGTGACAATTTGGTCTGTAGGTAGATTTTTTAAGGAAAAAATGCATCATACAGGATTTTTTAATCATCTTAAAGTATGACTAGGATAGGTAGGCCATAATACAAATACATTGTATCTTGGTTTGGTTTAGGTTCTTACAAATATTATAAATCCAAACTCTGACTTGTAATGACAATTGTTTCGTTTGAAAAAAATCAACTTTATTCGTATAAAAATCACTTGGATAACTCAAACTCAATTGCTCTAAAAGTTATCTGGAGCTCTGTGATATGAAAGAAAATCTTGTCATTCTGGGTTTTTGTTCTGAATTTTCATTTCATAAAGTCTGATGATTCGTAAACCAATAACATAAAAATGCAAGGCCTTATAAGCTCTTGACCAAGGCTTTATTAGGGATGAATTATTGTTGTCTATATAAAGAAATGAAAAGAAAATGATTCTGAAAAACAGTGAGTCATGTATCACTTCTTTCATTTGTGAAGAGGCACTACAAGTTTGGCCTTGCCCTGGTAATGATTCTCCTTCATTCCAAACCATTAACACCCAAGGGGATCACGTCACTTTGCATTACGTCAGTTTACAACTGCCTCTGATCATGGCAGCCATTTTGAAACAAAAAAATTTAAAAACATGATTCGGTTGACTCACCATTGTTGAGACTCCTTGATGAAGACGATCGCCGTGGGAACTTGGGCGAGCGTAACGTAATTCTCTGGGGCTGGAAATTCATCGATTTGTAGGCGCCAACCATTTTAACCTCTGAAATTATATGTGTAACATTATTTCAAAAACTGTATATGGGTTATGGAAAGTTAGGTGTTTAACTCTTGTTCTTGAGGGGAGAAATTATAGATTGTTTGCACGAAACATTTCAACATCCTGAAATGGAAAATCTGTGTTGTGTCTTAAAAGATTAAACATCCTTGGGAAAAAAGAAAATAAATCCTTTAAGAAAATCCATTCGACTCCAACTTCTCAATCAATGATGCTGGAGCAATTGTTAAAAGATTGGGTTTCAGCACGGACCTATATAACCCGTGGTTTCAGTGATGGAGAATTAAATTATTTTTTGAGGGGATTCAGATTCAGAAATCTTGAGTTAGCCAGGCTCAGGAGGCTAAACATTAACTTTTGTTTTCCAGGAATTGTCTCCGAACTTCCAGTTGAACTATATGTTAAAAATCATATATTTGTCAATTTGACTAACATCCAGTCTCTGAAATGAAAATGTTGAACAGAAAAAATAAACAGTTGTTAAATTATCTTAATGAAATAAAATAAAAAGGAGCCCAAAGACTGTCTTTATTTTCAGAAACTGCAGTAATCTACACTTGCCAACTATTATAAACTTGCATGGGCTGTATTATATTTGTTTCGGAGTCTATATGACAGACTAGGTGTTCACCAGATTGATAATTGTTTGTACCATACCTGATGAAAGCAATACATAGAGATCCGGGGAAGAATAGGTCTTCAGCAACCCGTGCTTGCCGTAAAAGGCGACTATGCTTGTTGTAAGAGGCGACTAATGGGATTGGGTGGTCAGACTCGCTGACTTGGTTGATGCATGTCATCGTATCCCAATTGTACTGATTGATTCTCATGATGTCAATCACTGGATTGTCTGGTCCAGACTCGATTATTTATAGACTGCCGTCATATAGCTGTAATATTGCTGAGTGCGGCGTTAAACAACAAACAAACAATACATAGACTATGTACATATAAGATAAGTCTTTTGTCCATTAATTTTATTATTTATGTATATATTTCATTTGAAGACACAACTGACAGCAAAGTTTGGGCAAGGGCAGACAATCTCTCATCTATAGAGAGTATTGTCTGGGTGATATCATATTTATCTTTTTCCAGATACCAAAATATCAGTCAGTGAGAAAATGCTTGAATCCACTTGCCCGAACATGGCTATGTTATTATTAGACTATAACCAGCAGAGTTTACTAGACCAAAGAAAATAAAAAATAGACTCAGGCTTCGGACTGGTGGCTAAAGTCACAGCCTGAAATTAATAAAAATCACCTTATGAGTATCTCCTTCATGTGCAGGCATGCATGCACGTGCACACACACACACACACATGCTGATAGAAACATTCACCATGCACATGGTCTTTATGACCCTGTGGTCAACCAGGCTACAATTTGCTGTACAGAGTTGCATCCCTTAGTGATGCAGGGATCCGCTGATTGTAATTGACACAACACACATGATCCAGTGGTCAACCAGGCTAGAATTTGCTGTACAGAGTTGCATCCCTTAGTGATGCAGGGATCCACTGATTGTAATTGACACGACACAGATGACCCAGTGGTCTACCAGGCTAAAATTTGCTGTACAGAGTTGCATCCCTTAGTGATGCAGGGATCCACTGATTGTAATTGACACGACACAGATGACCCAGTGGTCTACCAGGCTAAAATTTGCTGTACAGAGTTGCATCCCTTAGTGATGCAGGGATCCACTGATTGTAATTGACACGGCACATATGACCAAATGGTGTAGGGTCTGATGCAGCATTATACTGTTCAGGGTTGCATCCCTTAGCCATGCAAGGATCTGCTGTTCATGGTTGGTATCCTTAGTGTGTTGATCAGCATCTACCTTTGTTTGTGAGTTTCATAGTTGTAAACTTTGACCAGTGTCTTTGAGGGCGTTCCTCCCAAATTATACAGACATGCATTGATATAACTGAAATACTGTTCAAAGTTGTGATTAAGCAATCTCATTAACTTATGCACATGCTTGAAATTCAGACTTCAACACTACCACAATTCTGTTTTTCTCTTATGTAAAAAATATTATTAACTATTTTAAAAATCATCTTAAGCACTGAAAATATCAAAATCAATATCTGAAGGAAATGAAATTTTTTTTTTAGAAAAAATGATAATTTCCATTTTCTAGAAAGAAAAAACCATCACAGCAAATTTCAGATATGGGATCTCTTCAGCCCTGAAACTTTCTTCATCAAGGAAGCTAAAACTTGATAAAGATCTCAAGTGAGCTTGTGAGGACGCACTAGAATCATCTATGAAAGGAGTTCGGATTATAATTTCGTTTTCGGCCCCTAGCTTAATCTGAAATCAAAAGGATTGGATTTCTAAATCAATATCGTACAGAGAAATCACGACAACTGAGACTGCTTTACAAACATTTGTGAAGATAAATGCAAACTGAAAATTTTAACTTTCATCATTGTTTTGTTTACTTAACTCATAACTAAACTTCAGAGGATCTTGAAAAAGAAATATAAAAGTTCTTTCTCACCTTTCTAAATATTAACAAAAGTCAACCCACATCACTGGCCGAAAAACGGTATGTCAATCTCATTAAGCTCTCAGATCTTAGTTCCCGCTACTGCAAAAACATACTTTGTTTAGCGGTAGCAAGGACTAAGATCTGATTTTAAAGAGATTGACTTTATATTTAACTGGATAATGATATAGCTCAAATGTTTGTGGTATCAACCTGAACCTCCTTGAACAGTGAGTGAGTGAGTTTGGTTTTACGCCGAGTTTAGCAATATTCCAGCAATATCACGGCAGGGGACACCAGAAATGGGCTCCACACATTGTACCCATGTGGGGAATCGAACCCGGGTCTTCAGCGTGACGGGCGAAAGCTTTAACCACAAGGCTACCCGACCGCCCCCCTCCTTGAACAGAACAATGTGATTATTGTAACTCCTTTATCTTAGTACAGACTTACAACTATTGAAGTGTGAAGATTATTGTAGCTCCTACACTTTGACATACACTCAGCATAGACATAAATTCCTTTACCCCTCCGTGGTCTGGTGGTAGAATGTCCGCCCAGAGAGCAGAAGGTCCTGGGTTTGATCGCCAGCCGTGTCATACCTAAAGACATTAAAAGATGGTACTAGTTGTTTCCCTGTCTGCCGCTCGGTATTAAGGGGCTATAAAACAAGGGCTGGTCGGCTCAGAGTCAGTGGGGTATTCATGTTAAACTGTGGCATGGTGTCTCATCGGGCTAGCACTATAAAACAGCATCAGTCCGGACTAGCACAAGCAGCCACACACACACACAGACACATGTGCATGCATATCGCTATATACGGTAAGTGAAATAATCTTGGACAGAAGGTTAAACCCCATTTCACCTCACCCTATTCATTGTAGCAGGAAGATTAATGCAGCTACTAAAGTTTAACACACACTCAAACCATGGCTAGTTTGTCTCTGACCATGCATCAGCTAAGTGAATTGTCAGTTAAACACCACTTGGCAATGACAGACCTTATTTTCGTCCCCGTAATTTAACTTGATGATAGAACAATTTCATGACAAACGCGTTGCCAGTGGGATTCGAACCTGCGACGTCCGTACCGAAAGCTAACGAATGTAGTCTTCTGACTAAATACTAACTTACTTCAGGACTAATAGTCTATCCGTTTATGAACTGCAAAATATGTGTTTCATGCAGTACATGTGATTGGGTAGCTTTTCATTCAACGAAACGAACTGATAGAAAAGAAATGACTATTATCTTGATCAGGCACATGTTTGCTCATAATAAGCCAATAAGTAAGGTAAGTAATATTTAGGAGATTGATAAATGTGGTCGAGTTGGTCCAAAATGAATGGTATACTCTCCCCAAGACATGCCTTTCATAACCCGAGTTGTCGAAGTGCAAGGTGCACGCGTGAAGGGCTCGGGAACATATTTCATGTGCATCAAGCAGGGGCGACTCACACATTTTTCTCACAGTTCAACATAGAATTCCTGAATATCTCTACAAAAAAAACTTTAACAAAACAATGCTTTTTAAGCATGTTAGCTGGTGCTATGAATGTTGGATATGGGATAAATAGGTTCAAGCAGTTGGACCATGGTGTCTAATCGTTGACATGATTAGTCAGCATCTGAGGCGTGGAGCCAAGCACTAGTGCTCTAACCAATACTTAGCAGACACTTACAATCATTGTTGCAAGATTATTGTAGCTGCTGTTCTTTACCATACACTTAGCATACACTTACAATAATTTTCCTGTCCTATGTTAAGTGTATTTTATAGTGTACAAATTAACAATCATTTTCCTGATACAATGAACATAAGTCTATGTTAAGTGTATTTTATAGTGTACAAATTACACTAATTTTCCTGCTACAATGAATGTAAGTCTATGTTAAGTGTATTTTATAGTGTACAAATTACAATACTTTTCCTGCTACAATGAATGTAAGTCTATGTTAAGTGTATTTTATAGTGTACAAATTACAATAATTTTCTTGCTACAATGAATGTAAGTCTATGTTAAGTGTATTTTATAGTGTACAAATTACAATAATTTTCCTGATACAATGAATGTAAGTCTATGTTAAGTGTATTTTATAGTGTACAAATTACAATAATTTTCCTGCTACAATGAATGTAAGTCTATGTTAAGTGTATTTTATAGTGTACAAAAAACAATAATTTTCCTGCTACAATGAATGTAAGTCTATGTTATGTATATTTTATAGTGTACAAATTACAATAATTTTCCTGCTACAATGAATGTAAGTCTATGTTAAGTGTATTTTATAGTGTACAAATTACAATAATTTCCCTGCTACAATGAATGTAAGTCTATGTTAAGTGTATTTTATAGTTTACAAATTACAATAATTTCCCTGCTACAATGAATGTAATTCCAACACTTTAACATACACTAACATTGATTGCAGCAAGAAGTTTAATTAACTCTAGTCTAGACCCTAGAGAAAAAAAGTTACAA